CACCATCATGATATCCACTTGCCCACGGACGCACCCCTCCCCCCCAGTCACCCATACACGATAGACAAGAAAAAAAAGGCACGTTGGCACGACCAAAATGTTGCGAATTCAAAGTTCCCACTTACTCTGGTGCCACTAAACTCATGTCACTTGGGGCTAAGACCGTAGTAGCCTCCTCCTCCACCTCCTCACCCCCCGGTCCAGGTAGCTTTGGCGGCGCGGGTCACATCGCCATTCTGCAGGCTCGCAGGTACCATGTACCTGAGCACTGGGATGCCATTTGCGCAATGGCGCTCCCAAGACACGGGCGCCTCCAAAGTATCTTTGTCGCAAAGGCGAGTCTACAGACCTAAAAGGCTTCGGTCCTGCTTCCCAGAAGGCCCATCCCGGAAAGAAAAAAACACTAGAACCTGGCCCGCTCATTGAAATACCTCCTCCCACCCTTTCCCAAGACACATCGTCTTTCTTCCTTTTTTCTCTTCTCTTCTCTTCACCCACGAATGCGTTGCACCTAGACGTCCACCTCATCCCTATCTCGTGCGGTGCTTGACACTACAATTTTGTTTTGTCTTCCCCTTCCCTCATTCCATCTTCAATCACCCACCCCGGTTTGGTTGTCGAGTCCTTTGCCGTCATTCCTAGCTCTCAGTACCAATCTCTCAACCTATTATACAAGAACCATCAACTACCGTATCAACACTCCTTTCAGCCATGGCTGACCGCAAGGACGTCGGCGCTCCCGCGCTCGACACCAACATCGAGACTGGCGGCTTCGACGAGAAGCACCACCAGCAGGCGGCCGCCGCCCCTCCCCCCAAGGCCGCTCCCGTCGCCCAGGACGACGACGAGGATGAGGACATTGACGCCCTGATTGAGGACCTCGAGTCTGAGGATGGCCACGCCGCCGTTGAGGAGGAAGAGGAGGAGGGTAATGCCGCCACCGGCCGCGTCGTCCCCGAGGACATGCTCCAGACCGACTCGCGTGTCGGTTTGACCGAGGCCGAGGTTACCCAGCGCCGTCGCAAGTACGGTCTCAACCAGATGAAGGAGGAGAAGGAGAACCTGATTCTCAAGTTCTTCTCTTACTTCATTGGTCCTATCCAATTCGTCATGGAGGTAAGCATCTTTTTTCTCCTTGCTTGTTGAATGCTGCATTTTCCGCGTTTGCTCGTTTACTGGCCAACGTTCCACTTGTGGGAGCATTGTTTGTTCAAGGCATGCATTGCGCTGGAAAAGCAATCGCAATCCCTGTGTGCGCTGATCTTGCCCAATCGCATTGTCGCACTGAATGCGCAAGCAATCTACCCCATCATTTTACCCCAATCCTTTGACAAAAACCGGCGCCTTTCTACCTATCCATCTGTCAAACCGGCCGCTGTTTACCCAGTCAGAGAGCAAGGCTCACTGTTTTGGGGAGACGGCCCGAATTGGGAATGGCGAGTTGGCCAGCATTTTTTGTTGCGCGCTTTTTGTCCGGCGCAGATTAATGGTTCCACATGAGCTCTGGCCTGCCTCAGCAATTGGCTAGTCGCACATGGTTGGTGCTGATGTGGGGGCGTTGATCCATTGACGCTTTTCCTGATGCCGTCTTTGTCTGCGCGCTCTCTGCTGCACCCGCTGCACCTGCCGCTACGAAAAAAATAATAGCGACCCACAACACCATCCAATTGGCCAATCTTCGACCGCTTTTCTGCCGCTACTCCAAACACGCAACAAGTTGCCGGTTCACGAGCCCACCGCCGATCGGATAAACTCGAAGCACCACCGTCGCCAGCCGGCTGCACCTGGCTAGGTCCCGGTCTTGGCCCGGTCAGCAGAGCTAATACTGGCTGGGCAGAACGGGTCTAAAGCACTAGACTTCAGGGCCGTGGCTTGCGTTTTTTCCAGCTTGGCCTCGTGAACTAGCGCAATTTCGTTTCAAGGATGGCGCGCTCTTGGGCGCACTCAATTGTCGCCGCTTTCATCGGATCCAGTTTTCTTTTGCATTTGCCCTTGATTGAGAATTATGATTTCCCATCTCGTTCAATGACGCTAACTATTTCTGCTACAGGCTGCCGCTGTTCTCGCTGCTGGTCTTGAGGACTGGGTCGATTTCGGTGTCATTTGCGCTCTTCTGCTGCTCAACGCTGCTGTCGGTTTCATTCAGGAATTCCAGGCTGGTTCCATTGTCGAGGAACTCAAGAAGACCCTTGCTCTCAAGGCTGTCGTTCTCCGTGACGGTACCCTCAAGGAGATTGAGGCCCCCGAGGTCGTTCCCGGTGACATCCTCCAGGTTGAGGAAGGTACCATTATCCCCGCCGACGGTCGCATTGTCACCGAAGATGCTTTCCTCCAGGTTGATCAGTCCGCCATCACTGGTGAGTCCCTTGCTGTTGACAAGCACAAGGGCGACAACTGCTACGCTTCTTCCGCCGTCAAGCGTGGTGAGGCTTTCGTCGTCGTCACCTCCACTGGTGACAACACCTTCGTCGGTCGCGCCGCTGCCCTCGTTTCCCAGTCCGCTGGTGGCACTGGTCACTTTACCGAGGTTCTCAACGGCATTGGTACGGTTCTGCTGATTCTCGTCGTTCTGACTCTTCTCATCGTCTGGGTTTCTTCCTTCTACCGCTCCAACAACATTGTCATGATCCTTCGCTTCACCCTCGCCATTACCATTGTTGGTGTCCCCGTCGGTCTTCCCGCTGTCGTCACCACCACCATGGCCGTCGGTGCTGCCTACCTCGCCAAGAAGCAGGCCATTGTCCAGAAGCTTTCCGCCATTGAGTCTCTTGCTGGTGTCGAGATTCTCTGCTCTGACAAGACCGGTACCCTGACCAAGAACAAGCTCTCTCTCGCTGAGCCCTTCACCGTCCAGGGTGTTGACCCCGATGACCTGATGCTCACTGCCTGCCTGGCTGCTTCCCGCAAGAAGAAGGGTATTGACGCCATTGACAAGGCTTTCCTCAAGTCCCTCAAGTTCTACCCCCGCGCCAAGTCTGTCCTCTCCAAGTACAAGGTTCTCGATTTCCACCCCTTCGATCCCGTCTCCAAGAAGGTCCAGGCTGTTGTTGAGTCTCCTCAGGGTGAGCGCATCGTCTGTGTCAAGGGTGCCCCTCTTTTCGTTCTCAAGACCGTCGAGGAGGACCACCCCATCCCCGAGGAGGTTGACAAGGCTTACAAGAACTGTGTCGCTGAATTTGCTACCCGTGGTTTCCGTTCTCTTGGTGTTGCTCGCAAGCGTGGTGAGGGTGCTTGGGAAATCCTCGGAATCATGCCCTGCTCTGACCCCCCTCGTCACGATACCGCCCGCACTATCAATGAGGCCAAGCGTCTCGGTCTCTCCATCAAGATGCTTACTGGTGACGCCGTCGGTATTGCCCGTGAAACTTCCCGCCAGCTCGGTCTCGGTACCAACGTCTACAACGCCGAGCGTCTTGGTCTCGGTGGTGGTGGTGACATGCCTGGCTCTGAGGTCTACGATTTCGTCGAGGCTGCTGATGGTTTCGCCGAGGTCTTCCCCCAGCACAAGTACTCTGTCGTCGAGATTCTCCAGCAGCGTGGTTACCTCGTTGCCATGACTGGTGACGGTGTCAACGATGCCCCCTCTCTGAAGAAGGCCGATACTGGTATCGCCGTCGAGGGTGCCTCTGATGCTGCTCGATCCGCCGCCGATATTGTCTTCCTTGCCCCCGGTCTCGGTGCCATCATTGATGCCCTCAAGACTTCCCGCCAGATTTTCCACCGCATGTACGCCTACGTTGTCTACCGTATCGCCCTGTCTCTGCATATGGAAATCTTCCTCGGTCTCTGGATCGCCATTCTCAACCAGTCCCTGAACATTGAGCTTGTCGTCTTCATTGCTATTTTCGCCGATATTGCCACTCTTGCTATTGCCTACGACAACGCCCCCTTCTCCCAGACCCCCGTCAAGTGGAACCTGCCCAAGCTCTGGGGCATGTCCATTTTCCTTGGTGTTGTCCTGGCTGTCGGTACCTGGATTGCCCTCACCACTATGCTTGCCAACGACCGCAACGGTGGTATCGTCCAGAACTTCGGTAACATTGATGAGGTTCTCTTCCTCGAAATCTCCCTCACTGAGAACTGGCTCATCTTCATCACCCGTGCCAACGGACCTTTCTGGTCGTCCATTCCCTCGTGGCAGCTGTCTGGCGCCATTCTGATTGTCGATATCATTGCCACTCTCTTCTGTATCTTTGGATGGTTCGAGAACAGCCAGACCTCCATTGTTGCCGTTGTCCGTATCTGGATTTTCTCTTTCGGTATCTTTGCCATCATGGGTGGTCTCTACTACTTCATGCAGGGCTCTGCCGGATTCGACAACATGATGCACGGCAAGTCCCCCAAGAAGGACCAGAAGCAGCGTTCTCTGGAAGACTTTGGTATGTACCTCTTGAACCCACATGACGAACAAACACATTTACTAACCATTCCTAGTTGTCTCCCTCCAGCGTGTCTCGACCCAGCACGAGAAGTCGCAGTAAATATGGAATTGTCACATACCCGCACGCCGATTTCGGCTGCTCTTTTCGTCTTCTCCTTGTTTAAATTTTGCATTGTAAGAGTCGTATCGGAGTATGGACACGAGTTGAGGTGCAACGTGCGACTTTTCATACCCTAGATCTCTGTCTATTAGACCATAATGATAAAAAGTAAAAATAATCTGCTACTGCTACTGCGACCTGACGTCAAGGTGTTGATGTAAAGCTCGGCCCAGATCTGTGACTTTGTGCTGTTGACCATGCTCAACCGGCATCAGTCACGTGATTTTTGTATTGACCGTTAGCCTCGATGTTGGATGAACTTCGATGCTCGTCTCATTCATTTCATCAATTATCTATATCAAGTTTTCATTAGCACCAGCTGATCATTTTGCTGTTTCTTACCAAATGCCATGAATATTTTTAATTCGGCCCACCGACAGGCTTTCATCCACGTCTGTTGAAGAAACTGCCCCAAAACTGCTCTAACATTCCGACATTTCACATCTAACTACCATCACCATGGCCCCCGAACTACCGGGCTACTACTTTGGTAACCACCCTCCGCTGTCCATCTTCTGCTAACCTCTCTACTTCGCTCCCCTTCCTCACTTGAACGAACATTCTAACACTGCCCACAGATAACACGAAGAAAAAGTACTTCAAAATCGAACCCTCTCACTCTGCAACCCCGTCCTCTGCTGCCGCTCCTTGGACCGCCGATGCCATTAAGCGCCGTCGTGCCGCATCCTCGGCCGCGGCTTCGATAGCCCGTCGCACGCGTCTTCTGCAGCTGCACGTGCGTCGGCACGCGGGGCTGGAGACGGACATGGTGGCGCGGGGACGGCTGCGGCAGGAGCTGGGCGTCACGACGACGATGACGGAGGAGCAGGATGATGTGAGGGCGGCAGCGTGGGCGCAGGGGTCGGTGGACAAGGGAAGCGTGTCGCTGGTGCCGAGTTTTGCGAGGGCGCGGTACGCAAACATGGCGTGCATGTACGTGGGAGGGGACGACACCAAGACGGGTCTCGGCGTGGTGTATGCGAGTACGTTTTTCCCTTCTTTCCCTTCTTTCCCTTTAATGCAATCGAGAGATATTTTGGTCAACGTCGTATGAATGTGTAAAAAACTGACGAGGAGTAGCGCTGGATGAGGAGACGCTGGTGGGGAGTTACATCCCGACCGACGACAATGACACGTATGTTGGACCAGACTGAAAAGAAGGTTGCGAAATTGAAAAGGAAGAAAAGACGAAAAGAGAAGAAAGAGGCTGATAAAGGGCATGGTGTGTTGTAGGATCTCGTTTTCGGACCTCGCGCCAGAGAGCTCCGGGCGACGAAGAGGATTGCGCGCGGAAATGGTCAGATGCCCGCAAATGTCGTCGATTCGGTACCATGCGCCCTCACACAAGATACTGCTGACGTCGCGCGAACCCGACCACTCCTGCGGGTTATACTTTTTCTCCCCTCTCCTCTCCAACGAAAACGACCATCGATTTCCGCAGTGGCTCCTCGGTGAGAGTATGATGCCCCCCTTTTCTTGCTTCTTCTTCCATTTTGTTTGAAAGAGAAAGAAGACAGACTGATGATGTGTTTGGTGCAAAACAGCCAGTCACTATCAGAGACTCTACATCCGGCACCAACGCCTTCGTGACTCATGGATCGTTCACCAGTCCACCCCCGCGCCCGCTTCCTCGCCGCTGCTCTGCGTCGTCGGCACAAACGCCGGCATCCTCAGCGTCTCTTCCGACGAGACCATGTCCTGGCTCGCCCCGTCATCATCATCATCATCATCATCCTCCTCCGGCACACCACAGCATCACGCCGGGCCGCAAGAAATATTCGCCCAAGATTTTCAGCAAGGCAACCACAACGTGCTCCTCGCTGGCGGGCGGAAGCCCACGCTCTGGATGACGGACCTGCGAGATAACGACCCGCGGCGCTGGCACGCGACTCCGCACGACAGCACTGTCACCCATCTCCGGAGCGTCTCAGAGCATCAGGTTCTCGTGGCGGGCCTGCGCAGCAGCATGTCCACCTACGACCTGCGCTTCCTGGGGCGGCCGACACCACCTGGGCAAGCGACTAGCAGAAACAGCAGCACGCCCGTGTTGCGGTTCACTGGGTACGAGAATGAAGCCCATGTACACACCGGATGGGACGTCTGCGCGGAAATGGGCCTCGTGGCGGCGGCGCAGGACGACGGCACCGTGGCGCTGTTTTCGCTGCGAAGCGGCAAAAGGGTCAGGCCAGGAGGAGGAGGCAGTACCGGAATCGGGAGTTTGAGGACGGAGACGCCGATCAAGGCGCTCATGTGGCAGCGCATGCCGCGGGAGAGGCTGCCGAGCCTGTGGGTGGGCGAGGGCCCGCTGGTGAGAAAGTTTTCGCTGGGCGTGGGAGAGGTGGGTGATGAGGGGTGAGAAGGGTTGCTGGATTGGGAAGAGAATGATGAAAAGTACGGATTGGGGGAGATCGAGGACGGAGGAAAGTGCAAAGTACGAGTTTTAGACTCTTCTTTTTTTTTTGCAGCGGACATGATAAATGACATACAATAGCGACAAAGTGACTCAATTTATACACATCTTTACCTTTTTCTCTGTATCTGTTTCAAATGCACTTGCACTGCAATGGAGAGGAGCAGCCGGACTGCCATCAAGGCACCAAGATGTTAAAATTCAGTCTTTATATACCCGTCTGTACCAAAACAAAAACAAACGCTCCAAAATGATTACGTTTGAATTACTAAATGTGTATTTTCCCACGCATCCCTCTTCCCCATCCAAATGACCAATTAAATCTTCTTTACCATCGTCAACGACGTCGACAGTTCAGCCCCCCGGGGATTGCGAGTGCCCTCCTGTCATTCCATTATTCCCCGTCCCCTTCCCTGTCCCCGTCGCCGCCGCCACCGCCGCCGCCGCTGTCACCGCCGCCGCCGCAGCCGCCGCCAACGGCTCCGCCTCGGGTATGTTGGCCGTGTCCGCGAGCTCCGGAAACGCCTTTGCAAACGCCGTGCCCAGCCGCCAATTGTCCAGATTGCGCAGATGCCGCTCAAATACGGGATTAATCATCAGCTCCTCCGAATGCGGGCTCTGCAGCAGCGTGTCCGTGTCGCGGTAGGGCCACGACAGCGTCAGCGTCTTGGTGTACGGGACGGAAAAGTGATCAAAGGGGTACGCGCGCTCCCCCTCGCCGGTCCCCGACGCATACGCCCGGACGAGCGCCGCGCGCATCCGCGGGAACGGGACGTGGTCGATCCAGGGCGGGTGGGCGTCGCTCAGCTGCGCGCGCAGCGGGCGCGCCCACGGCGGGAGGCGGTCGTAGTTTTCGCGCGTCGGCGCGACCTGCCAGCGCATGACGAGGAACATGACGTAGAGGGCGGCGACGCGCTCGGGGAGCCCGGAAATGTCGGGAAACTTGGCGAGGATGTCGGTGAAGACGCGCGACAGCGGGTGGCTGTCGGCGCGTTGGGCCGGGTTGAGCAGCGACGACACTGACGGGTACCGAGGGCCGATGACCTCGTGCACGGGCTGGCCCTCGGCGGCGAGCTGCCGCCGCTCCTGCAAAAAGTCGAGGAGGAGCGAGTCGAGCGGGCACGTGGGCGGCGTGGTGCGCACCGGGGCGGCGTACCGCGGGACAGTGACGCTGCCGCTGCCGCTGCCGCTGCCGGCCGTGCTGATGGGCTCGTCGGGATCGCTGGCGGCCGCGTCGTCGTCAGGGTCGGCAGTCGCGTGAGGGCCCTGGTACGGATAGCCAGAGGGAAACGCGTTATTGTAGGTTGATGCCGAGCCGGGCTGCCACTGCGGCGGCGGCGGCGGTGGTGCTGGCCGGGAGGAAGAGGAGGAAGAGACGGCGGAGGGCGGACCCGGTGAGACGCTGACGCTGCCAGCGGCGAAAGTCTCTTGCCGGGCGTAGAAGGGAGGGTAGCGATATGCGGGCGGGGTGTCGGAGGTGCCGTGGACGGGGCCCTGGATGCGCGAGACCTGGTGGCCGGCGTCGAGCAGGAAGCCGAGACCGAGACGCTCAGGACCCATATCGAGCCCGTGGCGGAGCTGCTGGCGCTGCTCGCGCTGCTGGTCGAGGTCGCTCACGCGCTGCGCGGCGTGGCCGTTGACCGACGACGGAGGCGGCGGTGGTGAATGCGCGCGCCTGCCGGGTTCTGTCGTCTCCCGGGGGGCGTTTGCGTCGCGCTGCTGCTGCTGCTGCTGCTGCTGCTGTTGCTGCTGCTCTGCGGATGCGGCGATGCCCCCGAGCGTCATGAACTGGGTGCGATTGCTCTCCTGGACGGCCGGGGGCGCGCCAACGAAAGGCTGTAGCATGCCGACGACGGCGGCGAGGCGCTGGCGCATCTCGGCATTCTCGCGCTCGACGGCGGCCTTGGCCTCGATGACGGCCTGCAGATCCTGGTACGGCTGCAGATTGGTGAGCTCCTGGATACGCCGCTCCAGGGTCTGGATCTGGTTCTTTGTGCGCTCGCGAATGGCCCTCTGCGCCTCGCGATCTGTCCCCCGCCGCGGCGGGTGGTTAGCTGCCGCCTCGAGACTGCTGGAAAGATGATGAAACTACATACCGTTGGCACGTTTCTTGGCGAGCTGCTCCGGGTTGAGATTGGCGACTCCGCGACCGCTGCCGACCACTTTCCTCTTCTTGGTCGCCGGTCCAGACTCTGCGCCGGTGTCTGTTGGCGTCGGCGTCGGCGTCGGCGTCGGCGCGGCATCGCTCTCGTCCAGAGGCCTGCTCTGCTGGCGATGCCCGTTATTCCCCGCCGCCGCTTGTGGCACCATATCGGCGCCCAGTATCTATTGGTTTAATTGCGTTGAAAATGTACTTTTTAGCTGCCAGAGACCTCACGCTGCAGCCTGACTGCCAATGAGGCTGGCAACCCCCTTGACCCGACAGATTGTGCCCCGGCCAAGGGCCGATGAGAGACGTTGAACGGCGACGCAGCAACCTGCACGGGAACCGCAGCGCGCAGATAGTCGATTACAATTTGGTCGCGAGGCCGAGTGAGATTTGGATGTAGTTGGCGGGGATGGATAGGGCTTGAGAGATGTCGGAGAGAACTGAATCGTAAAGTCTTGGCCGTGAGAAAATGGCCCGAGTCATGGTGGCTTAGTCATCTCGTTACAGGAGTGCGGGACAGCGCACTTTGGCCTACATGTGTCATGGACGGATCGTCGATTGAGAAAATGACTATAATGGATGGCTGGAATGTATTTCTGGTGATGATGGCTATGCGCATAAATTCTTCATGGCGAAGTGAAAAAGAAGCTGGGTGGTATCGTTTGCTGGGGAGGTTTAGAGAAGACTCCACGCAGAAAGGTATAAGCAGAAAAATAATTGACCATGCATACTCATGTCAAGTAACGGTTTTATGCATACTCGTACGCCAATTACTTTACGCAAGATTACACGTAAGATAATGGTCAAGATCATTTCCCTCATCCTGTCATTGGCTAGGGCTGCATGGTTTGTGCATCGCCGTGCTGGTGTAGTTGGGTGCTATGTACGGAGTACGCCTGGGCAAGGTGGGAACCGGGCTTGGCATCGACTGCTAAATCGGGTGAAACCTGAGCAAGAAAGCTAGTCAAGTGCCTGAAACGTTCTCCTCTCACCTCTTGTAAGACGCTAACGAGAGAATACGAGAAGGCATGTAAGTAGGTCGACAATGGTCGGCATTCGCTTGGAAGCATCGCTTTGGAAGCACTGGGTATTATCAGCCGCGTCTTGGCCATGGGTCAGCATTATTAAGGGCAGACCGGGGTGGTAGTGGCGCGGGCGGGCTGCAAGCTTATTCCTGATGCGCATGCCAGGACATCGACACCCAACCCAGCGTCCAGTATCGGCAGTGATTGACTATGACTGATAGAAGAAGAATCGTGTGAGTGTCTTACTAGCAAAAAGAACGACAGTGGCGTGTGGATGTTCTCACCATGGTTGGTGCAGTCATGTACAAGGTCATCCGGGGGTAATCCGCACCAACCGTGTAGTAAGATGTTCCACAAGGGTCTTAAGGAGTCAATAGTAAGAAAACCTGAGCAGGCCTGCTGGCGGTAAATTTTGTGCAATCTTGAGCGTCAGCGGGAATTGCGCGAGGTAGTCATTTGCCGACTGGTTCAGGTGGCAGTAACCGCTGGCGCGGTAAGCCACACTGCTATCTACTCCGAGACAATTGAGAGCAGGGCAAGGATCGGCTGCAGGGTGCAGGGCAAGTAGTTGTGGCGTTTGGACCAAGGACTCGGGACGCGACGCCGAAGACGAGAGGAGAAGAGGAATACATGACAATGTCAACCTAGGGCTGCACGGATCGGATCGTTTATGTGTGGAAGCCAAGACTCAGGGGTAAAGGACGCAGAAGTTCGTTTTGCGCGTGGAGCACTGGGAGCACCTTGTTTCGTCGGGCGGAAGCTAAGGTACGGATCAGCTGGTGAGTTGACGAGATGCACCCCTGCACTAATATACGTGTGCAGAGTCCAGACTGACTGGTGCACGAAACAGTTGGTGCAGTGTTTGCAGTGACTGCATTGAAATGTAGACCAAGACATAATATGAGCGCGCAAGGACGCAGCTGCTAGATAAGATGTGACGAGGGAGGGTACGGTAATTGCAGGCAGTTGGGGTCGAGTCTGGCTGCAAGCTGGCGGGGTAGCGGCGAGGAGCAGCGGAAAGCTTTAGATTATCACAAGCGCGGCAGATTTGAGCCATTTTATCTGTGGATGCAGAGAGGTCGGCAATCAAGGATTCAAGGGACGTAACATGGTGATGGGCAATGATGGACCAGGGAAGCACTGGGGAGGCCTGGGAGGCAAGGAGGTTGCCAGGATATGGTGGGATGCAACGACATCAAGCCTGCAAGACAGTCTAATAGACGAGTGGAGGACCAGGCTGAAGCGCACACGACGGGCTGAACGTGGTTGCGTGGCCAAGAGGTGACGAACGGGCTGAAGGCGTTTTGTTGGGTGTGCTGTCGTGGGGCGGGGGGGCAAGGGACCTGCTTGGTGGCTTGTGAGAATTGTCTTGTGTGCGTTAGGTGTGGCGGCGGTAGGTATCTGATGTCTGAGGATGATGGGGATCTGGTGTCTTAGGATCATGTGGGATGATCTGATCTGGGATGATCTGGGGATGCTCGAGTCTTTGGTGTTGTAAAGTTTGTAGAGTCAAAGGTATCAAAGGCGCGTTTGCAGGTTGGCGAGCTCGAGGGCCGGATGACTGGCCGCCAGCTGGCAGCCACGGCCGTAAAGTGGTGAGCAGGGATGGGAGTACCTGGATGGAGGCTTAGCCGAAGTACCGTTTGTCCGGCCGGGAGATGGCTCCAGTAAACAGCACGGCGGCAAGGCGGCGGAGTAGACTAACTATGAAAGATGGCAATGATGGGATGGGTCCGGGGAGTTGCCATTTGTCATTACGGATTGGCACATTGGTCCTCGACGTTTTCTGTTCTTGTTGGCAAAGCCGATCACGGCAGGTCGAGTGCTCCAGGCTTCGGAGAAATGGAGGCTTAGCCAAGTTGGGCATGGCGGGATATTCGGAGCAGTTGCAGCTGTGGAGGTAACCAACCAAAGGTAAATATGGAGTTATCAATGTCTAGGGAATAGTAATAAGTACAAGCTGACAATGTGACAAGGCAAAGGCTGGCAAGCTAAAAGGCTGCAGGAAAAGAGTTCCAGAGCTATCCGTACGTAGGAACCTCCCCACCATGACCGACCCCGGGGTACTGGTACGGGCGCTGGACTGATACAGTAAGGTAGGTGGTATTGATGTAATGTAAACCGAGCGGGTTCAATGGAGGGGCAAGCTGGCTCGGCAGCAAGGTACCGTCAGCCAATGATGCAGGTGATGGAATGAACTAAAATCTTTCTTCTGATTCTGAAATGATACTATTCATTATGCATGGCAGCGCCTAATACTGGTCAACAACTGGTAAGCTTGTTGGAGTCGTCGGAGTAGTGGCAGCCACACGGCCAAGACCAACCAACCACTGCCCACTGCCTGCGGCCACGCAATCAGCTAGCCAAAAACAACTTGTTTACCATCCCAATTCTTGCCTACAGCTAAGGTAATTACTACCTACCTACCTACTACATACACTGAATACCTACCTACGCTAAATACTTACCTACCTACCTACTGACCTAGCTACTACCTGCCTACCGATGGCGACACACCTTTTTCCCACCTTATAAAGATTCATCTGGACCCCATCCCTCATCTTCCTATCTGCCCCTCTCTTCTCTGCTCTCTGCTTCTTCCGTCTTCCTTCTTATACCCTCTGCCCTCTTTTTTCTTTTTACAACTCTCGTCTTTCTCCTCGTCTCCCTCTCACCAGCCTCACCAGCTTGTGCCAACCACTCCAGTGACTACACTCTGCATACCCCGCGCCGCCACTGCAGAGGCGCCTCCTACAACAACACCACACGTCACATTACAGCTTGCCATAACAGCTTACCACCACAACTTGACATGATGGCTGCCGAACAACCCAAGGTCCAGGAGGCCGTCGCCGCCCTTAGTATGTTGCATTCCGTCCGTGATTCTGTCACCGAAGCAGCCTCTGTGCCCACTCGCGACACCAGCAGATAAACGCCTCCTCTTGAACCCTTGCTAATTCGACCACTCAGGCCCTCCCGAAAAGATGCTCGCCAGTACGCTCGCTCTGTTCCCCCTCATCTGCAATCTGATGTAACCAGGGCCTCTTTTTTTCTCATTTCTTACTGATTTCGCGACATAGAGCATCCCAGCAAGCCCCACCTTGCCAGTAAGTCGACCCTCTCTCTGCACTTTGCGCCTCGCCCTCTTGCAATGCCTATCATTGAGCGCGTGCCGTCAAGATTGGTGGAATTGGTGATGAGACACAAATGCCTCAATTTTTTCCTTGGCATAACTCGAGCTTTTGCCCTGCTTTGCTGCTTGCGCGTTGCTGCTCGTCACCAGTTCTTGCGACCCTCCCCCACCACCACCTTCACCCCACGCTCTAGCTCCCACCATACCTAGCTCCTCCAGCTAGCTTCTAGCTTCAACTAGCCAACTTCCGGCCGTCCGGTCAAGTGCTCCTCGGCTAACACCCTCACCCCTAGATACGGAAGAGTACCAGAAACTCTACAAAGAATCCATCACAGATCCCACCAATTTTTGGGGTACCCAGGCGCGCGACCTGCTCTCATGGACCCGCGACTTCGACACCGTCTACAGCGGCTCCCTGCAGGGCGGCGACTCAAAGTGGTTTGTCGAGGGTGAGCTCAATGCCTCGTACAACTGCGTCGACCGTCATGCTCTCAAGGACCCCAATCGTGTTGCCATTATCTACGAGGCCGACGAGGCCGGGGATGGCCGCAATGTCACCTACTCGGAGCTCCTCCGCGACGTCTGCAAGGTCGCCTGGACCCTCAGAAAAATGGGCGTCAAAAAGGGCGACACCGTTGCCATTTACCTCCCCATGATTCCAGAAGCCATCGTCGCCATTCTCGCCTGTATCCGTCTCGGCGCTGTCCACTCCGTCGTCTTTGCCGGTTTCTCAGCCGACTCTCTCCGCGATCGCGTTCTCGACGCCGATTCCCGCGTTGTAATTACCTCGGATGAGGGAAAGCGCGGTGGCAAGCTCATTGGCACCAAAAAGATTGTCGACGACGCTCTCAAGCAATGCCCCAACGTACGCAACTGTCTCGTCTTCCGCCGCACAGGCACCGAGGTCCCCATGCAGGAGGGCCGCGACGTCTGGTGGCACGACGAGGTCGAGAAGTGGCCCAACTACATTGCCCCCGAGCCCATGAACTCCGAGGACCCTCTCTTCCTGCTCTACACCTCTGGCTCTACCGGCAAGCCCAAGGGTATCATGCACACCACTGCCGGCTACCTCCTGGGCTGTGCCCTGACGGGCAGATACGTCTTTGACATTCACGACGGCGACCGCTTCTTTTGCGGCGGTGATGTCGGTTGGATTACCGGCCACTCTTACGTCGTCTACGCCCCTCTGCTGCTCGGTATCACCACTGTCGTTTTCGAGGGTACCCCTGCCTACCCTAACTTCTCCCGCTACTGGGACATCATCAACAAGCACCAGATCACCCAGTTCTACGTTGCTCCCACCGCTCTGCGTCTGCTCAAGCGCGCTGGCGACGAGTACGTCACTGGTGAGATGAAGCACCTCCGTGTCCTGGGCTCCGTCGGCGAGCCCATTGCCGCCGAAGTCTGGAAGTGGTACTATGACATTGTCGGAAGGAAGGAGTCTCAGATTGTTGATGTGAGTACACTAGATCCCCTCACCAGAATCCGCTAACCCTTTAGACCTACTGGCAAACCGAGACTGGCTCCCATGTCATCACCCCTCTCGCCGGCGTCACTGCCACCAAGCCCGGCTCAGCCTCTCTGCCCTTCTTCGGTATTGAGCCCGCCATCATTGATCCCCTCTCTGGCGAGGAGATTCACGGCAACGACGTTGAGGGTGTTTTGGCCTTTAAGCAGGCCTGGCCCAGCATGGCCCGTACCGTCTACGGTGCTCACAAGCGCTACATGGACACGTACTTTAACGTCTACCCCGGTTTCTACGTGCGTATTTCCCAACTCTTATTTGCGACACCTGCTAATCCCAATAGTTTACCGGTGATGGCGCCGCCCGCGATCACGAGGGCTTCTACTGGATCCGCGGCCGTGTCGACGATGTCGTCAATGTCTCTGGCCACCGTCTATCCACCGCCGAAATCGAAGCCGCCCTCATCGAGCACACGGCCGTCGCCGAGGCCGCTGTGGTCGGCGTCAACGACGAGCTCACCGGCCAGGCTGTCAACGCCTTTGTCGCTGTCAAGGGGGGCAACGAGATCAACGACGCACTACGCAAGGAATTCATCATGCAGGTTCGCAAGAGTATCGGCCCCTTTGCCGCGCCCAAGGCCGTCTTTGTCGTTACCGACCTGCCCAAGACGCGTTCCGGCAAGATTATGCGCCGCATCTTGAGAAAGATTCTCGCCGGCGAGGAGGACCAGCTGGGCGACACTAGCACCGTACGTACCCGAATCATTCTGTCTTTTTGCTGTAGATACTAACCGTTGATAGCTGTCCGATCCCAGCGTTGTCGACCAGATTATCGCGACCGTTCACGAGGCACGTAGCAAGAAATAAAAGAAACAAAGAAAAAAAAAGGAAAAAATAGAAAGGATGAGGGCGGAGGCGTGCAGCTGTTAATACCAACATTCGCAAATCTGATTTGTCCTGCCGGGAGCAATTGATATTCCTGCCACGATTGTCATTGAGATGTTTTGGGTTGTCAAGTGTATGGATAATGATTTTGAATACGAATTTTTTCATCATGTACATTTATTCAAAAGAGTGCTGCTTGTAGATGCCGTGGACTGAGCAATGCCATTTCAGACCGAGCGACATGTCCCGCGTTGATCATTTACGCCTCCCAAAAATGACAAATCACTACAGTTTACGCGCGGGCACATTTACCTAAACAGTCTACATGGAATCTAAAAAGACCACGTTGAGTAGCTAGCAGCACGCACATCAGACAAGGTCAAATGCCTGATACTCGTACTCGCTCCGGTCGGCATCCAGCTCGCCGTGCATCATGCCCTCGATGTACGCCTGTCCCAGATACTGGTGCGCAGAGTCGACTTGCCGTAGGATGACCGGCACAGTGTTGCCCGCGAGCACCGCGACCAGATCCCCCGGCTGCATCTCTGACGGCCCCAGCCCCATCCTGCCGTCTTTCGTCGCAAATAACGTGCGGTAGCTCCCCACGTCCACCACCTTACTCCAGGCATCTGCGATGAACTTGTCCACCCGCGTCTGCGGACGATCGTCTTCTTCGGTCGGCTCCGAGTACATTTGGATCCAGTCGATGCCCTCTGCGGAGATTTCCTCCACGGGCATGGGCTCCTGACGGAGCAGCTTGCGGCTGCACTCACGATATCCGTTGCGTGACTGGGCATCGTCGGCGAAGCCCGCGGTAATGGTGCGCCAGAGGCGCGTCTCCAAGCTGTCCTTGTCGTCTGTCGAGTCCTGGGCGTAGAGGCGGACAAAGTCCAGCATGGCGTCGACGCAGGCGGCGCGTCTGTCTTGCAGGGTGGGAGAGAAGGTGGCCGCGTACCGAAATACGCGCCTGACGATGTTGCACGCGAAGCCGCGCCGCTGCAGGGTGTATTCGTCTAGGAAGACAATTTCCGGTACGGGCTGTGAGGTACGAAAGAGGTGGAAATCGGCGACCAAGCTTATCAACTCCTGCCTGCCGAGGCGGCCGATGCGGCTCCAGTCGGGCACCCAGGTGGGCAGGTCGGCAATGTCCTTGGGAAATGAAGCCAGGTCCAGAACTCGGCTGTCCGGATCACACCGGGCCATTGCCAATGTGGCCGCCGCGTACACCTCTCGGGTCGTCATTGCATGATCGGGAACGAGGCCGAGGCAGCACCGGTCGGAGGCGAGGCCGAGGAAGGCAAAGATGACGTCTCGCGGATCAGCCCCCTGATAAAATGGACCTTGGGGAAGCTTGCTGTACAGGTCTGCCCGGCTTGTGAGCAAGGCTTGCAGCGTCTTGGGCTGTTCACTCTCAGCATTGCTGGGCATGAAGAAGCAGCCACCGCCAAGAGGCGGTATCTCGCCGCGCCATAGGTGAACTCGACCGAGCGCCCTCATGATGGCGTAAAAGTGATGCAGAGGCATGCGTTTGTTTCCACACAAAATAATACCGCTTTCTGAGAGCACCAGCTCCTGGATCGCCCAGTATTGAATCCAGTTGGGCCGGCGTGACAGGGCGTTGATGGCGTCGTCGAAAACATGATGACGAATTTCGTCCACATCGAGTAGCGCACGGACAAAGCTATTCGTGTTTCTCGTTTTCGTGCTCGAAAAATGAAGCGATTTGGTTTCGTCGGCAAGCAAGCCGTCAAGGAAGTCGAGACTGGGCGAAATGTCGGCGTCAACGGCTTCCCGGCCCCAGTGTATAAGAAAGCCAAGCAGACTATCGCTGTCGTTGGCCGCGGGCCCGATGCAGAAAAACACAGAGTCGGCCGAGGAAAAGATGCGGTGCATCTGCGCCAGCTGCCAGTCCACCTCGTGCTGACGATCCATGTCGACGCAGAGGGAGTCGACCCAGAGCCACGTGTCTTTGCCATGGGCGGCGCGGACCTGCGTGAGAGTATAGTGCAAGTTGTTGGAGATGGGCCACTTGTGCCCGTTGACGGTGATGACAGAGAAAGTGGTGTTGACGAGGCTGCCCCAGGTATACGATATGGCGTGGTAGGGCGGCAGAGAGTTGAGAGAGACGATGGTCGTCTCAAAGTCGAAGCTGGCCGTCGAGCTGGGTCCGAGCCGATGCCGTATGAGGCGTATTTCGGCGTTTTCTTGACGTAGATTTTGGAAATACATGCCGTGGAGGAGCCAATTTCAGGAGAGGTGGCATTGTTGCGAGTTGCGATACACGAGGGTCCATGCTTTTGAGTCCGCTCAGCGGCGAGTATCCTTGGTCGCACGACATGTTGCCATGTTCGATGCTTGTACCCGCGACTGCAGTATAGTACAACCTCGTTGGGCTGAAATCATGACGGACTGCAAGGAGCCTTGATTCGGGCGTTGAAGTAAGCAAATGTTGGAGCGAGCCTGGCCACATGGCTTTGCTGACAGCCCAAATCAGAGGGTCCAAGCCGATGGGAGAGGAAATTGTAGTCGTTCAAAGTGAAAACAGCGTTGCGATTCTACTCACGAGTGGGCTTGAAGCTCGCAGGATGCCGAGACGCATTGATACGAGGCCAGTCAGTGTGGCTGCCGACTAAGCGGGTATATCCGGTGATAAGAGGGCATTGAGATTGCCCTACATGGTTCTCAACGCAAACTTGTCGATTTAGATGGGCGATGCGGAACCAAGAGTTCGTTCGATTCAGAAGCGCTATGTCCAAGGCTGCGTCTGTGCGACGATATGATACTGGAATGGTAGGAAAGCGATAGAATAAGCAGTCAAGGAAAATACAGAAGTGGGCTGACATGATGCGCGAGATGGGTTCGGAGAGGAAGGAGCCGGAAGTATCAGGTACTGGATGTTGGGGCCTGTTTTAGAGAAGCATTTCAAACACAGAATGTTTGAGATGGGCGCTGCAGACGGAAGAGGGACGGTCGACGATCTAGGTCTATTCATAGGGTTTGAAATGCTGACTCGATCTGTGTCCAAGATGAAAATCGAGGGAAAATGAATTGTACTGATTGATTGATTTCCGAACTGAATACCAGGGTGGTGCAAAGGATTTAACCTGCAGATAGGCATGTCGATAGGGGCATTTAGCACAGCATTAAGCTTACTAGCACTGTTAAGTGTTATTGGTAAGCTGTAGCGCTGTGGCGTGGCACAGTGCATTCACAGCCACGCTGCGGAGCCCACCGAGACAGCTCCTTGACATTCTGATTGGTTTCTGATGACCTGCTGTCAGCGGGGACTGCTTGGCTGCCGTGTTTCAGTGGAGCGAATCCCGTCGCTGGTTTGTTGCCAGCGAAACCAGGCCTTCATTCATGCCTGTGCACTTTGTCATCGTCAAAGGCCGAGAGAACAAAGGCTGCGTCGATTTGTCGGCACTGCAGAGCGGCTGAAGCATGGCAAGAAACAAATATTGCCATCAGTGCCATCCTTTAGTGCGCCAAGTTTCTACGGTTGCATTTGATCCAGGTGACTGGACTGCTGCGGCCACTCAGCTACAAGTCAGCCCCAGAGTATTGTTTTGTCCCTGTCTGTATGTATTATTCGTAACTAACTAGTGCTCCGCCTCTAAATCTCCGTATTCTCCCACCCTAGGCCGGCCGGTCCTGCCTAGCAAGCCTCTCAAACCTTCACTGCAACATCCAGCCAAAACGCCAAAACCCTCGCTTGGTTGTTTGCCCTCAACGGTCGTGCGCACATTTTCCCTACTTCTTCATCGCCCGTAAACACCGAATTTCATCAGTCTTCGCCCGACCTAGCATTTGCAACTGCTTCATTCCACAACCTCCAGACCAGCCGGCCCTTCACGATCCACCCCGAGTCACCACTGGTAAAGCCCGAATGGAGCCCTGCCTTACATAGCACCGTCATTTCGCATCAAAGTCTTGCTTTCTGCCGGCGCGACCATGGTTGCGTTGCGGTCTCTCGCCGCCGCCGCCGTCAGCGTTGCGCTCTTCTGGCAGACGTCGCTCGGTAAGTCGTCTTACCCATGGCCTTAGGCCTCCGGCTCTGGCTAATCCAATGTCCATGTACCAGCCGAGTCGTTCAAGCGAAATCCTGTCGACTATGTCACATTGATTGACAATGTCCAAATAAACACTCCCTCGCAGCGAGTCAACGCGCATTCCAAGTTTGATCTCACTTTCACACTCCACAAAGGTCACCAGACAATCAGACTTGCCCTCGAACCCAACGATGACCTCATTCCCGACAACCTAGCCGTCACTGTTCTCGACTCTGACGGCCAAGTCGCTACCGCCCATCCCGTCGTGCGATCCAACCACAAGGTATTCAAGGGTCACGCCTTTATCCAGCGCCATGGCATGCAGGGATGGTCCGCCGCCGGCTGGGCCAGAATCATGGTCTTGAAGGACGGCGATGAGCCCGTGTTCAACGGCGCCTTCCGCATCGACGGCAACAACCACCACGTTGAGACAGCGGCCAAGTATCGTTTGGTCAAGCATGAGGGCGACCCTAGCGTGCAACTCGCGGATCAAGGCGCCGCCGACAAAACCATGGTCGTATGGCGCGACTCGGACATTGTACTCGATCATTCTCAATCCGAACTAAAGCGTCGAAGTACTGCTAGGAGCGCACTCTGCAGCTCCGATGAACTGACCTTCAACTCCAAATACGATCCTGTTGCGCGGGACTTTAGCCCTCTGCAATCCATGCCCACGCACCGACTCTTCGGTCGCCAATCTATTATCGACGGTGGCGGCGGTGATGATCCTGCTGGCAATCTGATTGCCAGCATCGGCTCTTTGGACGGATGTATCAACACGAAAAGGGTAGCGCTTGTTGGACTTGCCACCGACTGCACGTATTGGGGCGTATTCGGCTCCAGAGAAGCTATCCAGGATCACGTGCTTGGCGTCGTCAACAAGGCCTCGCAACTCTACGAGTCCACATTCAAAATCTCTCTCGCCGTCAGGAACTTGACCGTCATTGATTCAAACTGTTCCAGCGGAAGCACCACTGCGACACCATGGAACGTTGACTGCTCGCCCTCCTTTAGCATTACCGACCGTCTCAACACATTTTCCATCTGGCGAGGCAAGTCTCAAGACAAGAACGCGTACTGGACTCTCCTGACCAAGTGTCCCACTGATAATGCTGTCGGTTTGGCCTGGCGTGGTCAGCTTTGTCGTCAGGGGTCTGCGCCTAATGGCGGCACCAACGACACGATTGCCAGTACCAATGTCGTCGTCACTGGCCCTACGGAATGGCAAATCTTTGCTCACGAGACTGGGCACACCTTTGGAGCTGTTCACGACTGCACCCCCGATAAGTGTCCCGTGAAGCAAACGGCCCAGACCTGCTGTCCTCTCACAGCAGAGCGATGTGATGCTGGTGGCGAATTCATCATGAACCCCTCCACCGCCAGCGGCATCACCCAATTCTCTCCCTGCACAATTGGCAATATTTGTTCTGGTCTCAAGGGCAACGTCAAGTCAGACTGTCTGACTGATAACAAAAACGTCGAGACCATTACCGAGAGCGTCTGCGGCAATGGCATCGTCGAGCCCGGCGAGGATTGCGACTGCGGCGGATCGGACAGCTGCGGCTCCAACAAGTGCTGCAACCCCAAGACGTGCAAATTCTCCGAGGGCTCTAAATGCGATCCGGCCAACGAGCAATGCTGCACCTCTAGCTGTAAGTTTGCTGGCTCCGACACAGTCTGCCGCCCCAGCAGCAGCGGCTGCGACCCCGAGGAAAAGTGCCCTGGGGACAAGGCTCTGTGCCCGCCTGACGAGCACAAAAAGGACGGCGAGTCGTGCGGCAGCGGTCTCGAGTGCGCCTCGGGCCAGTGCACCTCGCGCGACCGCCAGTGCCAGGTGGCCGCGGGCAGCCTTACGCACAGCAACAACACCAAAGCCTGCCGCAACGACTGCTTAATGTTGTGCGAGTCGCCGTCATTTATGGGCGGCTCATGCGCGTTCTATAACCAAAACTTCCTCGACGGCACAAGCTGCGGCGGTGGCGGGCGCTGCAAGGACGGCCAGTGCAGTGGCAGCTCGTGGTGGAAGGAGTTTACGCAGTGGTACCTTAACAACAAGGCCATTTCCATTCCCGTCACCTGCGTTGTCGGCCTGCTGGTGCTCTCCATTCTGGCGTCATGTCTGTGCAGCTGCGTGCGCCGCGCCGGCCGCCGTCGCGTGCCCCGGAAACCGATTAGTCCGCCACCCTCGAACAGCTCCGCTGCCGCGTGGAACCCCTACGCCAACACGCAGTGGCAGCCGCAGCCCGGACCAACGATGAGTGCGGCGAATGGCTTTGATGTGCCGCCGCCTCCGAGAAACGAGTTTCGTGGTCATGATGACAATTCGTGGAACAATCACAACGGAAACCACAACAATTATAACAGCGACAACGTGCACGACTTTGCGCCGCCGCCGCATCCGCCACCTACATACAACTATGGGAATCAAGCGACTGGGCCTCGCTATGCATAGATGATGATGGCTACAGCAAATAGGGAGGTTGGTTTTAATGGCTTTTCTTACTACCACAGGCTGATTATTATTTGTCAAGTTGCATTTTGCATATTGGCTTTGGCATTGAATGGCGTTTTGGGGTCCTGGGACATGCACAATCCTTATGCACCTGATTATTTCTTTTTGGATTATTTTTTAGGAGAGGGGACTGACTGGTAAAGAACCACTCATCAATATATTTGGTTATACCTGAGGCAGACCCGGCTCGTGACAAATGATGTAATGCGGCAGATCGTTGCGTGGCTTTGAGGAGCAAGGAAAGTGTAGGAGATATATAATAGGTAATAGGGACATTGATTCTCAACCAATGAGCATTCAGCTACGACGGGTGATTCAACACCCGGAACATCTTCCGTAGTATAGTGGTCAGTATGCAAGCTTGTCACGCTTGAGACCCGGGTTCAATTCCCGGCGGGAGAGACCGCCAGAGTCGATACGACTTTTCTTTTTTTGCATCTCAACGCATTTGCTTCATTAGATGATTCTTCTTTTAGTAAAAAGTTTCCTGCGCTTGCGAGCTGTGTAAAAGCAGTTTCATTTTTAGAGATGGTGTCATTATTACGGCGGTGTAGTCTTTTTTAGACGACTACTAATTTCATTTCATAACATTCATGATGGTAAGCACACCCACTAATGGGCAACCTTTGATCGTCCACATCCGGAAAAGCACCACGCTCTCCTTTTTTTTTTAAAGACATCATTGTAACACGCTCATTCACACATGCATTTCATCCTTCTTCCTCATCCCACCAAACGCGCACTGCTAACGTCGTCGACCAGCACGCGCCTGCTGCTGCTGCTGCTGCTGCTGCTGCTGCTGTTGCTGTTGCTCCTCATCCTCGTCGCTGAAGCCGCACAGCGTCCTCATGAATCGATATCGCTGCCCGGGAATGCTCTACAAAACCACCCGTATTAGCTTTGCCTTTTTATTCTCCCCCGCCTGTTTGCGTTCGTTTTTAAATTCCATTCCGAGGGTAGGGGATCGGGAGGGAGTTTCGTAATTAGGCCCTGCCCACTCACATCATTCATCATTTGCGCATACATCATGAGCTGCTCCGGACTGTCCAGCACTGCGAGCGCGTCCTGCCTCCTCTGCCTCTCCTCGAATGTTTCATTCTTTGGTCTTTTTTTATGATCCTCACATGTTAGCATAATCTCCCCGCTTCTCCGTCGCCTCCTTGTTTCCCCCCATCTTTCATGAGTCGGGTTCTGGAAAGAGGTGAAGCAAAGTAAAGAACAGGGGGTACAGCAATCTGAGCGCAAAACATGACGAGCTTGTTCTAAAAGAAAAAAAAAAAGTACGCGCTGAAGAAGAAAACAATGATGGTAAGCTGAAGCGCGGCAGATGCGAAGCTGAGGCGTGAAACTCCTCGGGCGCGAGATGTGCATGCAACAGTCCTAAAGCAGAATTTCTTTCGAGACAAGGATGCAACATTTCCAACAGTACGAAAACAGCATATCTTATGTCCGAGGAGTTTCCGCTTGGTTTCGTATTTGCGCGATTCAGCTTATTGTTAATTTCGCTCAGCTCATTCTTTTTTTTTTTTTTCAGATCGACTCGTTTCTTCGGCTCCGATCGGTTCGAATGGTCCTCTCAACTTGATGCTAAGAAAATATTTAAAAACTCACACAGTTCCAATCTGCATCGTCGAGCCGTCATCATCCTCGTCTAGATCCATGTCATCGTCCTCCTCCTCCTCTTCGTCTTCCTCATCATCATCGTCTTCATGGCCTTTTGTATACGGATCTTTGCCCCGCGACTGCCGATCGCGCATCTCCGCGGTAAAAACCTGTTTCTGCGGCTGCTGCTGCTGCTGCTGCTGCGCCGATGGTGACGACGAGGATGCGGTGGCGGGGGTTGCAGGGGAGCGCATCTGGCGCGCAGGGCCTTGTAGCGTAGCCGACGACGGCGACGGCATGGTTCCGCGTTTGCCTTTCTCTGCCCTTTTTTTTTTCCGTAGTAAAACCAGACTATTTCTCTCCTTGTTGGTACGTTTTCCCTCGCGAGACCTCGCGCGGTGATAAGGAATCAGAAGTGCGCGACCATGAGTTGGGGAATACGAAAGAAACTGTCTGTTTTTTTATAAAGTGTACAACGGTTCTGTGGGGCGATGCAGAGGTGCAGAATGGTCCGCAGGAGTCGTGCATGCCCGCGCAGGATCTGAATTTTGTCCGCGGTGTCAGTACGTACCTTAGGTAGTACCCCTCTTCCTGTCGTGCTTCCTGTCACACTATTTACCACCGTCAAACTTGACAAGTCATCTCAGCCTGCAGAGCAAAATGGTTGATTGGCTATTCCTATAGCGATAGATTTTTTCTTTAAAAAAAAAAAGATCCAAAATGACCCATGTCTGATGAACGCCGAGGTCACAAACAAGGACTTATTTGAAGTCTCAGTCTTGGCTTCATCGTATCAGGGTCTAGTCAGGGTCGGTCACTCACAGCAACTCCTCGCTTTTATTGGCTGACAGTTAACGGTTTCTGGATTCAGCAAAAAGACGAGGAAACTTTAGTAGACATAGACTTCAGCCCATATAGTACCCGGCATGTATAATATGTGTGCATTGCAGTAAGGACCTATGGCCTCCCAGACACCTTCCCCGCCTTCCCATACCAAGTACAAGAGCTAAATATTCGCTGGCATAAAAATGAAAACAAGGTATTGAAAACGATAGATAAAAAATGACAAAACGACCGTGACTCGATGGTGTTCGTCGCAGGCTGTATCGTTACAGTTGGACATGCTCCCGACAAGCACATGCCCTATCAGAGTATGCTCGCTTCATGCAACATGGTCTTCCAAAATATATTCTAGCTCTTGCTGCTGTCGCTTTCGGGCTCAAACTTGGTCTCGCCGAGCACCTGACCCTCCGTCGTCATGGCCGCCTGTGTCGTCTGGGGCTGCGTATGGACAGGTGGGCCGGCCGTCTGGGAAGCGGGTTGCGGCGCCTGCTTGCCGGCAGCATTGCTGGCCGCATTCAAACGCTGATCCAGAGCGCGCAGGGCAATGGCTCTGCGTCGCTCGGCCTCAGCACGCGCACCACCGGGGGCTCCGCCGCTGCCGCCGCCGCCACCCCGGCGTTGCAGCACATCGGTCGCAGAAAAGGGCGTGCAGAGACGCACGGCGACGAGCACGTCAAAGACTTGGTTGGAGACTGCGGAGACGACGGGTTTGGCGGGAGCGGGAAAGAACTCGGCAAAGGCAAAGGTCTCGGAGGCGTCGCCGCGGAGCGAGGTAGGCTGGGAGGCGTCGAGGTCGGGGAAGACGGTCTTGTAGAAGCGCAGGTAGGTCCAGCTGGCGAGGAAGCCATACATTGCCTGCCAAACGGCTGCGCGGGAGAGCAGCGGGGTGAGGCCAAGGACGGCGACGAGACCAATATAGAGGATCGGGGTGCGCATAACGCGCAGGGAGACGACGCCGCGGAATAGGGTAACGGTGTGGGCGGGCACGAGCTGGCTAAAGGCGACGAGGAATGAGATTTGCAGCGGAATGGTGCCGGCAATGGTGCAGAGACTATAGCACGGTTAGCTGGAGACGGAGAAAAGAGACAGACGGGGACGACACACGTCCAGCGCTCGTTGCGCGTGAGCGTAAAGAAAAAGACCATGGTGCCGAAGGTCAGGATGTTGGGGACCAGGGAGACGACGAGGATGAACTTGGCAAGGTCAGCCGAAGACCAGGCGCGCTCGAGGTAGCGGCCGCCCTGGTAGAGGGTAAAGCAGGCAATGGCGAGGGTAAAGATGTTGCTCTCAACGAGGGTGGTGGTGACGAGGGTCCAGGGGTAGACGAGCGACAGCTGGGGGATGAGCGTCAGATAGGGAATGACGATGCTAGCCGTCTCGCTCCATTGTCGGTAGCGAATTGCGGCGCCGAGGGCCGACTGAGCAATGAGGCTAACGAGGAGCACGCGGGTGACGGGGGGGATATTTATACGCGGCGGCATGGTGGGCGGATCTGGTCGATAGGGTAGTGCCGCCCTGGTGTTAGATGGAGAGGGTCAGAATGGTGCGAGATGGATGCCGGAAGCGGTGTTGTTGTCTGCTAGCGATCCATACGCCAGAGAGAAATACGTTGGGCGAGGGACCAAAACGGGCTGTGAGGATTCAGGAACCAGGACGTTTGAGGCTACGTTGGCTCTGATGATGCTTTGCTGGAGCTTTTTTGGGGAGAAGCAAATTGCGCTAGGCTGAAACAGGATGCCCCGTGGTTTCTGCCTTGCGCTACCGCCCGTCGCTGGTGGTTATCAACCCCGGCAAGGGATTGTCTGATCGGTGGCCGTAAGTAGAGCAAAGAATTATGATATGTTTCTTCCCTTTGGAGCTGTAGTGTAGCCACTGTTTTCTGTGAAAGAAGATATATTGGTACGTTTGCAAATGTAGCTGAGCAGTGTCCATAATCGATGGAGCCGCGGGATCGGGGCGACAGCGTAATGAGGAGATAAGCGTAGGTACGAGCCAAGACGGATCGAGACGTACATGTACCCCGAGTGGAGGGCACGAGGTAAGTGGAATGGCGTAGGCTGAGGAAGGGAGAGGATGCGCTTATGCGGCGCTATCTTGATGCAGTGCCCCGTTTGCGAGTCTTGCGTACTTGCTACCAGTCTTGAACGATATGACCAGGAGATGACATTCAAGTGAATTTCACTGTAGACTACGAGACTATTGGGTATAAAGTCGTATCAAGAACTCATCATTCCTTGGACGTCGCAGGCGCTGTTTGTGGGAGACGTCTTGGGCATGGTCAATCGAGGGCGGCATGTCGCGGACTAGAGTTGCGCAGTGTGGCCGATGTGTAGGCGCCTGTCTCAGATATGCACAAGCGTGCGGCTGCTAGAGTTATTATAATGACGGATGCAATCCATCCAATGGACGAAATGGAAGTTTGCACCAACACATGACAGCCGTACGCTAGGGACAATGAGATGTCTCGAGAGACCAGGTCCGGGGCGGGAGGGACATGGTTGGCGACAAGCTGCGAGCGGGGAATGCAACGATGCTTTACTGAGTCGACGGGATATTTTATACTTTTGTTTGTCGAGAGTGGCGGGCACGGTAGGATCGTCTTGGGGTCTGGACCGTCTGGAAGAGCAGGGGCAATGACTTAGTGGGCGCGCAGCGGTGGTTAGGTAAAGGAAGGGCTAGAGACGAGGATGAAAATTTTCTAACATTCGGCACCAGGTAGGTTCGTTGGATGGTTTGCACACGTGGGGTAGATTTGGTGCGAGGTCAGATCGAGGGATGTATTGATGAAGTCAGGGGGAGTCGGGCAACTTCAAGGTACTCGGTCGTTGTGCTATGTACGGAGTAAATAACGTAGTATCGAGGCCATGATGGATACATACCTAATTCGAGCTGATCATAATGCTAATGGTAATAATGCTAACAAGCTATAACCGTCATGTAGGTATGGTCATGGGTGTGATATAGCATGTGGTCATGTACAGAGTACTTAAAGTGCACCAGATAGCGGACGCTAGTTTCAGTGCGTACAGGGGCGGGCAGCTAGGATTTGAATAGATGGTTGGGGGCGGGCGAGTGTAAATAGATTTGGGTGGTGTGCTTTGCAGACTGGTCAAGGAAGACCAACATTTTCTTCTTGAGCAGAAGAGGAAGAAATAATGCATATGAGAGAGATGAGATGCGCAGGGCAGCCAGGACGGAGCGGACTGGTAGTCATGGCGATGCAGAGGCAATGAAGGGGGGACCTTGAGGAGGCAAAAGTGTTTTGAGATAGCTGGCGCGGTTTAATTCCATTATCTTTATTCTTTGACAGAATCTGGATAATGTGACTGGTAGATTTGTTTAGCGCCAAAAGATGGGAGATATCCACAGCTGGGCCTTGCCGCTGCCCTGCATTGGAGGAATCAAGAACAGGCGGAACCAGGTGCAGCTCGGCAGACGCAAGTTGGCGGCCCCGTGGATGCGTGCAGGTACGGTAAAAAGGTACCTGGGCTGGGCTTTCTTTTTTGCCCGGCAAGGTTGGCCGGTGCTGTTTAAAGGTACCAGGTACTTGGCAACTTTGTCCTTGGTTGTCCCCGCCAGCCAGTGACCACTGATCATTCACCACGCAGCAGGTCTCCTCTTCCCTGTAGGGGATCTTGTTGTCCTGGGCAAGTCAAGTCACATGTACACGGCAAGTCAAGCAAACGGGCAACCGTGGAAGCAAACGAGCAACAGAATAGAATACTTCTAGTTGCAGCTACGAGGCGAGGATTTCTCAAACCGCTATACCACAGTTTCAATCACTCACTGCCTTTGTTCTGTCAATTTTATCTCCAGTCAATTGCAGTCACCTTTTGCTGCCAAGATCGTCAGTTGGCATGTCGGTACGTACCTTATTTACCAGCAATAGGTAAGGTAGCTCGTGCCACTTCCAGGCTAACCCGTCTTGCCCGTGTCTCTCTGTCCGTCTGCCGTTTGGGGGACAGACTCCCCGTCGTGCGCCCGCGTCCCCAATTGTGGATTTCATCTCGCTCTTGAATCTTCACTCACTCAAAATATCCCCGTTTCAACTCCTCATCGTCCTTTACCACGCCCACCCCGATTCCCAGCGCCTCTCTCGTCAAATCACTTCCTCTTCTCTCGCCTGCTACGCGCTGTCGCTATTCTCGCCTTTTTGTCTGGTCACACCCTCCCTCCCTCCGCCGCTCCTCGGCCGCCCTCCCGGGCGCGCAATTCGCCATTCTCCCTGACCACCACAAGCCCAGCCCGGAAAAAACGCCATGGTCACTAAGGAGTTTCTCGACTCGGACAGAGTCAACTTTCTCGTTTGGAGGTGCGCACCCCCAAACACCCCGGTCCTGGCACTTTTTCTTGCTTCATCTTCTTCTCTCGCCTCGCCTCCATCATTTGTTGCCATTTTTACCTCGTCTTTCCCCCGCCGCTCTCCCTCTTTTTCGCTGCCGGTTTCCCAACCCGACTCCCGCCCCTGGTACTAACTTTAGCCTCACCAGGTACCTTTTGGAAGGCAGTATGTCCTCTTCTCAACCTTGACGCCCGCCAATCGCCGTTGTCGCATCTTCGATCCTTTCTCTGCTTACCCTACTCACCAATTCTAGATTACCGTGAAACTGCCGCCAAGTTCCAGAAAGAATGGCATGTTCGCGAACCTCACCGCGACTTGGAGTTTGCGCCCCACGTCAAAGGCCACGCTCTGGTCTCCGTCGTCAATCGCGGCCTACTCTACAATGCCCTTGAGCGCGAACAAGCACGAAAAGGCGTAGGCAACCCTTTTAATTTTGACCCTCGACTTGAACCCGTCACTATACTCACTCACCACTCTGAACCATCTCCCTCCCTTGCGCTCATCCACCACCCCCGCCCAGGTTCACTCACATCTCATCGCTAACCCATCTCACCTGCACCGCAGTTGCCCATCGGCGCCACCACAGAATCTGAGCCCGAGGCTATCAAGAATGGCATTTTTGGGCCCTTAGAATCACCACTAAGAGCCAAGAAGGAGTACGACCAAGAGACCACGGCCGTCGCCATAGAGGCCGCCCGCAAGCGCTCCCTCCCAAATATCGCAAACGCCAATGGCTCATCGCCAAAACGCGCCCGTCTCACCAATGGCTACGAAAATGGCACACCACCTGCTCCCGGAGACGCCACCCCCATGGACGTCGACCAGTCGGACAACCACGCCTACCCCTCGCCTCTTGAGGGCGAGCAGGTGCCCCAACCCGTCTCCCGCACCGATGGCCCCGAGCAGGGCACCCAGGTGGAAAAGGTCGAGGAGCTCACCCCAAACACCACCTTTATTCGCCTTGCCGACGACGTCGCCCAACCCGAGGACACCACAGCTACTGCTTCAGCCTCTGCCTCTCCCGTCACCACCGAGAATGCACCCATTCTCCTGCAGTGCGAGTGGAACCCCAAAGACCCATCCGCATTGGCAGCTACTGGCACCGATGCGCTAGCCCGTGTCTGGACAGTCTCGCGTACCACTAATACCCCAGGACACTCCCAAGATCACGTGTCCCATGCTCACAACCTCATCAGCCCCGATACCCCCAGGACAACCACCGTCACTGCCCTCGCCTGGACCTCGGACGGCTCTGCCATTGCCGTCGCTGCTGACCTCGGCTCCCAAGCCGCCGTCAACATCTGGTCCGCCCAGGGCATCCATGTTCAGTCCATGGAGGTCCCCGAGCCTCCCGTCGTCAAGCTGTTATGGAACCCATCCAACACGGGCCTGCTCGCCATTTCACCAGAAAAGGGCGGCGCCGTCGTTACCGTCTACTCATCGCTAACATGCACTTCGCTGTCGCATCATCTCCCCAATCAGGACATTGGCGCCACGCCCCTCGACGCCACGTGGATTGGCGACTCAGACTTTCTGCTTTGCGGCGGCGACCTGCTCGTCTGCCTGCACTGCACAGAGTCTTCGATTGTTCAAGTGCGCAAGTTTGAAACCAAAGATGATGACAGCTTTTCCCAAGTATTGTTCGACTGGCGATCCAGGTTGGCTGCCACATCCAGCGACAAGGGAGTACTCGATGTAAGCTGATGCCCCAATATTCCCAAACTACTTTCGCAAAGGAACAGGCAGAAGGTCGAAAGTGCAGCATTAGGGAAGACAGGCGAGGAGCAAAGGACTAACATTCGCAGCTCTGGGATGAATCCGGTCAAAGAAGATCCATATCCGCACACCAAGGCGCCATCACTACGATGGAGTGGCAGCCTCTCCCGGCCTCACACCCGGTATCCGAAGACGAACGTCTCATTGCCACTGGCGGCGACGACTGCGCTATTTTAATATGGAATGCCCGCAAGCCCGAAAGCAAAGCCAAGTGCTTCCTTACCATGGACTCACCCATTGTGCGCTTAGCATTCACGCCTGACGGTGCCTTCATTGCCGGCGCCACCTCGAGCCAGGTTCTCATCTGGAAGGTGGGTAACACCACCATGCCCCGGGCGTGCTGGAACAGGCCGCCGCATCCTGGCTGGCTCAGTCCCAAGGAGACTGACGAGGAGGATGAGCACTGCCTGTGCTGGGACATGACGGGTCAAAAGCTGGCCTATGGGTCGAATAGCCGGGTACGTCTGCCCCTTGTACGATTTGCTGCTGGTGCTAACTATCTCAGCTCGCTGTTATAAATTTTCGAAGATGACCTTGACGACACTAAATTACAATACACTTGGCTCTGACGCGTCAGAGCTACCATGGGTCACGCTCTACCCACAGTCAAGATGTTACTCCGCTCCAACATGATGTTTCTACTTGCGCACAGGAGACTTTTGATCCCCACGGAAATCGCTTTTCTTTCGTTGTGTTAGTCAGCACGACAAAAACGGTGTCTGGGAAATACTTTACTACATGATTTGGCGATTCTATCAACAAGCGATACAGAAAAAGGACGAGAAAGGATAAAAAAGAGGGGGATGAAACAAAGGAGGACTTGAGCGACAAAATACGGGATACACGACTCATTGTCGACCACCTTTTTTCTTGCACGTGGTTTCTCTGGTTCGTGAAGCATAGAAGTCACGATATGCGAATATGAGCATTTCTTATCGTCCCGGGAGTGGTTCTTATCTTTTGAGGAGTGCGATCAGGATTGGATACTGGAAACAGAGGTGGGACATTGTTTGCATGGGTTTTGATTTTCGGAGTCTTGATGGTGGAGGTTCACAATCTGGAGGTGAGGGAGTTTTCTTTTTTTCCCCTTGTTCTATGGCTAGCGCGGAGCTGGTTTCATTTCATTCTTCTGTTTTCAGTAGTGTAAATTATAAGATGTACCATGAGCGTACGAATACAAGAAGCCCTTTTTCCACCATGAATCTAAGGTGCTAAGCTCGGTGATCAGAGTGGTACGAATGGTTGGGCTCCGTAGAGGTCCGTCTTAAGTCCACAGAAGCCGAGCGCGTCGCCGGGGCTCTTGGGCACGTCAGCGGGAGCAGCCCAGACAGCATTGTAACCCTTGTGTCGCACTATTGTACGATACGGACCAGCGATAGGCTGGAAGCTACGTAGCAATGGAAACCCGCTAGGTATGAGCAAAGAGATGGATGGACGGCAGTTGTGCACCCGCCATGTATCTACCTGATACTACAATGGAAGCGCCAGCCATCAACTGACCCAGACAACTCTCAGTGCAGTGGTCAGTAAAGCCGGCACACTATTCTCCTGTTCTAGCAATCCATGTTGAACGTTTCTTTCACGATTTGTGTTGGTCGGACAGCAGCAGCAGGAGCAGGAATGGCGGATCTTGCTGCTCTTGTTGGGTTTTAGACCTTGAGAATGGCACCGCTCTTGACGTCGTAGATGTAGCCGGTAATGGGAACGTCGAGGATGAATTCTGATTTCTTCAAAAAGGCAATGTCGTCGGCGACGCTCTTGGCAAGATCCTGGATCGGGAGAAAGGCGAAATGGTCGGCGCTTTGATGGAGCTCGGCGCGAATCTTGCTGCGGAGGACGTCGTCGGTAAAGGTGAGCATGCCGCAGTCGGTCTAAATCATTTATTCCAATCTCTTTATTAGCATTTTTATAAAAGCAACATGTAGAATTATTAAAAGAAATGGAAAATGAGGCAAAGAAGAGGGGGGGAAGGGGTGGTGGTGTCAAGGCCCACGTCGAGCGAAGCGAGGGAAAAAAGAGAAAAAGAAAAGGTAAGAAAGGGGGGGAAGACGTACATGATGGATGAGGACGATCTCGCGAGTACCAAGAAGTTGCTGGGAGATTATAAGGGAGCGGATGGAATCGGCGGCACGGCCGCCGGCGTTGCGGATGACGTGGGCGTCGCCTTCAGTAAGACCGAGGATTTTGGCGGGGTCAATGCGGGCGTCCATGCAAGTGACGACTGTGACTTTTCTATAAATCTTTTGTCAGTCTTTTTTTTTTTCTTCCTCGCTTCGCTCGAGGGAGAGGAGGGGGGGGATTCGGGGAATAATGATAAACACAAGGTTCTCGGCAACACTCACACACACACACCTCGACTCCGCATCACATGCATACACACAGACACACATCTCGATTTTTTTTTTTTTGCCTCAACCACGACGACGACGACGACGCACTACTGCTGCTGCAAGCATCACGGATCAAGAGGGCACGTACCGGCCGGGGGGCATGGGCAAGTCGGCCTTTGTAAAGGAGGCAGCGTACTGCTGATTGGCGACTTCGAATTCAGCGGCGACGGACATTGTTTTAAAAAACTATAGTGTTGATTTTGAGGAGACTGAGATGGCAGTGATACTGAGATTTGGAAAAAGGAAAATGAAAAAAAAAGGCAAGTCGTCCCGAGTGGCAGGTTTATATAGATGTCTGCGTTTTTTTTTTTTTTGCCCTCCTTTTTCATCTAAACACTAGTTTATCAGTTATGCCGCTTCGTAAACGAGTTAGGTGGCAGGCTATACTGCTTTCTACAAATAAATGGTGGGATGGCAGGCCGATGAGGTTTTTTTGGCGAGACGTGAAACAACCCCTCCGCCGTCATTTTGGGCGGCATGTCGCCATCCGCAATGGTAGAAACTTGAGGGGGGTGGGTGGTGGTCATTGCGGAGAAGACAGCCCCAAACCCCTGGTCTTGTCTGGGGAATTTGATATCATGAACCAACGGCGGGAAGATTTTCTGTGTTCCTAATTTTCCTTCGAATTCGTATTATTGTTGGAGCCACTGTTATTTTGGGGGGTTGAACAAGTTTTGATTCGTTCTGCTGGCAAGATAGGACCCCCCCCTAGAATGAGCCGGTATTGGCCGGGGATGGTGCCATCCGATGAACAATTGTGAGTCGTGAGACAGACGACGGCCCGAGATTGTACCGGTCTTGTTCGGGCAAATGGGGTTTGGCTACGGCGCCTAGAATGGGAATACAAGTTCTTTTACGCGCGTTGTGGTGTGCTCTCTCGGCACCAGATGTAATTTTTATTGGAGGCATGAATGAGGTGTATGTATGTATCTCTCGTTTGAGAACGAGTCAGGATCATAGTAACCTTTGCCACATACATTACAGCCGACGAGTTTCCTCTATCCTTGAATATCCCTCCTCGCGAGACATGCATCGAATGCGCCCACCACCATTTGAAAAAAAGACACGACAAGAAAAAAATCACAGCGGCTCGCTGACATGGTATCAAAAGATCTCCCTATATCCACTACTTGTGCCACGCTCGTGCGGTGCGAGGTGCGTCTGCCACGAGGTCTCGCGCCTCGCACCGCATCAACTTGTCGCACAACCCCCTCCTGCCCCGAGGAACGAGAGAGAAGAAATTTTGGTGTCGCCCTCCCCTCTGCTTTTCTACCTTCTGTAGTCATCGAGCTCATGTCGTGGAATCTGCGTCGTGAAACTACGTTGTGGAATCTGGGGCTGTACGCTGGTGCCCTTGGATCGCGTTTTGTCATGTCTGGCAAGAATTCATCGTCTTGGGTCTCGTCGCACCGCATCTGGCTGCAAGAGAACAAACATGTTCCAGTCTCGCGACGCTGCATGTCATTTTAACTGGAGAGCACCCTTTTTTTTCTTCCATGTGCATACCCTTGAGCCTGATTGGAGAGGGGAAACATGCATACTGTACGTATGTACATGGTAAAACTCGGCCCGTAGCACGTGCATGGCTACCAGTCTCAACTGGTAGAATCAAGTTTCTCATCTCATCTCTCACCTTGTGGCCTTCTGAGAGAAAATCAAGGAAAAGGGAAAGCGAATTTGAAAGATTTAGGGAGAATCAAAAGTAAGGAGGAATAAAAAGCGAGAGAAGGGAAAATTGTAGAGAAGGAAGATTTGGCGCCTAGGAGCTCAGGCTATTCAAATTCAACATGCCAAAATTACACTCACAGTAAGCTTAAAGGTATAATTTGGCAATAGAATAAGAATTTCCACTCCATCAGAGGCCAGATGCGACACCAGACACACGAGATACCACTTGTAGTTGGTTGCGCGCATATCGGAACACCTTCAGCAGCCAATCACGGCTTCGTGCTTCCAGCGCTGCACCCGTGGTTTTCGGTTTCCTAATGGCTACTAGCACATGAATGATCGGTCGATGCAGCTGCGTCTGTCAGCACCGCCATCAGAGTGCACATGGGTATTTGGGCGACGGATCTTGACTACCGAGTAGGTAACCACCAGAGAGAGACGTCATGGCTCCTACAGATACGCTGTAACGCCAAGTAGACAAGGGAAATCTGGAAAGGCAAGGGATGTTGAAAAGAAAGTAGCGGGCAAAGTGCAAGACAAAGGTAGATTGATGAAAGCCTCAAGACATACGCAAATGAGAAGAATACAATAGAATCGAGAATATTTCAATCGGCGATGCGGATCTGTCACGTACCCGAGCTGGCATGGTGAGCGCGGAGCCAGCTTGATTGACCTCAACCTCAACATGCCTGGCCTTGTGAGGCAACAGGTTTCGCACAGATCCACCAGGGTCGCTTGACGTGGCGCCGATTTGTACCGTTACAGACGGGCCGTCCAGGAGACGGTATTTAGACCAAGCCGCCTCCACAGACGAGCCCCGGGTGGAAACGGCAGCGACACCCGTAAATGCGAGGTCAGGCCGCGAGTCTTGGGATGCCACCATCGTCGAATGCAGCGTGCAGCATGGCGTCGTCGGGGTGCATGACATGCTGCGCAGTGCTGACCGGCTGTGGATACGGCTGCGACTCTGTCACGTAGGTATGCGCTTGAAGATGGTGGTGGTGGTGGTGGTCACAACCGGTGGGTGGCGGTAACGATGTGGGTGTGCCCAAGTGCCAAGTATTACAGCATGTCTTTCCCACACCCTTGTCCCCGAGGTTCGTGCATACATTGTCTTCTTTTGCTTGTCGGCGGCAATCTGGACAGGTGGATTTCCGCACGAGGTGAAATCGAGACGTCGCACTGCGTGCTAGCCATGCTGACGTAACGGAGGCATCTGTCGGCTCACTCACAGTAGTGCTGCCAGCGACGTTTGCGCATGTTTGGCATCTCACATGCTTCGGTGCGACGCGACGTCCATGGTGCTGGCTAGTTTCCGCTACTTACTCAAAGCCAGCAAGAATGCGTTCCAGAGACAGGCGGGCGAGGTGCTGCGGGCCTGCATTGTAGCTCTGCCGGGACTCGGGCACGATGATATGCTGGTAGCCTGGCACGCAGCACAAGCCGGGCAGTATGCATTGGCCGCCAATCGTCGCAACCTACCTTGTGAATCGTCGCAACCTGGCTGCAGGCGCCAAAATATCCAGAGTATCAGTGTGGGCCCGATCAAACTTGATGCAAGTATGCACAATCCAGTTCATAATCAACCATCAGATGCGCTGGAATCCAAAGGATTCCTTGACCTTTTGAGCCTCGGTCATGTGACTTTTGCTTAAATATAGAGCCGCCGCCCGGCAAAGAATCGCGTGAGCTTGCTTCAGTCAGCGTGATCCCATAAGACAGCCAACTCAATCAAAGATTAGTCAGCTTTCTTTGAGGTCTTGCGTTCCTAAGATGAGAGCTTTGAGAGTTGCGTACGAGCTGTAACGTCCGTGTAGCGAGCGCCTGGCTCATCTCGACGGCGTCAGCAGCATGTTCGCATCGCAAGTCTTGCCGACAAGGAGATACATGCGATACTGCGTCGTCGACTGACTTGCCAGACGTGATGGAACGATTTGCTGTTGATGACTGGGGCAGCGAAGAAAGACGGGGCCCCGACAGTTGACGTCCAAGTGCCAAAGTTTGTTGGATCATTTTTTTTTCAGGCAAAGCATGAATGGAATAGGGGTGGTGGAGACGGCCTATTTGCTTGCTGGTGGTGGACGTGGCTGTCGTAACCCCACCCTAGCCCGCTTTTGATGCCTTACAAAATCCGTCTGCCTTGCGTGCGATTCGCTCCGAGGGCAAGACAACGGTTGCGTGCCGAATCGCTGTCGCTCTCAGTCTCAGGTCGCACGGGCTTGGCGCGAGGAGGCTGATGAAGAGGCGTGCATCCCGGATATGCCTAGGGCAAGGTGGCAGCTGGGAGTCAATTTCCAGCGACAGAGCGGGGGGGTGGAAGAGGTACGGACCGCTATACTTTATCAACCGATCACCATTTGCAACGAGACGGGTTCAAACGATGATGAAACAAAAGAAAGTTGCGTACGCGCCAAGCATTTTTTTATCCTTTTTTTCTTGCGTCGTTCATCGGCCAGTTTCAGCTTGTTGTCTCCTGGTCTAGTTGCGGGCGTTCCTTATAGCCGTTGTGGCTCAGCAAGTGTGGCGGTAAAGTGGCTAGTGTCGCCAGCGCAGCGCAGCGGAGACCCTCTTGTTGTCGATAATCATGGGCAATATTGGTGATGATGAAATAATAATAATAACAATAATAATATAATAATAATGCCCCCTTTGTCCTGAGGCTAGGCCGAAAAATAATCAGCGGAAAGATTCAAGAGGCAAAAGGAGAAACACGGCCCACACACACAAAATGGTGGCAACTGGCAAGTGGCACGCCGGAAGCGATGTTCTCGAACCGAACAAGGGCAGCGGGTCCCGTCTCGTTGTTGCTGGCTGCCTTTGCCTGGCACCCTTGGGCCCGATGAGCGCGATGCGGGTTGGCAGCTGGCAGTGGTACTGGCAGGTCAGGGCTCCAGCCTCCGACACGGGTACTTGCTGTCAGCCTCCGACACGGGTACTTGCTGTGCCTGCCAAAAGTCACGTGTCATAGCTTAAATCGTGTCTTGCCCGCCACCGTGCTAAAATAGCGTGCTGGGTAGCCGGCCATGTACTTTTACTTGTCGTCCCGCAACTCGGACAAAAGATTAAAAAAGCCACTTCATCATGTCGAAGCCAAAATCTGCCGTTTTGCATTCCGCGTGACATACTCGTCGACTAGTTCGTGTGCTGCTTTTTTTCTGGTATTTTTCTGTTCGTCTGACTGGCACTCTCAGAGGGTCTTGTTTTTTTTTTTTTTGGGCGAGAGTGCAGGGTACCTACGCATAGGAGCTTGGAGGTATTTTACACGACATGGGAGAACCCAACGTAGTATTTCCACTGTTGATCATTATCCTGCACATCCTGCAGAAGGAGATGCGTTTTTTGTCTCGGATTCATTTTCTCCATAAACGTCTTCAGTTTCCCGTTGCCGCGCCACGTCCTTGTCTTTATTCTTGACGCAGTTGACAGAGCAGCAAACCAGAGCAGTGGCCCTACCCCATATTTTTTGGGGGCCATCGCCAGTCTTAGGTACGCTAGAAACAAACAGCAAAGGAAGCAAGACAAAGCCAGGATAGGCAGCATATTGTTAAGCGTCAAAGCTAACCGGGGACAGTACTCAGTACGCTGGGGAGCGCTGCCACGGATTCGTAATTATTGGTGCCAAACTGTGCGCCGACTGACTCATCCTCAGCCTGCACCACGACAGATCTGGCTTGTCGTCTGATGATACTAGACTTACTACTAGGTGATTAACTGCATCAAGCCCTTTGTGGCTGTCGCTTCTCGCCTTACCAGCGGTTAGTCCAGTTAGCCCGGGCTGCTAGGAAAGCATCGCTTACGCTGTCCGCCGCGGCCAAGACGTACCAGTAAAGATTGGGACATAACAAGCTCTCGCGCCGCGCGGGTTAGGTGGCACAGCAGGTTGGTCTGGCTTATTACCTATACCCGTTGCTGGTGGCACAGGAGGGGACGGCAGGGTCGGACAGAGGGAGACGACGGCTACACAGGGCCTGCATTGCACATGCAACGGTCCACGCGCTTGCTGCACCAGCTGCCGTGCAATGTGCTACATGATGGCCCTGTGCGAGGTTACGCGGGTGCGGCCGTGGCGTGCAGGAGGGGCAGCTTTGTGCGCGGGCGGGGGAGAGGTGACAAAATAGGTAGGCCAGATGAGGCGTCGGAAGCGGCTTCAGATGACGCTGGTAGGCACGAGTACCGAGCATCGACTCCTACCACTCCTACCTACCTACTCCGTACCTACCTGCACGTTCTGCACATACTACGTACAAGACCATTGCCATGATGCAGAGGAATAGCGAGTTGGAGTGGAGAGTCTGGGGGGTTTTGGGAAGCGGGCCAAGGGTTTCTTTTGTGGACTGTGTTTTATTTTATTCTAATTTTTTTTTGATATATTACCTCATTTTATACATACGCAATGTTTTTTCCTCGGTCTCGTTGCGGCTTAGGGCAAGACCCGCCAGGCATCATGACCGAGTGGGCGGCACTGTTGCCTGTCACTAGCTTGCTGCCACCGATTTATCAACTAGCAAATCAGCAGTAAAAAGAGCAAAAAGGCCGGTTGACAGAATTGCAGTGTATTTACAGTGGATGCGTCAGGTAAAGAAGACTGCCACAGTCCACTGCACAAGCCACTGCCAGCCCCAGCCCCAGCCCCGGCCCACTCCGGCAGCACACCCTCCACATCACCCATCCATAGCCCATCAGCGCCCCATCAGTGCCATCCCACAACATGGACACCACACCTGCTGAATCGCCGCACCCCCCTCCCCGCAGCATCCACCCCTGCTCCTGTTCATTATCTACCTCTCCGTCTCTCGCGAATCACCCGCGGCAACAAGTACTCTCAAAGCCAACAACCATGCACCGGCCACTCGCTCCCTGTGGAGCCGCTCGTCCCCACATCACACCCCAGCCGTCGCCCTAGCCTGCCCGTTCCCTCCCATTCTCATGGGTAAGGGGAGTTTGGCTCGGCCAGCGGTGCAGGTCCTTTCCTCCACCAGACAGCCTCTCCCCAATGACCAGTTTTCTTCTCTCTCCTCCTTCCCCCCAATTCCCTTTGATTCTGCCTCCCAAACGGCTACCAGGCCTCTGCAATCATCACCATCCTGGTCCCTCTCGCCATTACGGTCTTCATCATCCCATCATCGCCTCCCGCTTGTTACCTGGCGCGAACCCTCACCTAGTGCATCGTCGGTTTATTTTTCTGCGCAGCAGCCACGCTGGGCCCCATCCTCCAAAGACTTGTCGCCTCACCACTAAGGCCCCTGCTACGCGCTTGCACGTCAACGCATCTCGACCTCGGCCACCCACCCACCACGCCGACAATAATCTCTTCAGGACTTTAGTCGCTGCTGCTCGATCCGCCATTGAGCAATTCTGTCCTCTCTGACGCCCTCCTGTCGCCCATCGCGCCGCTCAAGCTGGCAACGCCTCGACTTGGCACACTTCCGCGTGCGGCTCCCAGTCGGCCATCGTCATCAGCAATGGCTGCAAACCATCATCCATCGCCCACCATGATGCAGATGCAGCACCAGCAGGCGCAGGCGCAGGGCGGCCCGCCTCACGCCGGCCCTTCCAGCCAGTATAGCGCTTCCGTCCAGATTCAGCAGCTCAACGAGCAGGTTTGGCTACAAATCGGTAAGCTTGGTTCTCGCCTCTTCCGTCTCGTCGCGCCATCGCTAAATCCCACCCAGGCAGCTGCGCAGAGCTCTTGCGCACCCCCGACGAGGCCCTCCAGGCATACGAGCGCGCCCTCATCGCCAATCCTCAGTCCATCACTGCTCTCAACGCCATCGGTATGCTGCTCAAGGGTCGCGAGGCCTTTGACAAGGCTCTCGAGTTCTTCCGCACCATTGTCGACATGGACAGAAACAATGGCGAAGCTTGGGGCAATCTCGGTAAGCACATGATGCCATAGCTCCATCTGTTCCGACGCTAATTCAGCAGGCCACTGCTTCCTCATGACCGAAAATCTCCAAAAGGCTTACGACGCTTACCAGCAAGCTCTGGTCAATCTGCGCGATCCCAAGGACCCCATGCTCTGGTACGGCATTGGCATCCTCTACGACCGCTATGGCAGCTACGACTATGCCGAGGAAGCCTTCTCCCAGGTTATGCAGATCCAGCCCGACTTTGAAAAGGCAAACGAGATTTACTTTCGCCTCGGAATAATATACAAACAGCAGTCGAAATATCCCCAGAGTCTTGAGGTAAGCTTGGCGCATGCTCTGCACGAATCGCTTCTGACTTGGAAAAGTGCTTCAAATACATTGTCAGCTCGCCTCCCGGCCCCCTGACACAGGAGGACATTTGGTTCCAAATTGGTCATGTTCATGAGCAGCAAAAAGACGTATGTTCGCTTTCTGCCTTGGTCCGATACAAACTGACAATAATTAGTTCGACAACGCCAAGGCTGCCTACCAGCGTGTTCTGGATCACACGCCTACCCATGCCAAGGTCCTCCAACAGCTTGGCTGGCTCCACCACCAGCAGAGCAGCTCCTACGAGTACCAAGATCGCGCCATTCAGTACCTCGAGAAATCTGTCAACGCCGGTAGGACGTCCACAATCTCCTCCGATCGCTCAACCCTAACAGCAGCAGATAACACCGACGCACAGAGCTGGTACCTGCTTGGTAGATGCTACATGTCGCAGCAAAAATACCCCAAGGCGTATGAGGCCTATCAGCAGGCCGTCTATCGCGATGGAAAGAATCCTACCTTCTGGTGCTCAATTGGTGTCCTCTATTATCAAATCAACCAATACCGAGATGCGCTCGATGCTTATTCGCGCGCCATCCGCCTCAATCCCTACATTTCTGAAGTCTGGTATGACCTCGGCACATTGGTAAGATATGGTCCGTTCTGCCACGTTGGCTGCGCCTTACTAATCTGTCCCAGTACGAGTCGTGTAACAACCAAATCTCCGATGCCCTTGATGCCTATCAACGGGCTGCCGAGCTTGACCCTCACAACCCGCACATCAAAAATCGTCTTCAGCTGCTTCGCTCCGGCAATGGCGGTGCTCCCCCGGCTGCACCTCAGCCTGCCGATGTTCACCCGCAGGCTTATCAGGCCGCTGGTCCTCAAGGTCCTACTGGTCCTCAGTGGGGAGGCTCTACGGCTCAGCCTCCTACTGGCGGCCCTCCTCCCGCTCCCCAAGGTGCTGGCGAGAACTGGGCTCGCAACCTCTCCAACGTGAACCCACCTCCCCAACCACCTAACCCATATGAGAGCCGCGGGGAACCTTTCCGTGGCGGCCCTGCTCCCCCTCTGCAGCGGCCTCACAGCCCTCAGCATGACCCTCGCCAGCCGCAACCTGACCACCGTCAAGCGCCGCAACCTCAGCAGCAGCCGCCATACGCCGACCGACCTGGCCTGGCTCGCCGTGCTTCGCCTCCTCCAAGCCACGCATATGCTCCTACGTCGCAGGGCCGCGTTGCCAACCCAAACTTTAGCGGCTCTGTACCGTCTGTTTCCGCGCTTCCATCGGGGGGTCCCAACGGCCCCGCACCGCCGCCTCCCAACGGCACTGTTCCCTTCCGGCCCACCCACAGCCCCCGCCCTGACGGCCGCGAGGGCCATGTTCCCTCGCCCAAGCCTGCCTACCCCGGCCAGGCGCCGCCGCCGCTACCCCCATACGCGGGTCAAAGCGAGGCACTACAACCTGCAAGTGAGAACGGACAGACTGGCCCCGTCCCCCCTTTGGCGGCAGCCCCCGAGGCCGCAGTCCAGCGCCAAGAAGACCGCCCTCCCTCGGTCGGACCGAAGCGTATGCGCGAGTGGGAGGATGATGCATCCGTCAAGAAGCAAGCAAATGAAGAGAATCGCGCACGCCTGGAGGATGTCAAGCATCGCCGGCCGTCCCTGTCTCCCAAGGAAGGCTTCCGCCGCCCTTCTCCTCGGGGCGAGGAGCGCCGTGTAGAAGAGCCTCGCAGAGTGGAAGAGTCTGCCCCCAAGAACGACTACCACCCCTCTGAGGCAGCTCATCATCACCCGCAACACAGCGTAACGGGGACTCAGTTGCCTCCCATGCAGGCATCCGCCCCCGCTGATGCTACGCCTGAAAAGGCCCAGCCTCCAGTCATTCCAAAGGAGGAGCCCCCGGAGACTAGCATTGCTCCGCGGGCTTCCGCAACGTCTGAGCCTGAGCGCGCCGCTAGGAAGATGGATGTCGACGAAGACTATGACGATGCACCCGAAGATGACAAGAAGGCAGCCACAACGAATGGCTCCAAGGCTGGCTCTACTACGGACGAGGCCAAACCCAGCTCACCAAACAGCACGGGAGCTAACGGCACGACAGCGGCCCCTGCTGCTGCCACGGCTAAGACGGAATAAGATGTAAAAAAGGAGGCGAAGAGCAGGAGGATGGAGTACGAGTCTTGAGATTACGCAGCACATTTTTCTGCTTGAATTCCCATGTATACCACACTGGCTATTCTGCTTTCTTATGTTTACTTTACCCTATTTGTTTCTTGTTTTTTGGTCTTTTGGGTTGGCTTAGGAGAAAACTTGTTAGGGTGGGCGTCGTGCTGGGAGAAATTTGGAAAGTCGAACGGACGACTGGTCCCTATATAGTCTGTAGTATGTTTGGAAATGGAAAAAAGTTTCCCACACTCTGTTGATCCTAAAGGCTCAAGTGTCTGGCAAACTTCTTCATATGGTCTTGTCGTGCGACGTTGGGCAGATTATGCGAACCAAATTATCTGAACGTGACGCAAGTGATGCAGCCCTCGAGGTCCAGACAAAGTACGTAGAACCAGGTTACAAAGCGCGACTGAAGGGACTAAGGTGAGTGCTGGGAGTTCGTGTGACATTCTAGCGCATGGAGCATAGTGGCATAAAGTGCCGCACGCAGAAGTTGTCGCACAATATCTAAGCACATAGAGTCCTTAGGCACGTGTTTTAGAACTTGGCTCACAAAAGAATGAGCACATGCAGTGTTTCAACACGTGCGATTCAGAGCGCGCGTGACGTCTGCCGGGACATGCATGCCAGCTTTGTGCCCGCGGACGGCGGCGGTGTAGATAAGCGCCTCGCGCCGCGTGATACAGACAAGCGCGATTCGCGTCGAGATGCTCGTGGTTTCCCTTTCGTTCTTTATCACTACAATGTCCGATGCCTTTTTTCTCATTTCAGATGAATTTAGTCCTGGAGACTCTTGGACCAAGCGGCTGTGGGGCGATGATGATCGGGGTACTTTCCGGTTACTAGGTTAGTGCCAGAAACCGCGCCTTGCGGAATTTGGGCATGCGCTGCAACGTAACGAGCTAATACTATGCACGAGGTAATGGGAAAAGAAAAAATTAAATCACCGAGGACAGAGCCTTGTCGGAGAGGGGGAAGGGGAGGGGTGCTTTTGATGGGGTGCGTGGGTGCGATCCTGGCGTGCGGTCAAACGAGCAGTGTAGAGATGTCTGATGCTACCATCTACCTGCTTTTTCATCGCTTACTTGGTGATGATCGTCGAAGCTTGATTATCCAGCAACACTTTGTTTCAGAGAATCCGCCACGATTTTGTTTCTCGGCAAGACTTACGCCCCTCCCTCCCCCCCCCCCCCACGCATACGACATGGAGCGCTTCACGCAAGAGGCATTTGACGAGCATTCTCGGCAGAACCCGCTGCTGGTCCTCGACGACGTGCTCACGCGGCATGTGCACCAGAGTCCCTCGCCAATTCTCTTTGCGTATCCTCGTGCGGATCGAGAGGGTGGCGACGGCGACTACTACGAGACTTTTACGGCGGCGCAGCTCGACGGCTACGTGGACGCGGTTGTGCGGCACCTCGTCCAGTCTGGACACGAACCGGTGCGTTTTTTTCTATCCCACTCTCTTGCGGACGAGCCAAAGGATATAATGGGGGATGAAAGAAGTGACTAACGAAAGGGGTTGCGAGCAGAATCTCGGACGCGTGGTGGGGATGCTGGGAAACCCCAACCTCGACTGGGTCGTCCATCTCTTTGCGCTCTCTCGCCTTGGGTACTGCGTCGTCATGATGTCGCTTCGCCAGAAAGCCGTTGGTCTTGCGAGTCTGCTAGGATCCGCGCGCGGCGACGCCGTGGTGTACGACGAAGCCACGCCCGACACGGCGGACCTCGTCCAGGGCATCGTCGCGTTGCAGCCACCCACTTCGGCGATTCCATTCGTTCCGCGCTCCGTCTATACGGCGGCGGCCGCCGTCAGGAACACCTCCACCCCCAAACCGCCGCGCTTCTTCTTCCCCCGCGAGAAGCAGACCGACACCACCGCCGTCTTCTTCTCGACGTCGGGCTCGACGGGGCTCCCGAAACCCATCCCCTACCGACACGACGACATGGCGCTGTCGCTATTCACGTCGTCGCTGCCGCTCACCAGCCTGCTCTCGTGGCCGTCCTACCACGGCTGGGGACTGGGCATCCTTCTCGGCACCATGCACGCGGGCAAGACATGCTACGTCATGGACACCGGACCAGAGTTGACACCCGGCGCGCTGATTGAGGCGCTCGAGGCGGCACGGCCAGAGTTCTTGCCCGCGCCGCCGTACAATGTCGGGCTCATTGCGCAGACGCCTCGCGGACTGGCGTGTCTGCAGGCGGCCGAGTACGTCACCACGGGCGGCGCGAGGCTGCCGGACGAGCTGGGCAAGTATCTGGTCGAGCACGGCGTCAACATCAGCACGTCTCTGGGGAGCTCGGAAGCGACGCGCAACTTTGCCACATCCATGTGGCGCGCGCGCGGGGATCCGGAGTGGGATTACGTTGAGATTCCGCCGGTGCTGCGGCCGCACATTCTGCTGGATCCGGTGCCTGGCAACGCGCCGCTGCACGAGATTGTGTTTTTGCGCAGCTTCCCCGGGCTGAGTCACGTGGAGGAGGGAAATGTTTTTCGCACGGGGGATATGATGCGGCCGCACGAGGACCCGCGGCGGGATACGTGGAAGTTTGTGTGCAGAGAAGGGGACTTTACGGCGCTGAGCACGTCGATGAAGGTGCTGGGCGTGCCGTTTGAGGAGCGCTTGCGGGCGAGCCCGCTGGTGGAGGAGGCGGTGGTGGTGGGTGTGGGGAGGACGGTGCCGGGGCTGCTGGTGGTGCCCGCGACGAGAGAGGAGGAGGAGGAGGAGGAGGAGGAGGAGGAGGACGGCGACGACGAGGATGATGGGGAGAGGTTCGTGGAGAGAGTGTGGCCGCTGGTGGAGGAGGCAAACGGCGTGGTGCCGGGGCATGCGGAGGTTTCGAGGGACATGGTGCGGGTGCTGCCGCGGACGGCGAGGCTGCCGAGGACGGACAAGGGGAATGTGATGCGGCAGAGGGTGTATACAGAGTTTGCAAGTGAAATTGAGGGGCTGTATGCAGAGGAAAAAAGGGGGTAAAGGGATGTAGAGGGTGGGGGATGTAGATATGAGGATTGGTTATGAGACTGGGTGATGCGTGGATCTGGTGTTGTAAACTTGCTGATCGTGTACTTGTTCTCAGATGCTCGCAGGTGGGAGAGCTTAAGGTTTCCAAAAAAGAGAAAGCATCTTCATAATCATGGAAGCCGATACAGCTCTTATTAGCACAGCAACGCTTCGGACTTGTGAGGCAGTGTACAAGTTAGCGTGAGATGGTTTTCGAGAAGTGGTGAGAAGCTTTAGCTTTGTCTTGAGAGACTTGTTAGGGAGCACGAAGCTGGCGGCGCTGGTGACGCTACTAACAATTCTATGATGAAGTAGATATGCAAGATTCAAAGCCAAGTTTAAGAACCGGGGAAAGCTGATATAACGTCGTCGTTTCGTGTAGCAGATAAGAAGTGATACTCTGCTGGAGTGAGATAGTCGACTATCAGCTTTGCGCCGTCTCAATTTATCTCTGCCAGGTTCTTGATAAACAGAATTTCTATTCCGCACTGCAATACCTGTTTGGCAGCCACAAGTCAAATTTCGGCCTAGGTGTATACTACCATGTAATTAACGTACTTGTGGTGTCGCCTCTGCTGGGTGTTAATGCTATCTGATAGAGGTGACTCATACCGTACCCGATAGCTGCCCAAACGCTTCAAGCCGACTCGGAAGCCTCCGCCAGCCTCTTTCTTGTAGAGGACGAATAGTGCTCTGAGAGGCCCCTTGCTTCGCGATCCGCTACACCCTCGTGTAAGTGACAGAAAGACGCCCACAATTGCAAAGGTGCGACGAGACCATCAGCTTCGAAGTTCTCACCAAATTTAGTGGATGACTTTTCTAGTGTTCTTCAGAATGAATCTGTTTGACAGCAACTGTGGCAACCGGTTGTCATGTCGTTTTTTCTGGCTGCTGGCGCCAAGGCCTCCGAAGCTATACTCCCCGCATTGTGCTGGAGTGTGCGACACCGACTATCGAATGTTTCTACCAAAGTTCTCGTATTCATGTAGTAAAGTGCCATTTCAGCGTTGTGCAGCATCCAGTCAAAGGCAGTCCTAGCAGAATCCGGCCAATTCACGAGCAACTATGAAGCTGTCCGCATTCTGCTCCGAAACAGCAAGGAGCTCGAGCGACTGTCATCTGTCAGAGAAGAGTATTTTGAAGCGCGAATGCGTCAGCACGATGCCCGTGCTATGGCAACTTCCAACCTAATTACTGATCTACATTAAAATCGCTTCAAGATAAGAATGAAGCCTATTTACGCCCTCGTTGCGTGCATGGCCAGCATGGCCGCCGCCTCACCCACGCCAGTTGAGCTTGACACTCGCCTGCGTAAATGCGGCTACAGAAGCTGCCCAACAGGCTGGAGATGCTGCAACAACTGCGACCCCGACGAGGCCGTCTGTATTCGAGGCCCTGATTGCCCTCGTTGCAGATAGGCAAGTTCAAATCAGCCGACAAAAGATTGCGCCCTACGGACAGGAATGACGTCAATTGGGAACAGAGTAGGGGATCACTACGTTTCTTTGCTATCCTTCTCTCTATCGATACAAAGCGCATCTGAATGTAGCTGCTTGAAATTGTAGGAGAATGATGTATACGTCCTTATGACTTTGTTGAAGAGAATCACACGGTCGAGTAGCCGATCGGCTTCATAGGCACAGCGTCACGGCGAGATGGACGCAAATTGAAAGGAGGAATCGCTTTCTAGCGTCGTCTTTACATGAGCCATGAGTAGGCATGATTAGCAGCTCTACATACAGTAGCTATCCGAGATGGAAACGCTGTTGTGTCGCAGCACGGCTATTGTCTGGAGGTCTAGCAGCCGGGAACAACAGCGAAGAAGTTGTCGTAGGAAGTTAGAGAAGTTGGGCGAAAAAGACAGACTCTGGAAAAAATTAGATATACGCTCTTGTTCTCACGTTGCTATCGAAGAGGAAGCATTTTCTCAAAGTGAGCTGCACAAATCTTTAATGAACTAGCATAACTTGCATAAACTTGCGGCACAACACCGCAGTTTTACCGTCCAAGTGGTGCGGTTCTGCCAGCCCCACTGTAGAGGCGGCCGTTGATTGGAAGACCGGCGAGGGCGCACGAGCCACCGCACAACGAGTCTGCCACCGGGAATTCGCTTAAAATTTCGCCCACAAATTATTTTCAAACCCTCCTAGACTTTTCTCCCACTGCTAGGCTTTGACGCTCTCTACTCCTCTCACTAACCACCAACCACCACAGCCGACAAAATGAGTGTATGTTATTGTGAACTTTGCGACAGCGAGAACAACAATGCGAAGACGGCGACTAACCCATGACCAATAGCACCGAAAGCACGAGGAGCCTCGTCACGGTTCGCTGGCCTACCTTCCCAGGAAGCGTGCCGCCCGTCACCGCGGCAAGGTCAAGTCGTAAGTTTTTTTTTCGAGATGGGAGGAAGATATTGCGACTCGCAGGAAAGAAGCAGGAAAGAAGCAGAGGCTAACCAATTGGCTTGCATATAGCTTCCCCAAGGATGACCCCAAGAAGCCCGTCCACCTCACCGCCGCCATGGGCTACAAGGCCGGCATGACCACGATCGTCCGTGACAGCGACCGCCCCGGTGCGAAATCTAACAAGAAGGAGGTCGTTGAGGCTGTGACCATCGTTGATACCCCACCTGTACGAACAATGCAGCCCGCTTTGCTTTGCGCATATGGCTAACATCTGATTTTTAATTCTAGATGATCGTTGTTGGTCTTGTCGGATACATCGAGACCCCCCGCGGCCTGCGCTCGCTCACCACTGTCTGGGCCGAGCACTTGTCCGACGAGCTCAAGCGCCGCTTCTACAAGAACTGGTACAAGAGCAAGAAGAAGGCTTTCACCAAGTACGCCAAGAAGCACTCCGAGTCGTCGGGTGCCTCCATCGCCCGCGAGCTCGAGCGCATGAAGAAGTACTGCACCGTCGTCCGCGTGCTCGCCCACACCCAGATCCGCAAGACGCCCCTCAAGCAGAAGAAGGCTCACCTGATGGAAATTCAGGTCAACGGCGGCTCCATCTCCGACAAGGTCGACTTTGGCAAGGAGCTCTTTGAGAAGCCCGTCTCGGTCGACTCCATCTTTGAGCAGGACGAGATGATTGATGTCATTGCCGTCACCAAGGGCCACGGTTTCACCGGTGTCACTGCCCGTTGGGGCACCAAGAAGCTTCCCCGCAAGACGCACAAGGGTCTCCGCAAGGTTGCTTGTATCGGTGCCTGGCACCCTAACCACGTCCAGTGGACGGTTGCCCGTGCCGGTCAGGACGGTTACCATCACCGTACCTCTGTCAACCACAAGGTTTACAGAATCGGCAAGGCTGGTGCCGAGGACTCTGCCTCGACCGACATGGACATTACCAAGAAGAAGATTACTCCGTATGTGCCTTTTGGACCGAAAGTCAGAATTTTTGCTAACAGATGCTTAGTCTCGGTGGTTTCGTCCGTTATGGTGAGGTCAAGAACGACTTCGTCATGGTCAAGGGCTCCATTCCTGGTGTCAAGAAGCGTGTCATGACCCTCCGCAAGTCCATGTTCACACACACTTCGCGCCGCGCCCTGGAGAAGATCAACCTCAAGTGGATCGATACCTCGTCCGAGTTTGGTCACGGTGCTTTCCAGACCCCTGCCGAGAAGAAGCAGTTCCAGGGTACCCTCAAGAAGGACCTCACCACCACCGCCTAAATGGGTTGAGCGGGCCGAGCGTCACTTTTCTTTTGTTGTATCTTGCGCACTTTCTTGCATTGGGGTGTCGAGGAAATGGTTGGTTTATGCCACTTTATGCTAGTCTTTTTGGGTTTTATGGGATCAACGTAAAAATGCTAGGTAAAGGAAGAATGAAAATTTAAAAGATTCCCATTGATGAAAATTTTTTGCCTCTTGAAATGTGGAAGCAATTTGGTAGCAAAGCTTGCATCGTTGTGCTGTGGGTGATATATGATGGCGCGGATTAGGATTGACGTCACCCCACTTTTACTTGGGCGTGTGGGCGTTTGCAGCGAGACAGAACGTCAGAAGGAGGATCTACAAGAACAGCCCCTCTTTCTCGTTATAAAACAGCTTGCTGAGCAGAAAATTGAATCCACCACCGTCATATGGCAGGGAAGAATGTCCATGTTTCATTAAATCGATTTGGAGTAATACGAGAATCTCTAATCGGACCTTTACGATCGACAGTCGCAAGAAAGCAGCAGCAGCGACCAGGACAAAGGGGACCGCGGCATCGAGGCCCCACGAAGCAACGTCAGCAGTTTTTCTGTACCGGATCGGGACGCGACGAGATACGAGGGACTCGCATTCGCAACACGACGACTGATTGCGAAACGAGCAGCGTCACAGCGTCGAAAGAACAAGCAAAGCACGCAGCAGTAGTCGACATGTCTTCGGATCAAGACTACATGGCGTTCCTGAACAAGGCCAACAACGACGCCGACGAGGCCCACGCCAAGTCGTCAAAGACGGCGCGCGCGCAGCTCAAGTCGCTGGATGCGGGGCAAACGGCGCCGCAGGGCATTGTAAAAGTATGCAAAGAGGCCGTGTACTCGAGCGACGCGGATGAGCCGTTTGAGCCGGTGTCGCTCAAGTTTACGGGCGCGGGTGGACTACCTGACGAGGGTAAGTGAATAATTCCCTTTGAACCATGACCATGAAGAATAGCTTTTGCGGTGTGTTGCTGAAGATATTTGTTGCCGTTTCTCTTTGTTCGGAGAGAGGATATGCGAATTTTTCTCTCTTTGACAAGGCTGCGAGCGGCATGGCGCGGCTGGGATCAGCAGCATGGGAGAAAAGTGTTGGGACTGGATGCTGATACATTTTGGAAACAGAGGAATTCGCCAAGCTCATCGAGCACTGGGACGTGGCCAAGGCCGAGATTAGTATCCTGGACCCGCTGGACTGGGATTCCAACGGACAGTACACGCAGGTGCTGGAGGCGGTGCGGGATGCGAGCAAGGGCAACGACGTGCGGGTGTACCGGGTGGTGCGCGACACGACACGGGTGGAATACTGGGTAATTACGAGGGCAGGCGAACGGATTGTGGGCGCCAAGGCGTTGGCGGTCGAGTCGTGAAGTGGCGATGGAGGTACGAGACACGAGCTCTATTTAGAGGATGCCTGGGAGAAGATGAGGGGACAATGAGAGGAGCAAGAGGAGCAAAAGAGGTTTGGCCGGGTGGAGAAGTTATTAGTGTAAAATGTGACGATTCGTGCCGATGAGGATGCAAAGTGTGTTTGCATGTGTGATGTCGCAGTGGATACATGTAAAGCTGTAAATGATGTCTTGCAAAGTTGCAAGCCGGGGTAGCGAAAGCAATCAAAGGCACATGGGAAACAAGATCTAATTTGACGAGTTGAGAATGGGAAGCGCACGGGTATAAAGATGATTATTGACAGGCAACAGAGGTTCATTGGGTGAAACCGATACGATGGAAAACAGGCACGGAGAAAAGGAGAGTCTGGGGAGAGGACAGGTTGTGGCGGGACGAACGAATGATGAGTCGAGTCGCTGGGCCGCGCGGGGTGTTTTTTTCTAAATTTAGCCGCCCTGGTCTTGGAAATGGGCCTAGGCAGCACCTCGGGCTTCTTCCCCTTTCTTTTTCCTTCTTTTTTTTTTTTTTTCTTTCCTGCCACAGCGGGAAAATATAGCGTTTGCAATTAAAATAAAGACAAACATTTGTTGTTGACGGATCCGGACTCTTGGATGTTGGGCAGGAAGGGGGGGGAGGGGGAGAGATGAAGAAAAAACTGGGGGACAAGGAGACAAAAAAAAGACTGAACGCGCAACACGACAAGGATGGATGGGTGTTGCTATTATTGATCTGAAAAAAAAAAAAAGAAAAAAAAATCAAGAATATACTAGGACTATGCGTATTTTTAGCCACCTAACAATAGAAACCTGCACAACACCCACCACTACGATTGGGCGGCGCGAGCATGAGCCAAGGCCTGGGGGACCGACCCCCAACGCTGGGCTGCGCGGGCGCTTACGCAGACTAGGCCGACGCCTCGCCGATTCGCTCTCCCATTTTAGATGTTGCTATTTTTCTTTGCTTTTCATTTTTTCAGGTGTGGCAATAAAGGAAATGAACTAAATATGTATGGGAAGCGTCTTGATTGGATGATTGCACGGGAAAAAAAACAGAGATAATGAACATCTTTGTTCACCCCCCACAACGTTCTACGTTGGGTTTAATCCGTACAGATGCAGCATACATATATCAATTTATTGACTGATCCCTCCTCTCCCCCCTCTCCGTTTTAGCCGCCGAGGCACAAGTTGAACCCCTCTTTCTTCAACCCATCTTCATCCTGTCTGTCCATCGCTGACACCCCTCACCGGTTCGGCGGCAAGAAAAGAAAAAAAGAGGACAAGGGGGGGTGGGATATCAGATTAATTCTCTCGCCTTTTTTCCCTTCTTCTACCTCACACATCTTTTCATCTTTTCATCTTTTTAACTTTTTTCTTGGTTTTATATCCTCTTGAACTCTTTCTTCCCCTCGGATGATCCTCTGACAAGCCGGCCGTTTCATCGTCGACGTTTGAGGGACACACATACAAAAAAAAAAAGCAGAGCTCTTCTGTCACACTTGTTGTCTGTTTTGCGCATTACACAAGACGAAGCTAGACACTCGTATCGTTTCAGGACCTTTTTTCCTTGGCCCCATTCTTGCTTGATTGCTCTCCCTCTCTCTCCCTCTCCGCGTTTCCCCGTCAATTCCGGCAACTATACGGAGTAGTCTATTCCTGTGCTATTATCGGTTCAAACTTTTGCATAAAGAAACGCCCTTTACCTTGCGCCGCGCGCGCAAAGATCGACCTGCACACCTTTTTACAACGCTAATAAACTCATTCACAAAATTCGGCAGCGTTACTAATAACAACGACGATAACAACATCATCAACATCAACATCAACATCATCATCAACATCATCATCATCATCAACATCATCATCAACACCAACAACATCATCAACACACTACAGCCATGTCCGTCATGGCCTCTCGTCCGCCCAACATGCCCGCCGGCGCCGGTGGCGGCAACCCCTCCAAGCGCCCACGCCTCTCTCTGCAAATCAAGACGTCTTGCCTCTCCGGCTCCTCTTGCTCGTCCGGCAACGCAGCGTCGACGTCGACGTCGACGCCGAACCGCTCGCGCGGCTTTCCTCTCAACCCGTCGGACCCGACGGCCTTCAACACCCTCTCCAACGCCTACGTGACGGCCATTGAGCGCGCCTCGACGCCCCTCGCCTCGCCCGCCGCCGCGGAACCCCTCACCGCAATCACCACACTGCAGGCCATCTCGCTCTACTCGCCGCTCGGTGGTCGTCGCCCCCGTTCGGCAGCGGCCAGCGCTTACCCCGCGACGCCCGTCTCCGCGTCGTCGCCCCGGCGGCAGCAGCAGCAGCAGCAGCGATTATTGCCAAGCAACAGCGTCATGTCGCCCACGCCACCCGTATCGGCTGGCGCCGTCGAGGGTGCCGGAAAGGGCAGAAATAGCACCGTATTTAGCTTCTCGCCGAGAGATGCTGCCGCAGGCCGCCATTCCCTCGAGCAGGCCCTCTACGCTGCGGCGGCAGTCACGATACCTGCGTCGCCGGCAGCCACAATACCCGCATCGCCAGCAGCCACGCCGCCAAAAAAGCAGCAGCAGCAGCAACAACAACCCGCACGGGCCGGCGTCTCCGGCTCGCCTCCGCCGTACACGCACGCCAAGGCCCTCCGCAGCATCCTCCGCAATTCGCCTCTTTCCTCGCGTCGATCCGCTTCGTCTCCGCGCCGCCTCACAACCCCCACCGTCCGCATCCAGCAAGAAGATGCGCAACAGCAACAGCAACAGCAGCAGCAGCAGCAGCAGCAGCAGCAGCAGCAGCAGAGGGCCGCCAAGCGCGTATGCTACCACAGCCCCATTGAGCAGGAAATCACCACCAACACGTACACCAAATCTCACATTGACCTGCTCGTCGAGGAAGCCGCCACCGCGTCGCCGTGCTCCCCGCGCCGGATGCCCGTCGACTTGCTGCGGGCGTTTTCCGCGAATGAGATTCGGGATGGCGGCCAGACGCCCGGTGCGTTTGAGGACGAGAGCAAGCGGCTGGACGCGGCGCTGTCTAGTTCAGGTGATGGAGTGCAGAAGAGTAGCATTAGTAGTAGTAGTACTGGTACTACGCGAGGGGAGAAGAAGAGGCGCTGGGTGTGGACGATTGGGAGAGAAGACGAGGAAGTGGATGAGGATGAGGAGCAGCTCGGCGGTGCGGTGGTGGCGGCAGCGAGAGCGGCGGCGGCAGCGGCGGCAGCGGTGTCGGTGGCTGGGGGGAGTGGGAGTGGAGGGGCGCCGCTGCTGAGCGTGCCGACGCCAAAGAGAAAGATGGACACGGACGTGGACGTGGAAATGGCCGTCATGACGTGAATGAGAGCATGTGCTTGGAGGGATTGGAAATCTATATAGGGTATACAGGCGGACAGAATGTCGCATTTCATTTTGCATATTGCATGGTTTGGGGAAACTTGGGAAACTACAACATGGGAACACTTGGATATGGATGGCATCTAGTCAAAAGGGCATATTGTATAGCATTTTCTACGAGACACGAATATTCATAGTTGGCGAGAGACTAGGTATATTTGCTTTGAGAGCAATACCATTTATAAATACATCAGCATACACATACATACACACACCCCCACACAAAGCATGGGCATGACGTCTTTATTCCATTTACACGAAACGGTGATTTCTATATAGTTTCATGTACATTAGATAAATTCTTGCATTTGCTTTACTTTATATATCTATAGTGTTCTTTCGTTCTCAATCATTATGCCCCGTTATGCCCCGTTTTGCTCCGCGTGGTACATTTCCTCGGCCGACTTGATGCAGTGCATGCTCGCGCCCAACTTATTAATCGTCTCCATCCACTCGTCATACTCGTCCGAGTCGAGCACGATGCCGCCGCCCGCCTGCAGGTACGCCGTGCCCTCCTTGTACAGCATGGTGCGCAGCGCAATGCACGTGTCCATGGCGCCCTCGACAGGCGCCCCGTCGGCGTCGACGCCGCCGTACCCAAAGTAGCCAACGGCGCCCGCGTAGACGCCGCGCTTCTCGCGCTCAAGCTCGGCGATGAGCTCCATGGCGCGGACCTTGGGCGCGCCGGAGACGGTGCCGGCGGGGAAGATGCTGCGAAAGGCGTCGAAGCGCGTCTGGTCGGGACGCAGGACGCCCGAGACCTGCGAGACGAGGTGCTGGACGTGGCTGAAGCGCTCGACGCCGAGTAGGCGGTCGACCCGCACGGTGTGGGGGTCCCCGACGCGGTTGACGTCGTTGCGGGCGAGGTCGACGAGCATGACGTGCTCGGCGCGGTCCTTTAGCGAGCTGCGGAGCGTGGCGGCGAGGGCGTCGTCCTCGGCGGGGGTGCGGCCGCGCTTGACGGTACCGGCAATGGGGTGCGTGATGATGCGGCCGTCCTCGCTCTTGACGAGCAGCTCGGGCGAGGCGCCAATGATTTGAAAGTCGCGGCAGTCAATGTAGAAGAGGTAAGGGGAGGGGTTGACGGTGCGCAGGTGCCGGTAAATGTTAAAGGGGTGGAGGTCAGTCGGACGCGCGAATCGCTGCGAGGGAACGGCCTGGAAGATGTCGCCCTTGTAGATGTGCTCCTTGAGCTTGGTGACGTGCGCTTCGTAGCCGGCCTGGCCAATGTTGGACGTGGCCTCGCGGCCGAGCTGCACAGGCCCTTGCGGCGGCATGGGCACCTCGGGGGCATTGAGCACGTCAACGAGCTCGTCAATCGACGCGGTGGCTTCCTTGTAGGCGGCCTCGAGAGCGCCCGCGTCGTCATCGGCGGGTACCCGCACGTAGCTGATGACCTTGATGACGCCGTAGAAGCGGTCAAAGGCGACAATAGTGTCAAACAGCATAAACAGCGACTCGGGGATCCGCAGCACGTCTTCAAGCGACCGTGCCGTCTTGGGCTCGAAATAGCGCACGCAGTCGTAGCCAATGTAGCCGATGGCGCCGCCGGTGAGCGGAGGGAGCTGCAGCCCGGGAACGTGCGCGACGACGTGCCGCGCGAGCTCGGCCTCGAGCAGCGGCAGGGGGTCCGTCGCGGGGCCATGCCCGGGGCCGGTGGTGAGAATCTTGCGCGGATTGGCGCCGACGAAGCTGTACCGGCCGACTTGCTCGGTGGCGGCGGATTCGAACAGAAAGGAATACGGCGAGGAGGGTGTGGTGGTGGTGGTGGTAGCGGTGGAAGACGAGGAGGAAGAAGCGGCGTGGGCGGATACTTTGAGGTAGGCGGCCGAGGGTGTGATGAGGTCGGAGGAGATTTGGCGATAGACCGGGACGAGGGTAGGTTTTAAACCGCCGTCGGCAATCGGCGTGCGGAGGATGTCGCGGATGACTTCCAGCGTGGGCACAGTCGCTTTCTGAAAGGATGGCGGGAGAGGAGGGCCTCGGTCAGCAAGAAATGGCAACGGCGCAGATTATGAGCAAGAAGCTGGAAAAGACTTACAGCGCCAGCCATGGTGAGCGGGGGAATGTGGACAGCACAATTGACTGATGGTTGATGGCAGGGCGGAAGGAAAGGTCAAGGGTGCAGAAGAAGGGAAGTTGTAGATAGGGTGAGCCCACACAATAAGACGTAGCCAATGAGTCAAAGCATCCGTAGATAGCGGTTGGTTGGCGGGGGGGTGTTTAGACGCAAACGAACCCCGCATAAATCAGAGACCATCAACGGCAACAGGATATCTACTTGGTAGGTAGGTGATAGGTACCTAGGATACTCGCCAGCGCCACAGGTAGTAAGGAGGATAGTCGCTAGAATTACCAGTGGTAAGGAGGATACTCGCTAGAAATACTAGTAGTAAGGAGGATACTCGCTAGAAATACTAGTGGTAAGGAGGATACTCGCTAGGATTACTAGTACCTAGTAAGGAGGATACTCGTTATTTAGTGTAGGCGAAGGAGGATACTCGCTAGCATTACCACCTAAAGTAAGGAGGATACTCGCTAGCGTCCTAGGTAATAGGCAGGATACTCACTAGTAGGTGATACACCTTATTTACTTAGTATACTATAATAGGTCCCTGAAAATCTAAACCGGCTTGATAGATTTATCGTTTTCTTTTGTGTCAAGATTATCTTCGTGGCCTCGTCTTCTCTTGTTTCTCAGCCGTCGCGCCGACCAACAGGTGGCGCCCCCATCTTCAGCGTCAGATTTAGACCTAAGACGCAAAGCCTTGCTCACAAACGCCATAAAAACTCATGTCCTTCGTCAGGCGCAAACTCGACGCCGTGCCCTTCTCTCATCAAACTGGCGGTCGCAGATGAACCTCTTGTGCTTTGACACCTCCGCCGCTGGTGTCGGCCAGCGTAAGACGTAATCACCACTTGCTCCTGCAAATCCGATTTCCATGCCTAATCATACCCCCGCCAAGCTGTTTCTCTGGTAGAATACCGCCTTGGCGATGCTGGACGATGCACTCTCGTGGGGTATTCACGAGTAGGTCGTTGGTCATACCTGTCTTGCTCATCAGGGTACCTAGGCCGTCGCCTCTTTGACGGCTGCGGGGGAAGGGTCTCAATGACCCGCCTAGCCTTTCTTTTTATAAATCTTGCTGTGCGCTCAATTCTGCGTCGCTCGTCCCTTTTGCTCGTGCTGGACTGCTGCCACTGCCGCAACGCTCTCCTGACGCGCCCGAGATCTCGTTTCAGTAATTGTCCAAAAAGGTCCCTGTCGAAAAAAAAAAAAAATCAGTACGATGGTGGCTAGGCTTCGGGTTGCAAGTAACGTACAGCTTGTCTGAAATCTCCCGGGAAGGTTCACTGCCTCTTGCCATGGAAAACTTGTATTCCTGGATCAGGGATTCCATGATGACTGAGTTGATGAACATGTTGATGAGGGTGACGAAAAGAGTCATCGAGCAACGAGCTTCGATGATGGCAGGTTTTCTGAAAATCCACTGGACGCGGCCTAGGATCTTCCCAAAAGTGCCCAAATTCCAGTCAAATGTACTCAAAATCAAGTTGGACGCTACTTCCGTCGACTTGATGATCATGTCGAAGTGGTTGGCCAAAGCCTGAGCATCCAGAAGCGCATCTTGCTTCCTGGGCTCAGTCAACACTTTCAGTAAAGCTGGACTCTGCATCTGAAAGTTGTTGACAGAAATTGCCAGTATCAACATCTCGCTGTTGAAAATCCTGACATCTTTTGGCGCGCCGACAATCTCCTCGAGCTTGCCGTGGAGCTTGAACAGACGTTGCACCACAGGAATCGCCAACCCGAAGACGGCTGATGCGGGCTCGGCCATTAATCGAGTGCATTCCAGATACCTGCGAGAAACTTTTCTTTGTTTAAAAAGAGGTTTGATGCTCTTTTACGCTTAGACTTGGACAAGTGACAAATGGGCCAACACCGACCAAAGATGAAAGAAAGATACAGTCCTCTGGCTGAATTATATGGCCAGCCACGGTGGACATCGCCAAGGCCTGACACAGGTCATGCCTCTCTCCTTTAAAGGCAAATTGGCCCGAAAACTAGTACGCGCACAAGTGGTTGGAGATGTTCTGCTCACCACATGCCGGTACGCGGGTGGTTCGCATGCTCTGCATCTTGTTGTGGCAACCGTTGATTGGCTTGGCTGAGAGGCGCCACGAAGCCTTTGTCCAACACCGCGGAGGGCCGGATGTTATCAGCATCATGCCGCCCAACAAGTCACAATTGATCTGCATAATCGTTTTTGCTGAGCCAAGACTCGGTTCAGTCCTGCGTAACTATTGAAAGACTTTATTCAGTGGAATGTACACCAGGTAGACAAAAACAGGTTCTAAGCATCATCAGCCAAGACGGGTGCCAAAGATGAAGCCATTAAAAATCGGTGTTGGCACCATGGCATGGCAAGCCACAATCGGCACCAACGTAGCTTGTACTCTCTTGTCTTTCCCAACTCTTGTCAAGATGTTTTCCTCGCCACCCTCTCCCACCTGACCGTCCTTGTACAAAGACGCAACGACGTCGTCGAGAAAGATGCAGCCATTGGGGCGCGTCAGCTTGACCGCCCAGTCAAACTGCTCGCCCAGCCCAACCATGTCGGCGGCGACAAACACAATGTTCGAATTTTTGCGTCCCTCCTCGACCAACCTCGGGCAGAATGTCCGTCGAGCGAGCCGAGGAGCACCTCGACGTCGAGTCCCGCCGACGTTTTTGCAGCGCCACGTCCGCGGTGCTTGGCGTCGATTTCGATTGCTGGTGACGCGCGCGCGCCGGCCTGCGCGAAGCAAATCGAACGAATAGCCGCCGAGCGTGCCGAACTCGAGCACCTCCTTGGCGCCCCATGACGCGGGGTCAGGACGGACAGGTACTGGCCGGCGAGACGGCAGCACGCTTGATGGGCGGGAGGCCTTGGGCGGAGGACTCGCAGAGGGCGGCAGCGAGTCGCGCGTTGGGACGCAGGAGGGCGGACCGGGCCTGGGCGTCGAGCTGCGGAGCGGAGCGAAAGTTGTCAAAGTCGACGCTGCGCAGCATGTTCTTGTCCTGCTCTACCAAGGCTCGTAGCTGCTCCTGTGAGTCCATGATGCTAGAGTTGATTGCGGACTGGAAGCGATTTTGGGACTGAGTGTAATGAATAGAAGACAGAGTGTATTGCGATTGGAAAATAGACACATCAATCAGTCAGTCTTGACCAAAAGCACCTTGTCAACTTATATTGCAGCTGCTTACACGTAGATCCCGGAGATGCGGCCGATTTGGCGGGGCCGACTCGGGGTCGGACGTCGGGGTCGGGGCTGGGCTGGCGAGGCCCGAAAGAAGGCTCATTGTGACACGACATACTCTGGAAAGTAATCACTGACCAGACAGCTCAAGGGCGTGTCATCATTACGCGCCAGTTGTGTACTTTACGAGGCCCCTGACCCGAAGCTGGCCAGTTGTACCGGTATTTGCCCAATTGAGTCAGGCCTTGTTGAGGTCGATGGTGAACGCCACAACTCAGCCACAGCTTCCGTGATGGTCGCAATGAATTGACAGGATAAAAGTTTTTGGTAGGTACAAAATTTCAGATTCCATTGAGGGCAAGCAACGAGCTTTGTTTGCTATGGCCAAGTGAGCCTTGAGTCTGATGTCTCTGAAGTACCGTAATACCGTATGAAAGCTCTACTTTGTGTCAGCTCCAAAATATGGTATGCTGCTGGTACCTAGAGCGACTTTGAAAAAACCAATCAAAATCCCAAGCATGTGAATCGGTGGCTGGCCAGGGGTAACAACTGCCACTACAGGTCTGTAGACTGTGGAATGTGGCTAGCGAGATGGCGGGCAAGGTTGCAAGTATACCTAGCGGTGTCTCTAGATAGCTTCTGAACTGGGTAATCTTGGAACAGGATTTTGACTGAATTTTTTAAAACAAAACATCAGGTTTAGAGGCATCTGCTGTTAGGATGGCACCTTTTGGCCCATCTACATGGGGAGGGGGGGGCCTCACAGTCTGGAATGGAGCCCGCCAAAAAGTCGCTGCTAGCGTTGCTTCGCCATCTTGCCTGGAGTGAACGCTTTTCCTCCTGCAGGTCGTCCCAACATAGACTCAACAACATCGTGTGCTGCATAATAAACCATCTTGCACGCCTGCCATGGACAAGATCAACCAGCAACTCGGCAATTTGCCCGCCATGCCGCACTGCGGCCTGGTACTTCTTGCTACCGTCGGTGGTCTCTTTGTCGCTTCCAAGCTCTTTAGCTATCTGCGCCTCGTCCTCGGCTCCTTTTTCCTGCCTGGCACCAACGTATGTCGCGCACCGCATCTACTGCCCCCCACCCCAATCAATTGCGAATACTAATTGACAATTGACAGCTCCGCAAGTATGGCAAGCCTGGCACCTGGGCCGTCGTCACCGGTGCCTCGGACGGCCTCGGCAAGGAGTTTGCGGCTCAGCTCGCCGCCAAGGGCTTCAACCTCGTCCTCGTGTCCCGAACCCAGTCGAAGCTCGATGCCCTCGCCAGCGAGATTACGGCCAAGTTTGCCGCCAAGGCGCCCCAGGTCAAGACCTTTTCCATGGACTTTTCCCAGGACAAGGACTCCGACTACGACCGCCTCGCCGAGCTTGTCAAGGGCCTCGATGTCGGCATCCTCATCAACAACGTCGGCCAGAGCCACAGCATCCCCGTGCCCTTCCTCGAGACCCCCCGCGACGAGCTGCAAAATATAATCACCATCAACTGCCTGGGCACGCTCAAGGTGACGCAGGTTATTGCGCCCATCCTGAAGCAGCGCAAGCGCGGTCTTATCCTGACCATGGGCTCCTTTGGTGGCTGGACACCGACCCCGTACCTGGCCACGTACTCGGGCAGCAAGGCTTTCCTCCAGCAGTGGAGCAACGCCCTGTCCTCGGAGCTTGCGGACGACAATGTCGACGTCCAGCTTATCCTGAGCCACCTCGTCACCACTGCCATGAGCAAGATTCGCCGCGCCAGCCTGCTCGTCCCCAACGCCCGCCCCTTTGTCAAGGCCGCTCTCGGCAAGATTGGCACCGGCGGCTACCAAACGGCGCCCAACACCTATACACCGTGGTGGAGCCATGCGTTTATGCTGTGGTTTATTGAGAATATTCCTGGTGTGAATAGTCCTCTGACCATCTCCATCAACAAGGGCATGCACATTGATATTCGCAAGCGTGCTCTGCGCAAGGCGGAGCGTGATGCCAAGAAGCAGTAAAATGCTGAAATCGATACTGAATATGCCGTGATTGGCTTGGGTCTTTGAAAGATGCATTCACTGAAACGCCATGGTGCTCGTTTAAGCTGTGTGAATTGCATCAACGGCCTGGTACATTACCCGCAGTTGAGAATGTTAATGTAGGATGGTATAGTGCGGCAGCTGCGCACTTCAACGCAGAATAGAATTCACTGCGAACAAAGGAAAAAAAAATAATGAAGTCAATCCAAGTTAATATAATACTTGATCACTGTTGTATTTTGTCTCTCATCTCTTTATTATAAAACCCGCGGTCTGTTGTCGAAACCGCGAGCCCGCTGTCGTGCAAGGACAAAGCTGCCAATTAGGTCTAGCGCTGGTGGCCGGCCCCCCCTGGCCAGGAAAATTGACAGAGCTCCAGAAACCGCGCGCCAGCCTAAGAAACATTTTGGAGGTTTCAGAGCTTCGAAAATTCCCATCTACAACCCACACGGCGCTTCAACGCCAACAAACACCCATTGCTCATCACCATCTAGCGACAAGCATCTGAATTGGATTGATTGTGCTCCTCGACAGCATTTCATAGCGCCTGACGGCCTCGCTTCTGTCTGCCACTCGATATCGCGCCCAGACGCAAGCGTCAACAAGACTCTCCAGACGCCAGCGAGAACCTGCCTCGTCTTGTACGAGCCTCTTCATGAGCTGGTCTCGAGCGCGTCGCTTCGTCTCTACCGGCTGACTTGCGAACCTCGTTGCTGATGCTGCAGCAACAAGCTCCATAGCACGCAGTCGATAGCATAAACATCAGCCAGCCCAGCCTCCGATATTCGCCATGTCGTTTCCCGAGACGACGCCGGTTCGCGCCGTCCCTGGCGCGTTCCTCAACACCCCGGCCGTGGCTTCGCGATACCGCAACGAGCAGGACTCTGTCAGCAGAAATCTCTTTCAACGTTCCGAGTCTGCCCAGAGAAGCGGCTCCGGCTCCCTGCGCAGAAACTCCTCCTCGTCCACTTCGCGGCCACGCGCCTTGGTCCGCTCCGGCTTGGCATCTAGCAAGACGACAGGCTCTCTATTGGACATGACTACGCGTGCGGACGATGCATCGGCGGTTGTATCCTCGAATCTCGTCCCAGTACGGCGCGTGGAAAACATCCCGCCCGTCGTGCGTGCTGCCAGAGCCATCAACAGCTGCCTATCCAACGATGAAAACTTTCCCGACATTGACTCCTACTGCAGACGTAAGGCTATTCTGATCTGAAAGCCCCAGTCTCACTGTTGAACTTGCTAACCTGCTTCTTCCAGAGGGTGCATCATCCGATTATGAGATACCCCCCACCGATACCGCCTGGTCGCCCTTTCACAAGACTCAAATGTATCCCATTCCGAACCAAGTCTTCGATCATTACAACACTGGCGAGCTGCAGACGCTGATGGGCTTATTTGCTGAAGTCAACCATGCCTGGGTTGTTATTGACAACTCGCTCTTCCTCTGGGACTATACCAACCCCGATGCCGAGCTTATTGGCTTTGAGGACCAGCCACACACCATCCAAGCTGTCGCGCTCGTGCCGCCCAAGCAGGGCATCTTCGTCAATACCATTACGCACATCCTTGTTGTCGCCACTACATCCGAAATGATCCTCCTCGGCGTATCAGTTGCTCCCACCTCAGCCGGCACCAAGTCTGTTTCGCTTTACCAGACCAAGATGTCACTCCCTTTGCGAGGCAGTGATGTCCGCGTCATCACAGGGTCGGCCGATGGTCGCATCTTCTTTGGAGGTAGCACCGATATCGACATTAGCGAATTGTATTACCAGTCTGAAGAGAAGTGGTTTTCCAATCGATGCGGCAAGATCAACCATACGAACCCTGGCTGGTCCGCAGTTGTTACTCTGCAGTCGGGCTTTTGGGGCACCAAGGACCCCGAACATGTGGTCGATATTGCCATTGACGATTCACGAAGTCTACTCTATACACTGTCAAGTAAATCGACGATTCGTACATACCATATGGAGGCACCTGATCGACTCCACAAGGTGATTGAAAAGGAAAAGGTTCACTGTCTTCGTGATATTGCCCACATGATTACACAGTCCAAGCTTCTCACGGATCGGATGAAGATTGTCTCCATAAGCCCAATCTCAAAGCAAGAAGCCTCAAAAATACACCTCATGGCAATGACTGACACGGGCTGCCGAATCTTTTTCAGTGCTACCAGCGCTTCGTCTTATATTTATGGCTCCCAAAACAACATGGTTCCTCAGAGCATGCAGGTTCAATTCATCAAATTTCCGCCAAGTCCCTTTTCCCGCCGGTCTGCGCAACTCGCTCAGCCTGCTGCAGCCGGTGCGGAGAACACAATTGAGCTGGGCTCGACAATGCTTGTTCCTAGCAGACATGGTGCGCGATTTGCGCCCGGTGTGTTTATTGACTTTGTCGGCAAAGAAGACAACGCCAACGTCGACACCATCTTCATTTCCGCCCCTGAATCTGCCCGAATCAAAAACACTAACAGTGCTACGCCGCTGCGATACTACGAGCAAGCTTCTTGGATCGAAATTGGAAGCCGAGCCGAAGATGTTGGGCTCATCACCAAACCTTTCGGCGCCACCAGCTCGCCGTGGGGCTTTGGAAACGAACTTGCCGTGCAGTTTGATGAATCACCTCCCGAAGTTGCCATCCTGACCAACACTGGTATTCACGTCATTCGTCGCAGGCGCCTTGTGGACAACTTTTCCTCTGCCATCCGTGACGCCCCTGGTGAAGAGGCATTGGACATGGTATGCCGGCGGTTGATTCAGCTCTACGGTCGAGTGGAGACTGTTTCTACCGCCTTGGCTGTTGCCTGTGGACAAGGAGGCGACGTGAGATTTGGGTCGACCAGGGCCATCGACCAGACCACCCAAGATCGTGCCCGTGGCATCTTTGTCGAGATGGGCGGGCAGCCTACACTTGCCGAGACGGATGGTGCTAGCTTAACGACCGACTCTGTGCGACTGTCTTCAAGGCATGATGCTCTCTCCCTTTACCTCGCTCGTCTTGTCAGGAAGCTTTGGAAATCAAAGGTCATTATTCAAGGCGTCTCCCCCACCGGTGCTATTGCTGTCGTCCCCGCTGTTCCTATCGGCACGCTCGCTGTCACTCAAGAGAATTTGGAGCGCCTTCGCAAGTTTATCGAGGCGAATCGTGGCCTGATTCAGGGCATGTCTGGCCCGTCTGATCTCCAGCGTACAGGAACACGCCAGGAGGAGATTGCTTTGCAGGCCGAGCACCAGGCCCTACACGCGCTTCAGAAACTCATGGAAAGCATCTCGGAAGGCATCTCCTTTGTTCTTATGCTGTTCGACGAGCGTGCTGGGGATGTTTTCATGCGGCTCGAAGAGCCATCCCGACAGGCGCTTCGTGATCTCACCTACGAGACGCTCTTCTCTCAACCTCACGGCAAGGACTTGGCCAAGGTCTTGGTCAAGGCTATTGTCAACCGCAACATTGAAAGTGGCTCCAACGTTGAGACTGTGGCTGATGCTCTTCGCAGACGCTGTGGCAGTTTCTGTAGCCCTGACGATGTCGTCATCTTCAAGGCTCAGGAGCAGCTGAAGCGTGCCTCTGAGCAACCTCCGGATACTACACAATCACGAAATATCCTTCTTGAGAGTCTAACTCTGTTCGAAAAGGTTGCTGGCAGTTTGACGTATGGAAATCTTCAGTCCGCCGTAAGCCAGTATGTGGACCTCAAGTATTACGCTGGTGCTGTCCAGCTATGCCTTGTTGTGGCTCGAGAAAAGGACCGCGGCAATTCTGCTCTCTCGTGGATTCAAGACGGCAAGCCCTCGAGCGATCCGCGCGCCGAAATTTTCGAGGAGCGCAAAAAGTGTTACGACATGATCCATCACGTTCTGAGCCATCTCGACCAGGTCTCAAGCAAGGAGCCCCAGTTGATAGATGGCAAACCGACAGTCATCGCGATGAAGAGAATGGAAACGTATGACGTTGTGAATGGCTCTGATGATGAGGTATTCCACTTTGATCTCTACGAATGGTACATTGAGCAAGGTTGGACGGACCGCATCCTGGGGATAGATTCGCCTCATGTCGTCACGTTCCTCGAGCGCTTAGCCGAAACCAACGTCGAGCACGCTGATCTATTGTGCCGTTTCTACACTAACCGCAACCGCTTCTTTGCGGCTGCCGAGGTGCAGGCTGGTTTGGCACAATCGGAGTTTGCCATTGGTATCAAGGAGCGCATCAAGTTACTCAGCTTGGCCAAGGCCAATGCCAGCGTGACTACTGTCGGTGTGAGCAGGCAGCAGCAGCAACTGCTCAATCATGAAGTCAGCGATCTGCTGGACATTGCCAATATTCAAGACGACCTGCTTGGACGCCTGCGTGCCGACGAGCGCATCGAACCGGAGAAAAAGGAAGAGATTACAAAGGCTCTTGATGGAAGTATTCTTGACCTATCGGCAGTAAGTTTGACCTTGATCCATGTATCACACATCTACTAACGACTTGTAGCTTTTTAATGACTACGCAGACCAGGCAGGATACTATGACCTGTGCCTTGTCATCTACCACAGCGCCAATTACCGCAACCCGACTACCATTTCTTCCACTTGGAGCAACCTCATTCAACAAGCACACGATGAAGTCGTCTCGCGCTTGGAAGACCTTACCCCTGGCCAGGCTGAGCCGCCACTGCCTTACGAAGCGGTCAGCAGCAAGATTCAAAACATTGCGCACTACACATCGCTAGACAGCTTTGTCTTTCCCATTTCGACGCTGCTACCGGAGCTGTGTCGCTATGCCGTTGCCTACCAGCAAGACGCGACCATTGGCGCGGACCCGATGTGGCCTGCGCAGCTCTTCCTGACGTTGGGTGTCTCGCACAGCATGATTGTGCAGACGCTGGAAAACGTTTTTGATACGCAAGACTATGGGTTCTCTGGCAACGTGCGCAACCGCATTATTGAGACTATTGTCTTTGTCGTGAGCGCGTGGGCGGCCGAGGTCCGACGCCGCGGCGGCCAGGCCAGCGGCGGGGCGATTGGGCCGTCGGTCGGCGACTTGCTCGCGCGCTGCGAGGCGGCGCTGCCGCCGCCTGGTCAAGGAAATAACAATGGCGGGACGGATCTGCCCACGATACGACGCGTGCTCAAGTCGCTGCGACGCGAAGTCGCGGACCTCGTGGAGCGGTTGCCGACTGGTGGCAGCTTGCGCTGGTAAAGATGGTGAGGCAAGGGGATATATTTTGCGAGGGCAAGACGAAAGTTGAGAGACAGCAGCCACTTGACATGCGGCAGTACGGAGTGTAATGGCATCAAGATTGAAGTCGTCATTTATTTTACATTTTTGTTTTTTGTTTTTGTGTCGTATCATTTTTCTATTTCGGAATCTTTTTAAAGCAATGACGAGGAAAAGAAGACTTTTGTTTTTTTTTGTTATGGCCGATGAATTTGGTTGCGTAGTTGTTTCTGGGCTGGGGGTCGTTGCATCGGGAAGAAAGCTTGTTGTAGCTTTGATTATGTAGGTTTGTTATCTGAAGGTATAATTTTTCTTCCTTTATGAATGACTATTTTCATGGGGATTCAAGACGGCTTCAAGCTAAAATGACCCAAGTGGCGCGGGTTAGTCGCTAAACGGCCGAGGCCAAGTTTCAAATGAATCATGTATCTGGCGATTGAGAAACACGTTTCGGTACTTTGTATCGTTTCCTCCAACATCATTTAAGGCGTAGACTCTTGCATGGCTCAGTCGCTAATCGAGATGAAAAGTCTCCGAAATGTGACCGGGTCAGTGTACCGGGTCTTGGTGGGGACCTCTACGGGCCGGTACTCGGAAAGTCTCCGGCGCAACACCCGCATGAGGCGATGTAAGTCGCCGGCATTCTTTATATATATAGCTAGACGGGACGAAATCTCTCCCCCGCACACCATTCCTCCCATTAATGAAATACCGGGCACAAATTTCTTGTCAACTTTTTACCATCTCTACCCTTTTTTTTTATTTTATTTTTTTACCCTAACTACTTTGCAGCACGAAAACACACAATGTCCGGGCAGGACGGGAGCACGGAGAAATTATCCAACACCATCGGCGGCGTCTTTGCCGAGGCGGACAAGCACAAAACAACGTGGGTGCGGACCAGCAAGACGGTCATTGCCAAGCTCGCGGCGCCGCTGCTGCCCCGGATGGGCCTGACGGCGGACCGCACGGCGCCGGTGACGCTGCTGGACAATGCGGCCGGCGCGGGCGTCATGGCGCAGGAGGTGAACAAGGTGCTGCCGCGGACGACGCTGCAGGCCGGGTCGATTCTGGCGACGGATATGGCAGGGTCGCTGGTGAGGATCATGCAGGAGCGCATCAAGACGGAAGGCTGGATCAACACGGAAGCTCGTGTCGTCGACGCGCAGGTATGTTGCGGGAAATTCAGGGGAGTTGTGATGGGGTTTTTTTGCCAGATACTGACTGACAAGGGGTTTACAGGATACAAAGTTGCCGGATAATACGTATAGTCACGTTTCGATACTGCTGGGCCTGCACATTATTCCCGACCCAGATGCTGCTGTCAAAGGTAAGAAAGGGAGCGCTTGAACAATGGTAAAGTCAAACTATTGCCCAAACCTTTTTTTGCTAATAATGACCATCAGAGGCGATTCGCGTCCTCCAGCCGGGCGGCATCTTTGGCGCCACCACCATCCCCCCCCACAACCAAAACAACAAATTCTGGTTCGCCGACGTCGAGACGGCCTTTGCCGCCATGCCCTTTGACGCGCCGTACCCGTCGCCCATGCCCACGCAGATGCACGCGTCGGGCGCCTGGTACGACGCGGCGTGGGTGGCGACGCACCTGCAAGCGCTCGGCCTGCGCGACGTGCGCGTCGCGGTGCAGGGCGACGCGTACTATATAAAGGATGCGGACGAGTTTCTCGACATGTTTGGCATGATGCTGGGGTTTGTGATGAAGATGTTTTGGAGCGAGGCGCAGCGGGCGGCGCATCCGGTGGAGGAGGTGAGGGAGCTGCTGAGGGAGCATCTGGTGGAAAAGTATGGAGGCAAAGGGTGGGAGGTGAAGTGGGATGTGTTGTACATGACGGGAAGGGCGGACAAGTAGAGGGCAGCTGGGGGGGTTTGGATATGGAACGTAAGTGAGGATAGGCCTCTTCTGGAAGTTGATCATTCTTTGGAACTGGAGTCTTGATTTTTCTCGAACAACCAATCTGCCATAGCTAGCATCAATGTTGCGCGTTTAAAGACTGTCGGATCAAGCGCTCTCAGAGAACAATGGAATCGCCTACACCTCCGCCTGCAAAATTGAATTCTCCTATCCCCTCAAGACGAATACTTGTCACACAGTTTGATATCATATCCGTACAATTATTGCCATCTTGCGGCTCCCTTGTCTCGGGCCAATGCCAGTTCTTGTCCTGCGCCATGCAGAGTGCCAAAGGAACCCGGCCCAAGTCGTGCAGATTGGGCAGAGAGCGGGGTTAACCACTTGTCTGTCTCATCCCCAGCTCTTGTATAGCCTAGAAGACATATTATTGAAGTAGGGAAAGTAGGGGTCTAGGTTGGCAGATGCAGACAACAGCGTACGGGGAATACGGTGGACGGTGGCGTGGATGGTCCCTGGACGGACAAGTTCGGAGGATACTTTTGAGACAAGTCTCGGCCAAGTCGGGTGTGGTACCGATGGGCACGGTATCCTGAAAAGAGGATCCTTGACGCGGCTATCACATGCTTTCTAGATTTCTCAGTTGGGAGTTTTTCTTTTTGTTCAATCATGTGCCTCAGGTTAATACCAGCACCATCTTCGCTACAGTGAAATGCAGAGACGTTTTGCCCTTGGCACGGGCGTGCTGCCAATGAGCAACTGACGAGGTGAATCGAGCTCAAATAGCCAAGCCTCTGGACTGTATATACAGCCTCTTTTGTGTTTGTGGCGTGCTAGAGGCGCAAGCTCAACTGTCTCGGCATTCATCAAGACATGTCAACGCACCGTCAAGGGCGCCAAAACGGCTGATGAAATGATGGCATCTGCCGACGTGACACTGCACCAGAACAAGATGCTTATACTCCTCATTATTGAGAGTCCAGACCAATCTATTGTACATTGGTGAATACTTGTTGTGCCCTTTGACCAAAGAACAAACGCATCGTTTCGCGGTCGCTGTCAACCGTGATCAAGCCGGCAATGAGGTAAACTTTTACTACTGTTGACCGTCCAACTCACACCATCCCGAGAGGGATATTACATAAAATTGTTGGACTACTTTGCTTGTACTGCTTTTGTGAATCGTGGGCGTTTATCGAATACGAGATGCGGCAGTCCATGAGAGTCCATGACAGACCCAAATGTATCTCCCAAATGGTGTGCAAGCGACATAGATGTCGTGTCCAATAAATCCCCGCACAAGCAGACATTTTAAATCTCTCACTCACTATTGCATCCATGAACGGTTGCCGCCATTCGCAAGTTCATCAAAAATTGAGGGCTGCTCTTGCGTGACTAGTCTGTGGTTGTTCCATCATTGCCATGTATATGCTTGCTGTGTCTACCTTGTCTGTGTCTGTACTACGTGTGATTCGAATGACAAGCCGACAGTTTCAAGCAAAGTAGACTGTGTTTGTTAGTTTTAATGGATTTGACAACGAGCTGGGACGCGATATTTGGAGATGGACAGCCACAAAAGCCACACAATGACGTGACGCACAACATGCACGCCAAGGTAATGTTTCTACAGTTTTTTCGTTTCGAATGTGTTCTACATATGCTGCAAGTACATCAATATTCCCCTGGCTAGGTAGCGATTGCAAGATCAGACTAGTGTACCATTGACAGCGCTGTTATTGCCGTATACCCTTGTTTCAGTCCACCTACAACACCCTGATGAGTCGCGGCAGCACCATCTTGCCAACAACATGCGTAGGCACTTTTGCCGGCAGCTCTTTTATGCATATTATTATACATGCTTCCACCCAACCCGATGCTACCCGCAGTTCTCTGACAGTACTGCCGTCCTGTTTCGTCGTGGCCACGGCATTGTTGCTCCTGCATCTCAGGATATACCGGCAAGAACTCATCATGGCGGAAGCAAACGAGGCAAGGGCTGTGCTTTGTACTACATGAACTCAGACAAGACACGTCAACCAGGACTGGATTTTCAACGTACTGCTGCATTTGCTGATTTCTGATGTAGCCGGCGACGACACGACACGAGAGTGATACGCGGGGAGCTGCTTGGGGCGTGCATCCATGTCTGAAATGGACATGGCGACATGAGTGTCAGTCAGACGGTTTCAGCTTTATTGCCTTGCAGCCTTTGGGTCAGAGGCTGATGCGGAATAAGGTAGACTGATCAGGGAGACGAAAGCGTAGAACCGGCTGTCGTGCAAGGACGCGAGTCACCTGGTATCTCAAGCCCGATGAAGTAACAGTGATACACATGTCAATGAAGCTTGGGACTATTGTCACTGTGTAACTTTTAAATTATTAGGCTTGAATAAGACCCTTTCTCGGCACGGTTCACCATCTATAAATACACAGGTCAGCTAGCTGAATGAAGGTATTCCATCTCTCCTCGTCACTCTTAGACATCAAAGCTAATAATACTTCCCCAAGTCTTATCCAATATCAAATACATCATCTGCTACTCTTCACCAGCACAATGACTGAAAGAATTGTCGGGCCCTTTGGCAGAGACACGCAGCACCCCCACAGCCTCTTCCCCAACGCCCGGTCCACGGCGCAGCACTTTACCGTGTGGTCCGGCCAAGGCAGCGGCGACGCCCAGGGCTTCATCGTCATCAAAGGCATCGAGATTGTGTGGTTCAACGGCGAGAGAAAGTCCATTTACAACCACCCGCAGCCCGGCGACACAAAGTCGAGCTTTGAGTTCCAGGACGGCGAAAGGGGCGTCTGGAGCATCAGGTCCGGCTGGCGCATCGTCCGATTCGAGATTAACACGGACCGGGGCCGGTCGTGGGCGTTTGGCGGCACTTCGGGCGAACTGTACTCGAATGTGGCAAATGGAAGGCTCATTGGGTTTGAGTTGAGCACAGGCTGGGAAGTTGACTGGGCCAAGATTACATTCTTGGAGTAGGAATGCGAACCTTGCTCGGTACGTACGGGGAGTATTTTTTGACCGCGATATTGCTAACCAAGACTGACAGTCACTGACCAGGACTTGGCCGTGTTTTTAATCGAACATTGAGGGTGGCATGCCTTGTATAGGGGTTTCCCTCTCACGAGAGGTTTTCCCTCTATCAGAACGCGAATACAAAGGCAATTGATGCACCTATATGATGCGTTACCCAAGTACAAAGTCAGCATTTAGTTAAGTGAATTGACTTAATGGATATCATCATGTTCCACATGTAGAACTTGAAAAGTAGGCTGGGCCGATGTCGCTAATCGAGACCGTAATTTACGATGCCATACCGAGTATAAAACAAGCGAGATTTTTAGTGGCTTTGGTCCGTCACCGCCAGGCACAGCACAACTGAATCATTCGACAGCATACACGCAGATTTTGCGGTCGCGTCACCAAACACACTGTAAATCTCAACCAGCTTCATAGCGATAAGAACATGGAAAAGGGACAGGCGTTTCTTAGTTGAGTTTAGTGACCATCTGTACCCAGAGTTTGTAAGTGAAATGGGCTTTTACTTGGAGGTTCAATACTGACAAGAATGAAATAATGACAATACACTGATAGCGTACATCACCGTTCTTCACGTACTCGTAGCACGTCTCACCCAAATCTTCTTCTTCCACTCTCATTACACCCGTGGTATAATTCATGCTGGACACTAAAGCGATTGCTCTAGCGCCTAGCTGGGTGCTATCCGCGCAAAGCCGCTAAATGCGCCGTAGACAGCGCTAGAGCCGCTAAAAATACCCCCTTATCGTGGCTACACGTGATTCTACGTCAGTCTGCGAATCCGGGTCAGTCAAACCTTATTTGCCATCGACCAAAAAACGCCACGTCTCAACGTCCATCGTGTGCGCCGTCCGTGTCATTCGTTGCGCGTGTACCCCCTGACTTGGCATTGGTACTTTTAACGAGCAAACAACTTCACCACTGCGACCCTCATGTCGAGATAACGCACGCGCCGCCCGCCCTGCCTGCCCCTCGCCTCTGAACCTTTGACACAACGACTACCTAACTCTCCACACCCCACGATGCTCTCGCTCGCGATCCTCCCCGCGCTCGCAGCGCTCGTCGCCGCCACAGACATTGACCACACGGCGCTTCCTTCCTACCACTATGGCGCCCCGATTCCGATTGAGTGCATGAACCGAAGCTCGTACGGCCCCCCCCTTCACCGCTCCCCCCCCCTCCCCTCCCCCCGTTTACCTCGACACCAAAAAGCTAACAAAAGAGCTTGCTGCTGCGTCTCAGAGAAACCGGCGAGCATATTGAAGACAACAATCACCAGCTCCAGTGGATCCCCTTTCCCGTGTGCAAGGAGTCGGGCAAGCCGCTCGAGTTTGGCTACGGCATCGAGGGCGAGGTCAACTGCACCATTCCCATCTCGCACGACTTTTTCCACCTGCTCGAGTTTTACATTCACAGCGACGCGCCGCTGTCGTGCCGGCTGCCCGCGCGCCCGCCCGCCGTGGTCAGCGTGATTGGCGAGGCGCCGCCGCCGCAGGAGCACATTCCGCTCGTCTTTGCCGTGGCCGGCACGCTCCAGCTCAGCCACATGCACGTCTCGACGCACATGAATGTGCTGCTGCACTCGGTGCCCAAGCACCACGTGCACCACCACGACAGCGGCGTCCTCGACTCGGCCATTTCCTACAGCACCAGCCCGCTCTCCCACATGGAGGGCGCCGAGTCGACCAAGCTCACCATTGGCGAGCCGTTACCCTTGCGCTTCTCGGTCCGCTGGTTCCCCACGCCGCATCTGCCGCACTCCGAGGGCCGCGTCGAGTGGCAGGGGCTCGGCGGCCACATTTACGCGAGCACATTCTTCTACAGCCTCGTGTCGTTTATCGCGGGCGGGCTCGTCGCGGCCATGTACACGCTGGGTATCGTGCTGCCGAGGAGGTTGCAGAATCGGGCGCTAGGTGGCGCGACGCCGCTGGGCCACGGCCTCGGCAATGGCTGGGGATACTCGAAACGCATGGATTAAGAGGAAATACTGCGCAGAATAGAGTGTGGCGGTCTGCACGGGAAAAGGGGACATGTAACGATTCATATAATGGACATTGGGAGTTTTGGGTTGTCAGGTCTGTTTTTTTTTCCACACTGTACGGTACAGCGTAAACATGTGATAATCTGTAATTAATCAAGTTAAAAAATCATCATCAAATCGACGCTCTCATTCATCCTTGTCCTTGGCGCCTGTATCCTGTACGCGGGGCAGCAGTCGCAGAAACATGTCCACAGCCAAAACAGCCGCTTATCACAAAATCATTAGCTGACCGAACCCCCCAATTCAAAACAAAGAGACGGGAAACAAATTTTACTTACGAATCACGGCAAAAGGCAGATACGTCCCATACAGCAGCCGCGTCTTCTTCTCCGCCGCCACCTGCTCCGGCCCCATGTGCAGCAGCTCGTAGCAGCACGCCACCGAGCCCATAAACGTCAGGCACCCAAACGCCAGCCCGGCCAGCTCCGCGGCGCCGCCTATCCGCCGGGCCGCCGCCAGCCGCGACACGAGAAACGCCGCGAGCGGAAACTGCACGAAGCCCTCCACGTACAAGAATGCTTCAAACCACGGCGCGCTGTGCACGGCCGACGACGAGGCGGAGAAGAAGGGGTCGCCGGTCGAGGCGACGTAGCGCCGGCGCAGGCCCACGAGGAAATGCAGCGGCGCACCGGCGGGCTCCCAGAGTGGCTTGGGGTAAAAGGCGACGAGATCGAGAACTGAAGAGAGAGAGTGTTAGTAGCGAGAGCCGGGGGCGGGCCGTGGAGGGAGGGTTGAGAGGGAGGGTTGAGAGGGAGGGTTGAGAGGGAGGGTGGTTGTATGTACCAAGCATGCCAGTGAGTTGAAGGCCGATGATGGCCAGGTAGACCCAGTCGCGTATGGGTTTATTGGCCATAGTGACGCGATTTGGCCAAAAGAATTGAACAATGCTACAGAATAATTTTCTATTAATGCGACCAGAGCGATGGAGAGTCAATGCAAACGATGATGTTTGATGCATCCTCTATGGGGCTCGCGCTCGTCAGGGGAAGCTAGCAAGGGGGTGACAAAAAAGCTGGCCCATTCTCGCAGGCGTCCGCATCATACTCAACGAAGGGTGTATAGAATAGAAAATAACAGAAAATATTTAAGAAACTAATAAAATATATAAGAAATAATTCAGATATTAAAGTTTAATCTTATCTTTATTTTAGCTAGATAGACATTTTCTAGTGTTTATTAAGAATTATTTAAATATAGGCAGCTAACCTTTATTACTCTCATTATAGGCCATTTTTTTTGTCACCCGCGTGGCTAGCAAAATAAGGTGGATCCCCGGCGCGGCTCCGAGCCCCCACCCCCACCCGGCCGGATCTTGCTCCGAGGGAGAGTCGGCCAAGGTGGGCCACCATCTACTACTACTACCATTTCCTTGTGTTTTATCCGAGGTGATTATTGATATTGATGTCTCAAGCTATAGAGGACGCCTTTCTCGGTTTTCCTTTGTTACAGCGTCCCGTTTCCCATAGTATACTGCCCAAAGGCCGGTTGCGGCGTTCCCAGGAGCATATCCTGCCAAAACGCCTCGTCAAACTGAAAATCCGGCAGGAAGCCTTGAATCGGCTGATGATCCGTCGCCATCATATCCATGCCTTCCAGGGACGCGCCATCCACTGCTGCCCCCTGTCCTGGCGTATCTTCCGGGGGCGTAATCATTGCCGCCGCCGCCTCCACCACCGCACCATCACCATCACCACCACCGCCACCGCCACCAGCCGCTGCCGCTGCCAAGTCGTCAGCTACGGTTCGCGCCTCATACCACTGACTGATCCACCTCAGCTTCTTGGCATACAGCAAAAGCAGCGGCCCCCTATCGTGCATCGGCCGGCGGCGCCCTGCGCTGCTGGCCCACGCCTCGGCCGCCTCGTACTGCGCGGCCGCGCCGCGCATCGCGGCGCCATAGTCGAAGCGGCGGCGCGCGACCGACGGCTGCCAGTCCTCGGCCTCGTGGAAGAGCACGCGCGAGGCCGTGACGACGCCAAACGCGAGGAAGCCCGTCATGGTGGAGGGCCGCAGGGCCGTCTGCGCGTCGGTCAGGGCGGCGCGCGCGGCGAAGAGTGCGCGGCACGCGTCGACGAGCTTCCACAGCATGTCGGTGCGGTGAAAGGGCGCGCGGGCGGTGGCGTTGGCGCTGTTGTCGGACGAGGACACGGCGGGCTGCATGCCGAGGACGGGCTCGTAGAGGCGCACGAGCAGCGCGAGGTATAGATGGCGAAACATGACTTTTGTCCCTCTCCGAGTTAGCGTGGGGGTTGCGCAAAGCAGAATGGGAGGGGGGGGGGGGGGGGGAGTGAGAGAAACCAAACGCACCATCGTTTTGAATCGCGGGAGTCTGTGAGTGGACAAACTTGTCCATGTTGTCGCGCGTCAGGCTCAGCGTCATCTCCTGCGCGTGGCTGTAGACGGTCGCCGACGGGCCCCAGACGTACTCTGTACCCGGCAGCGCGCTCAAGCCCTTTTGCGCGATGCGCTGCAGCCGCACGCTCGCCGCGAGCGCCTCGTCGAGCGGGTGCTGGCACAGCGCGGCAATGGACTCGCAGCTCTTGGTCAGGTAGCTGTTCCACGTCACGCCGGGTCCCCTGCGAAACATGGACATTGTTCTGGAAGGGAGAGTTGTATTGTCAGCCTCGATTGCGGTACAACACGGAGAGTCAGAAATTGAAAAAAGAAAAAAGAAAGAAAAAAAAAAGGTTCACTTACACTGATGTCGCGTAATGGAGTCCCAGCACGGCGCGAATCTCGGCCGGCGTGTGCGGTTTCCGTCTTCGCACCAGATGCGACTTGTTCATGTGACACCACGCCGCACCGAGCAGCGAATGTTTGTATACCTGGCCCTGCTCCGGCGGCCAGTCCAGCTTCAAATCGAGCACAATATTCTGCGCGAGATTCATAAATAGTGGCGTTTCGGCGTCAATGTAAAAGTGAAATGAACCCCTGTTATTTTGACGTACAAATGCTGTTAATCCCACGCTTTCGCATGTTTAAAGAGAGAGAGAGAGAAAGAGAAAAGGCAAGTCACGCACCATATTAGATGCACGAGTATTGCCTGCAACAGCTCCAGCGTCTTTTCCTGCTTGATAATCATCGTCTCCGCCACGTAGTGCCGCAGCCACGTCTTGACCGCGGCGTCCACCTCTTCCGACGTCTGCGCCACCGCCGCCATGATCATCCAAAACAGCGCCGGCGCATTGTGGTGTAGCTCGTGCGGCTTGGTCGTCTCCTCGACAATGACAAACGGAAACACGGGCATGTAGTCCTTGCGGTAGATTTGCAGGTACTCGGCCGCTTCCGCAAACGTCACGGCAAAGCCCGGCACCAGCTCGACGACCCTCCTCTCTGCGCTGCTGCCGCGGCCAACGTGCGCGGCGCTCGATCCCTGCTGCTCCTCGTCGGTGGAGATTGCCCCGCGCGCATGCTCGCCGGCGGCGGCGGCGGCGGCGGCGGCGGCGGCGGTGGTGGTGTCGAGGGTGCGCGTCCGAAAGGGCCACGGGTTGTGGCTGTGGCTGTCTGGTGTCAGCGGAGACGACGAGGCATCATCACCAGCAGTCGACGCGGACCCGGTGCTCGATGGCCGCCGGCGGTTGGATCGCTGGCTGGATTCCAGGAGCGACATGATGCCGTCTAGCTTTTGCTCCAGCTGGGCGACGCGACTAAAAGACCGGGGGGAGTACGCTGGAGTGTTAGCAAAGGGTCTGCGAGAAAGGGTATTCTTAAAGCAGAGAAGATTGATGACACTTTGAATAGATCAAAGGGCTGGCGAGACGGACTTTGATTTGATTCTCCTTTTTCTGGGCGCATTTACAGGGACGCCGCACGCAATGCCTAATCGGTCACACCTGCCACATTATTTGTTAGTTGAATCGGCTAGTTGTTTTTTTTTTTCTTTTTTTCTTCGTGTGTCCTTTGACCAAGGGTTGGGTGTTCTCGGTTCCATCGCACCTTGTGCATGCTGTCGTCGTCACATCGGTCAGCGATGCGCGATCCGGCCAGCGACACTTCATCTTGAGTCGCGAGCAGTTTGCGCATGCTCTCATTTTGACGCCCGCAGGTTGCGGCCGTCGTGTGCTACTCGACGCGGACGAGTCTGGGCGCTCCATGATGTTTCTTCGTTATGTGTGCCTTTTTCTGACCAAATCAATCGCTCTACTTGGTACAGAACACGTGTCGGCAAGGCAAGCTTGCTGCTGCAAGATGTCTTTGGAAATCGACAGTGAGCTTCAAGCCTAACAAGGAGTAGAATACGTCTTTGCGACCGCGAGATGCAGCATGACGACACAAAACCTTGGGTGTATAAGAGAGAAGTCGGGCATCGGAGTTTGTGGAGCGACCGGTCCGTACGAGACCCAGGCTGTGCAGAGCCGGCTCCCAACGAAATTGGTGGTCGGAGTCGGGCTCTTTTAGTGACCGTATCCGTACAAGTAAGCATTGAAAACTAGATAGAGCAACAACCGCGCACTTCTTGAGACCTATTTTATCTAAGTTAGTAGCACTCGGCAATATGACCATACGCGGCAAAGTGGACAAGTGCGTGAAATGAATAATATTAAAGAGCGTCATATATCGACAAGATTGGTGTCGCCACGATGAAAAAAAAGTACACCAAGCTCGGGGTATCGCGAATAGAAGGAAGCGCCTGTGCAGCAACAGAGATGAAAACACAAAAAAGAAACGAGGCAAAAGTAGATTTGGTCTGTGATGTCCTGCTCACGACTCGACATTTTTTGGTATGAGAATCCCCCCCCATCATCAACTTTTTGACTCTTGAAATATTGCTCATGAAGTATATTTAGTCTTGTCCACCCGACACCGCGGTCGGGTTTGCCTTCTACACAGTCTCGGCAGTGCTGGTGGCATCCACGGAGCGGCGCTGCCGAATATACTTGGGCCAGGTGTTGGTGAGGATGAGGTACTTGATACTGATCTCGGCGTCACTAAAGACTGTGTCGTCAAAGCCGTCTGGGATTGAGCCGGCGAAGCGCAAGGCCGCTGCGGCATTATCGGCCGTGCGGCGCGGCGTATCAGCAAATGGCGTGGCCGGGTCGTACGTATCGCACTCGTCGTTGACGACAGCGCGGGCGGCCTTTTCAAAGACGGCCTCGAGCTTGCGAAAGTCTTGCGACGCCAAATTGATCTGGAACTCGGCGCAGCTGGCGCTAATAAAGTCGAGGTAGATGTGCAGCGCACCCTCAAACATCTCGCGCGAGGCCCTCTTGACAGGGGTCGGGGGGGGCCTCTCGTCATCGGGCCCGCTGCTACTGGAGATGCTCCTGGTGGTGCTAATGTTGTGCGCGCGCTTCCAGTCGCGCACGCGCATGAGAAAGGCCACGTTCTCGCCGGAAAAGTCCTTGAGCGCAGAGAACTCTTGGAGCGGCTCCGGGTTCTTCTCCAGGGTGTGCTCAAGGGCGTCCATGGTCAGGATGGAGCCGCCGGAGCCCGTCGAGTTGACCGACGACGCGGCCCGGGACATGCGTGACGCCCACGTGGTACCCGAGATTTCAGAGTGCACCGACTTTGCGTCCTTGGCGCCGAAGCGCTGGCGCGACTCCCACCGGGCAATGGACTCGAGCGTCTCCTGGCTCAGATTGCGGGCCTTGCGCACCTCCATGACGGGGACGAAGACGGTAAAGAATTCGAGAAACATGATGGAGAGGGCAATCCACATGGGAGGGATAAAGACGTTGTTGACGGGAGCCATGGCAGGAACGTACAGGGCGATGAGCCACATGGGGGCCGCGTGTAGGCCCGAGAGACAGCAGCCAATGGTCTGTAGCCGCCAGCCCTGCGTGTCGTGGACGTTGCGGGCGCGGAAGAGGATGACGGGAGCCACAATCCAGGCCCAGAAGAGCTGCCAGAAGATTGAGGGCCACCACTCCCAACCGGTACCCTGCGCGACCTTGACCTCCATGGGCGTGCCCGAGACCTCGGTGCCGTCGATGCCATACGAGTCATGAAACTTGCGGGAGACGAGGAACATGAAGACGGTAAGGCTCACTTGCAGGCTCATACCGACGGCGACGCTGGCGAGCGTCTTCTTGTTGTAGTCGAGTTGCTGCCACCAGACCTTGACCGACTCGCGCAGCGAGATGCGGCCGGGTCGGCGGGTGAAGATTCGGTAGGGCTCGGCCGAGCGCTTGGCGTACTTTCTCTGCGCGTTGGCCACGTAGAGGAAGCGTGTGTTGGAGGCGTGGAAGAGAGCAATGCCAAGCGGAAGCCAGATGCCCATGATCCAGTACTCTGCCACCTCGGGCATCAGAGGGCCGTAGACGTAGCCCGTCGTCACGCAGACCCAGTAGACGTGCATCAGGAGGATGCCAGCAAAGGAGATGGGAAGACCGCGGATGCGCAGAATCTGTGACTTGCGCTTTCTCCACAGGTAGAGCATGGCTCCCAAAAGGGTGCCAGTCCACGCTATGGCAAGAATAATATAGAAGATGCCAAGGCCATTGACTCGGGCCTCTGGCTTCGTCGTGGCCGTGTTGCCGAGTTCAGAGCCCATGATGAACAGCTGGCACAGGTATCACAAAAAGAGGGGCTCAGTAAGGAAACGTATAAAGGAGGGTAGTAGATGTTGAAAAGGTTTTGAAAGAAAAAAAGAGAGTCGAGAAGTGGTTATAGTCCGAGACGAAAGAGGACTCAAGTCCCAAGAACTTGGTCGATGTAATGCGGAAATCCGTCTTCATATACTTTTGACAAGTCCTAATAGAAAAGACCCATACACTAAAGTCGGACAAGAGACCAGGGGTCTACCCAAACGGGCTCTGTCTTGTCAATCTTGTGCTAGTTACCACTGCTACCAGCAGTAAAAAGCAAAAGCTATTGGCGCTGGGCTGCCACGCGAATCGTTCTCTACTCAATTGGGCTGGTCTATAGCAAAGCTGGGCCCCAGGGCCAATCGGGAAGCAATAGCCTGGGACTCGATGAGCACTTCAACATGCAGGGCACGGCCGCGGAAATTTAGGCATATCGGGTGCTGAGCATGTTGTTGCCATTCACCATCGTTTGCAGCCGGGATGAGCGACAGGTTGGCCAGGGTGCGCGGAGCGGGCGAGCAGTGTCTTGGGCAAGCTTGCAAGGGGAGGCAGGGGGCGGGCTGGTAAAAGCGGCACGAATGCTGATCCCATCCTGGCCGATCCTGCAGAGCTCGCTGAGACAGCCATGGCAGTCAAGTCCATTCCAACTCGCCAACTTGCTTTTGAGCGCTCAGCGTGTGGCTTGCATGAATGCGTGGGGTGGCTGCTATATGCCGACCAACCACACGAGCGCGGAACAGTCTCTGAACAACGTACCATTGCGATTCACATGGAAACGAGGGAGCGTAGTAGTCGTGCAAGGTACGGCCTCTGCGGTGGGGGAAGGGAACGTCGTTGCAACACACTGTTTAAAGGGCTTGGGATCAGCCTGTGCGACGATATTGGGCAGCCTCTGACATGTTCGTCAGGCTCACCATGATGGTAGACCAAGGTGAAAAGGTGGCAGAGGGCAATGGCCGACATTGGCTTAATTGTCGTGAGCCTTGCGAGTCTCGCAATGATCGTAGCTCCCTTGTAGCTGATCCAAGACACTTGAGTGATGCAGGTGATGAGCGCGTTCATCCCCCGGCAAAGTTTCATTTTCACGACTCAGGGCTCACACAGACCGACCTTGTAAGGCCTAGTCGCTTTCTGTGCCTTCGTCTGCGTCTGAACGAAAAGAAGAGCAGCTTCAGAATGACAACTCTTCACGGCTGCTGCATTTCTTCATACAATCGGCATTCGTGCAGAAGGATAGGCATCAGTGAAAAGAAATTATTAGCGGCTTGAGAAAAGGGCAAGCAAAAGCAACGCTTCGGGAACAGCGCGCGCCCCATTGCGCCAGACTAACAAGAAGCTAGTCAGTTAGCCCACGACGGTGATGAATGTCAGCGAGTAAAAGCTGTCTTTTGCGAGCTCGGCCGTGGCCTACCATAACTAGCACTCCCGGCGTCCCGTTGACCGAGACATGGTCTTGAAATTGGGCTCTGTCGTGCTTGGCGTTGGGCGGAATAAGTCATCGTCCGACAGATGGTGCGAATGAAAGACGTAGTGATCTGTACGGGTTACGGATATTGAGAGGGCCACATTTTACAGACGCAAGGGCGGTTCGGTGGCTAACGTTGATCGGCAAGCTGGCGCAATAAGAAGGAAGCAAAATCATGAAGAGCTGCACGCCAGGTTGGCGTAACGGGTTCGTTTCTTTTTTTGACAGCTCGTCTTTTCCTCTTTCGGTCTTGCCATTCAAACATCAAATGTGCTGGCCAATTTCCCCATATAAGAGAAATCCGTCGTGTAAGTGCCGAATCAAGCGACGCTGCAAGAGCACACACCGCAGTGGTCCTGTCCCAGGCTAATTGACGCTGATCTAGTTGCAAGACTCTGTCTGTTTATCCGTAGTGCGATGATGGATGATGGAGCAAGCCAGTTGTGGCTGGCTTTTCATCAAAAATCAAGCTACCCAGGTACTCGGTAGGCATCGATCTGGCCCGGCCGAAATTATCGGGCATCTCATCATATTTCCGCAACTCATTTCCCGTCGCCGATGCCAGCAATCTCCCGACTCCTTTGTTGGTCGAGGTGTGCCTGGTTCGGAATTCTTATTTTTCCCGCACGGACGTTGCGTGACCTCACCACCATCCCGCAGAAGGAAAAAGCAAAAAAACCGTAAATCATCCTAGCTGGGGTAGCAAAAAGCAAAGCGGCGTGAATTCCGCAAGGCCAGACTTTGTTTCACTCATGCCCTGCCGCGAACCCCGCCAACCGCTCCCAATGATGTGGCACAGATAGGCGACTGCACCCATCCTCCTGAAAGAATTTAAAAAGTCGGACAGGCAGCCGTTAGCCGTCGTGAAACTACACAAGTGGCTATACCGAATAGCGCACACGAAGTGCGGACGTCCGTTTTTGCAAATGTCATACGCCAAGGTGCTGTTGCCGCCTTCGCCGTCGTTCCGTTTCGTAGCATCATCCAGGTCTCGTTGGATTTGGACTCGGTATCCAGCGCACGCTACTAGCGCAGCAATTGTGCGTATGCTCGGTGCTAATCTGCTGCTCCACGCCGCTTTCATCTGAGATCAGGCCGGTGAAGCCAAGGATACCAGGGCTGGAGGGAGTCTTTCCTAGCCTATCAACCCTGGGACGACACTAATTTGTCATGTCTTGCACGGAGCTTTGATCAGCAGTTTGGCGCCCTTGCCAGCGGAAGCGCACCCGCTGTGATGATCCATCCTGCAAAGACGCTTTTTAGCAGAAGAAAGCTGGGACCATGCCAAATGATAATGACAGGCTGCAGTGGCGATAATGCTTCATATAACGATATGCGTAGAAAGTATTTATCATCTCTATCTCTATGCAGGACTTTCCGTGCAAGTTTCGCGCTAAATTGTCCGAAATACTCCCTTGGCACGGCGTAGCAGCTCGAACCACATGGCGTCGCGGTCCTCTCTTGTCCTGGTGACGGCGTCTCGATTCTCTTCTGCTCTTCGGAGCAAATACTTCATACATTCTCCAGTAGTTCCCCAGGCCATGTACTTATACACTGGAAGTTGCGCGGCGGGTGGAGTCACCGGCTCCTCGGATGATGTGCTGGAATTCATCTCGACCAGCTCACAGCTGATCTCGTCGGCCATGCCTTGTAGCTGCGCGAATAGTAGCTCCGATCGAGCACGACCTTCCACAGAAATGGCGTATGCCTTTCTGACAGAGCTGGCATTATGTGTCGCAAACATGATGCTGACTTTCGGATATGGGCCAGAGCCTGGGATTGTCGAGCTCCATTCACGAGTCAAGACGCTGATTGCAGTGGCATCATAGCAAGCGTCTGTGTCGGCTTTACTGCCTTGCAGACGTTCGGGTGGGTCAGACTGAAGATATGCGCCTCGAACGAGCTTAACACCAAGCGTAAAGTTGTTCTGCTGAGCTTCTCTCAGGTGGCTGGCGAGCGTTCGCGGCATGGATTTCTTATAGGCCTGGTAGGTGCCAAAGATGATGGCCTTGTCAGGCACAACATTGTGCCTCTGAGCAAGCTCAAGCGTCCATTTATCGATAGTATCTTGCAGCTCGTCCTGTTCGCCGTCAATCAACACGCGAACATCGCGCTCGCGCGCAATTTGACAGACTCTATCGATAGATTCAGTGAAGTACGGACCAGGTTTTAACCCCTTCTGGAGTTGTTCACGGGCACGACTCCCTGCTCCGGAGAATCTACGCCACATCAGCAAACACGTCAGAGTATGTTCGGCGGACTACATACTTGAGCGCGACGAAATCGCCAGCTGCGGCTAATTGCACAGTTTTCAGTGAATTCTCGAGCCATGTGGATATTTCTTTGTTCGCCTTTTCGTCGGGGTCAACTTTCGAGTCGGAACTTTTCGAAGCCCCCTCGGAATCTTCATTCGGTGACTCTCTAGCATATGCCAGAATTGCCCCTGTGAACCCGATCTTCTTTACACCCGCAAGAGTCTCTGCGACTTGTTCCGCGTTTTCGCCTGCACAAAATTGCTTGTAGAGAGACATGTTCAAAATGTATTTCAACAACCTGTTGTGATCCGGATTGAGAAGTTTCGTGTCGCTGAATGCTAAAAATCGCAGCAGGGAAAGGGAGATTGCCAGCAGCTTGGGCGAGGATGACACTGTGCTTGTGGCGAGAGAGCGTACAATCATTGTTAGCGGAAGAAGTGAAAGTGGCTGGTTTTTGACGCTACGTCGCTCATTTTTGGCAGCAACATTTGTGCTATTGTCGTTTGTTTCCATCGAGGGTGAAGCCTTGTTGCCATGTGTCGAATGAACGAAACGACTAGTTCCGTCGTAGGAGCTTGGCAGCGTTTTTGAGAGGATCAAGACTCTTATGCCAGGGACGCAGCGCATCATCGTATTGTCTTGTCTAATTTGGCAAATCCGCTTTGAAATTGGTGCTAAGATTTGTCGCATCTTGAAGTCTATACCTTGAAACGATGTACATTTCTCATTGCCTAGAAGAGTCGCGCCTAGTAATGCTTGTGTACCGCGATAATTTCCGTAGCCCAGACGATAGGTGCTGCAACATTCGTGACTAATAGTGGTAGGGTTTTTGATAGATATCGAGTGTTTGTGCTTTGTTCTTTGTGGTCGTCGATGGGTATTCGACCAAAAGTGCAGTGACCCACACCCCGACGGCAATGACAGAAGCGTGACGCCATCATGACTGCTTGTCACCGTCGCGCACAGTTAAGTCTCAGATGTATGATGCGATGGCCATCACAGAAAGTCATTGTGAATCGGTACCTGGAATTAGCGGGAGACTTATCGTTCAGCTAGCTCTGGGCCAGGGCCCATGATGATCTGTGATCTGCCTGTTGCTCTTGATGACGATTGCTCTCGACGACGAGCATGACTGTAGGGTACCTGAAATTGGTCCAAGGAATCTTGACAGCATTTGCTTTCTGGCTCAAGGCAAATGCCTGATTGGCACAGACGATCAATCGTAGATGCGAGCCAGGGTAATACTCCAAGAGTTATACAATGAGCTTTATTCGATGATGCGTGTTGAAAGATGAAAGTATGTAGGGAGACAAACGGCGCGCTGCCGACGCCTGCCACGGGACTGCCAACCGTCAACAGACAAACGACCACGAGACAAACCCGACCAACATGATATATGATCAATGAAAAAAGAGCCAATCTCTATTAACATTCAATTTTACCGAGTATAACAGTGTCACCATGCGACATTGCCTGATTTTACGCACCCCATATATGAAGTAACGTAATAATGCCTACTCCGGGTAAAACTCTAAGATAACCCTGCGGTGGGCGCGGGTTGGCGGGGAATCACTAGGAAAAGAAGCACGCTACTGCGGGACAGCCCTACACATATTGCACTGGACTCGCTGGAAACCGATTCGCAAGCAAGCTTTCCCCAGAGCGAATAGAACACCATGGCACGGGAAAGGAAGACGATCCTCGCCCCTGCGCGGCAGTTGAGCCGGCAAGCTGTGATGAAGCTTATTCGAAACACATCATGGATCTGTGCGATGCAAAATTCAGCGTCGCCAACGGAAAGCCCTCCATCGCAGCCTCCTGTCGCAGTCGTCTGATGTTGCCTTGATTGTGGCGACACTAAATCGAGCCTACTACACATCCACCTGCATCTCCCCGCACTTGTTCAAGCACGTTGTGGCCATGCCCTCAATACAACTATTGTTTTAACTCTATGCTGTGCGCGTCGCGACACTAAGGTAGCAGACAGAGGCGCGGATTTTGCATATGCTGGGGTAGATTAGGCCCTGACTAACTAGGTACTGCACCGGAATCATGTCCTCCCCAAAGCCAAACTTATCCTCCACAGGCTGCCCCTCACCATTTAACCCAGTAGACATTTACGTGGCTGGGTTTGTGCAAGGACTTGGGGCTACAATAAGCCAACGAGCATACAGGATTAAATAGGCCGTTCCCGAATTGATACCTGCAAAACCAGGAGCCTAGTTTTGGGACTTTTCTTTTCAGCGATAGAACGCATCTCAAGAGTCCCCGGAAGTGGCAGAAGAGTACCGGCCCCGTTGCAGAGCCCCACTCAACCCTTCTGTCCGGCTTCCAATACTTTTCCATTACCTTTTGAAAATAGCAACGTCTGATTGTGTTCAATCTTTCCTTCTCTTCCGCTGAAGTACTGCTGCTCTCGTAGCCGCCATATATAAGCCTGGTGTGTTAGCGAAGCCTTCCCAGGTGGCTAGTGGCGCTGCGACGACACGACTGGTTGCGCCCGCTCGCCCTAAGTATGTCCCTTCTGTTCAGTTCAAATTGACCGCCTCATGTGGCTGAAGTTTGGCGCAAACAAGCTGGAGGGCGCGCTTGAGATAGTTGCATCATCTGACTGTGTTCTTAACACATAATTGACTTGATGCTTCAGTCTACCCAGGCGAACTGATCATCACTTACCGTGGAGCCATCTATAGTACCTCAGCACAAGACAGCACTGGCGTGACCAATATGGAGGAGAAGGATCCGAGAAAAGCCGTCCAGGAGCGACGCGGGGACGCGCAATGCACGTCCCATACCGACAGCTTGTTAGCTACGCAACCCGATCCAACTCTAGCCACAAGCGCTGGCGCTGCTAGTGGTTTGCTTCATGGTGATGCAGAGATCGAAGCCGGCGGAAGCGACGAGGACGGCGAGTTCTCAGCGACCGATTTTGATGCCGATTCAATAGACGACAATCATTCCGATTCTACCTCTCTGCGATCTAGTATCTTAGAACATAGCTACGTCAATGGACGCAGATATCACCGATACCGCCATGGGCGCTATCCTATACCAAATGACGAAGCCGAACAGAATCGTGAAGATATGCTGCATACCATGATGATGGAGGCCACCGACGGACGGCTGTTCTATGCGCCCCTGGGACCGAATCCGCAAAAGGTCATTGACCTTGGAACCGGCACTGGCCTATGGGCGATAGAATGTACGCCCCACGGCGTGCAACACGTGTGACTTTAGGTCTAATATGTGATACAGTCGGAGATCGATATCCTAGTGCGGAAATCACGGGCCTCGATCTCAGTCCCATACAGCCAACCTGGGTTCCCCCAAACGTCAAGTAGGTGAAGCCGCCATGACTACGGTAAGGCTCTGTGTTGACTAGTCAGATTTTTGGTGGACGATGTCGAAGCCGAGTGGTTGAACGGTGATGACTTTGACCTGGTTCACCTCAGAAACATGATTCCCATACTAAAATCCCCCATCAATCTATTGAAACAAGCATATGAGTGAGCTGGAGAACCTCTCCTCTGCCAAACCCCGCTTCTAACATCAAGACAGACACATCAGGCCAGGCGGTTGGGTGGAGCTTCAAGACGTCGATGGTGTCGTGCACACAGACGACAATAGCGTACCCAAAGACTGGCCACTGAAGAGATTCACCAATCTGCTCGTCGAGGCCTTTGCGCAATTCGGCACAAATGTCAACGCGGCCGAATCTGGACGCGAGTATCTAGAAGAAGCCGGGTTCGTCAATATACAACACAACTACATTAAACTACCATACGGCACATGGCCGAAAGACAAGTACGTGCGCCGCCCTCTGCTGGCACCAGCCGCCCGCCAAATGCCCATCATCTCGTTCCATTGAACGCTGACGAAGAAATGTTGCCAGATTGATGCGCTTGGTCGGCATGTACTATCGCACCGCCTGCGAAGACTTTTTGCCGGCCGTCGGCGCCATGCACTTTCCCAAGATGGGCTGGGAAAAGGCCGAGATGGAAGTCTTTTTTGCGCAGGTGCGCCAGTCCATGCGCGACCCCAAGGTGCACGCCTACGGTAAGATGCACTTTTGGAGTGGCCAGAAGCCTCTTGGTGCGTGAGATGCGTGCGTAACATGATGTATGAAAAACCTGAATAATAGCATAAAGCGACTGGTCGGTTTTAGCGTCTTGCACAGCCGTTGCAGTCGACGGCATTTACTTTTTGTATTGAAAAAATTGCCTCGTTCGAGGTTTCGTGCTTTGCCTTGATAATGCCATTCACGAGCGATCGTTTCCGCAGGCATCATAATTGGAGCCAGATTCTACGATGCTCGCATACACTGCTTACATGACCACTCCTTGCGCGAACAAACTGTTCCAAATACCCCATGTTGCTGGATCTAGAATATACGCCTATATACAAAAAAGTATTTTAATTCCATGCTCTCGTCAATCACCTCCAGCCGCTTGACCCCCCTCAGCGCCTCGACTTGGTCTTTTTGCTCTTCCTCGTCTCCTCGCGCCCCTCCGACGAGTCCCCCGCGCGCCTCTTGCGGCGGCTCTCCTCCAAAACCTGCTTCATACCTGCCGACGCCGTAAACTTGGGGTGTGACGGGTCAATCGCGTACTCGTGGCTGTCAAACACGGCCTGGAAGCGAGCGTCCCCGACATCCATCTCAAAGTCCCCTTGCAGCTCTGCAGCGCCACCCTTCTTCTCCGCCGCCGCCGCCGCCTTCTTCGCTTTACCCTTTGCTTTGGCCTTTTTGCGTTGCTGCTTCTCGGCGCGCAGAATCTCCTTCATGTCAAAGTGGTCGAGGTGCGCGGCCGTCGCTCCGCCTTCGGCATCGTCCTCGGCCATGACTTTGCTGAGGTGTGCGCGCTCCTCGGCGTCGGCGGCCGAGGCGGCGAGGCGGGCCTCGCGTTTTTGAAGGCGCTCGGCCTTGCGGATGGATGTCTTGGAGGCTGCGGCGGGGGCCTCCGAGGTGAAGAAGGGATCGTCGAAGCCGAGATCCTCGCCGCCGTCGTCATTGTTGTTAAAGGTCATGGTCGCGCCGCCCTCGTCGTCGTCGCTGCCAGCAGCGGCGGTTTCGCCGTTGGCACCGGCGCGACGAGCACGCGCAGCCTCGCGCTTGCGTTCTTTACGTTCGCGCTCCTTGCGCTTATACTTTTCAATCGTCGTCTCCTCCCCGTCCTCGGCAGACTTTGTGGCCTTGGCCTCAGAGAGCGCCGGGGTGAATGTGATTTGCATCTCGCCGACAGGTCCGCCCTTGGCTGCCTTGGGCGCGGGCTTCTCGCCCAGACCGAGCGCTGCGCGCATCTTTTGACGTGCGCGCTCCTGCTTGGATAGCTTGGGCTTCTCCTCTCCCGCTTGGCCGTCCGGGTTGTCACCGTCATCGTTGTCACTGACACCATTGCCATCCTCTACGCCAAAAGTGGCTACCTTGTGGCCGTCGTCGTCGTCATCGTCGGAGCCTTCGGTGTCGCTGGCCAGATAGGCGCGCAGATCATTCTCTTCGAGATCCGCCCGGCTGCCGGTGAATGCGCGCTTGATAGAGTCTTTGCGTGTCGCCTCCTCGGGATGCAAGTCCCACGTGAGCTTGACCTTGGAGCTCTGCAGCGCCGTGGTAACGAAGTCGACGGGCTTGTACGAGTCGGGAAGCTCTGTGCACTCATCGCGAGGCTCATCGTCAAATTCGACGTCGTCCGGCACGAAACGCAGGTCGAGAAAATTAGAGGAAGACTGATATTCAGTTCCGTCAGTCGCCTCATAGAGTTGTTGCGCAATCTTTTCGTCGGAGCACTCCATAATGGCATAGTAATATCGTAGGCGGTCGAGCTGGTACTTTCGCAAAGCATCGCTATCGAATTCTTGGTCGTCACCTTCTTGAATGAGCTTATTTTTGATTTTTTCGTCCTCCTCGTCAGAGTCTTCTTCCTCGTCGCTGTCTGAGTCGTCCTTGCTCTCCTTGAAGAGTTCCTTGGGCGGACCCTCGATCTCTTCTCGCTGCATGCGCTCCTTGCCGAATTCACTGGGGTATACAGACACCTTGATCACGCGCCCAGAGCTTTCCCCAATGAAACTGGAGAAGAGGGCGAAGAGATTCGTCGAGTTTACGTGGTCCCAGTCGAGATTGACAATGGCTATCCGTTTCGAAACCTCGCCAGCCTCAACTTCGGCCTGCTCGTCTTGCAATCTTTGCATGTCGCCTTCAGTGATGAGTTCTGCGCCGCCGTCGTCGTCATCGTCGGAGTCTTCCTCTTCTGATGAGTCTTCTTCTTCAGAAGATGAGAAACCACCGCCACGCGCGGGATCGTAGTTGGCGCGCAAGTCGCGCTCATGAACAGCACGAAGCTCTCGCTGGACGGCATCATCATCGTCGACCTCAATTTCGGCTTCGCTGCCCTTCTCTTCCCCCTCCTCTTTGTCGTCTTCCGCCTCATACAGGCGCTGCAAAGCCTTCTTCTTGGAGTCGGATTTCACCTTGCGGCCGTATCGATCGACGTGGGAAGTAGATGTAAAGTCTTCGTCGTCGAGCATGCCCGCGAATCGCTTGTCGAGCTTGGTTTTGGCATTTTTCTTGGAGGGCAAGCGGAATCGGGGATCCGTCTCGAAGTTGCTGAATCGCGCATCGGCGATACGACTGGGAGCCGGAGCCCCTTTCTTCTTGTCAGACTTCATGTCAAATGTCTCTGCTTGTGTATGCAGCACACAATCTAGGTGGAGAATGTCGTTGGGATTGTCTGCGGTAAGTAGCAGTGTTTGCGAAAGGCCTGCTTGAACTTTTTTGGCGGTCATGATTTTTCTGCCGCTTTGGCGGGGCCGGCTGCAACAGACTTGTGGGGCGGCCTGCCGCCTCGAGCATATAAATCCGACGGTCCAATGACCTTGTATTTTCTTCTAAAAACATATATGTTTTATTCCGAGCGGAGATTTGGCCAAGCTGAGGTTGAAACTGAAAGATTATTCTATGGATCTCACCATCGGAGTTCGTGGCTCTAGGTAGCTGAATTGGTGACTGTTTTGGCTCGTGGGCTCGGAATTGATTGCTCCCTGTTTACACGGAGCATCAGAGACGGTTTGCGACTCCGGAGTAGCTAGGTTAGCTCCTTGTATGTATCATACTATATGTAGCCCTGGGTATCCTCGGCTCATGCTCCAAGTGGTTGTAGACAGTGGTCACGCCAAGGGCTACCGGTGACGGCGCAACTGTTGCTCCAGCCGAGGTTGTCGCTGCTAAACACTAGAGTAAACTAGCTTTCCATATCAACATCAAGGGACATATAAGGCAGAGTAGAGACACGGTACCAGGGTTGCTAGCTCTATAAAACTTTATAATTTTTTTTTGAATGACTTGACTTGCTTTTGACAAGATGCCCGAAGCCAAACCTCAGATTTCCTGGCTAGCTATTCTGGATCTCATCCCAGGAGCATTTTCAATATTTCTTGCTGGATTGATTGCAGCATGCACGGGGCTATGGCGCAGTAAGAGAGATGCTCCTACGCTTTACTTGCACATATCCTATGCTGTCATGCGCAAGACGTCAGCACGATACTCGCCAGTGCAACTTCAATGGGCTCTACCAACCTCGGATCAGGTCTATCGCAGCTATGCGCGGTCTGCCAAAATAAAACCTGAAATTATCAATTTGGCAAATGGCGCCAGTGGCTACTGGGTTGGTGACAAACACGCCAAGAATATCATCATTTGGTTCCACGGTGAGATTGTGCCATGTATGTAGAAATTGCAGGAAATCAACAAGCTAATACAACGAATAGGTGGTGGTTTCAATATGGCAGCAGTCCCAGCTTTCTTCGAGTTTTGGCAAAGCTTCATTGTTGCACTCCGCAGAAGCGACAAAGACGTTGCAATCTTTGCCATGTCATATAGCCTCGCACCACAAGCAACATACCCGACTCAACTTATTCAAGCTGTGGATGCCTTGCGATATGTTGATTCTCAGAAGCAGCGTGCAGAGTCCATTGTTTTGGCTGGTGACTCGGCAGGTGCTAGTTTAGCATTTGGTGTATTATCTCATCTTGCCCATCCACATCCAGCAATTGAGAGGCTTCAGCTGGCAAAGCCATTAGATGGCCTTGTGGTGGTAGGATATCCAGGTGCAACAAATGATAGTCACGTTCCAGCAGGGTCTGAAAGATATTGGGGCGGTGACCTCATTGACCCAGTCGTGGTTGAGAATTGGATGAAAGGTTACATGGGCAATTCTGCCCCGGACTACTATACTGACCCGATAGGCGCTCCGGATAGCTGGTTTCACAATCTACCAACAAAGCGCACGTTGATGCTTGCGGGGGGCAACGAGTTGCTAAGGCCCATGATTGAAGCCTTCGCGCAGAAGCTCAAGGTGAGATGATCACCAACGTACTCTTCTGACGCAGTATTTTTCAAGCTAACTCTTAATCAAGCCCATAATTCCGAATCTGGAATTTTTCATTGGTCAATCTGAGGCTCATATAGCACCAGTATATAATCTTTACCTAGGAGACAAGACGCCAACACAGCAAGGCTTGAGCTTGATAGCCTGGTTAGAAGGCATTTTCTGATGGCTGCCATCTTAGCGGCCTTCTCATGGGATATCTTCATAAAGAAACGGAGAACGGTTTCAGATGCATTTTAAAGCTGTTCTGATTTTATTCGAGAGCAGAATGGTCTAGTCGACTTTTTGTATCACCGCCTACCATCAATTACACCTCACAGCTTGGACCTACACAGCGGCACGGGCTGCATGCCGGCAACGTTGATATATCGCGCGCCAGCTACACACAATACAAGAAAACTGCCGTACTTTCCATGACTGGGAGAATAACCGCACTGTAGGTTGGCCTATTCTCAAGCGCGGGACACCTTCAGAGAGTGACACGTGCAGCGGCGACGAGGGCAGAGATGCAGGAACAACTGCCATCGAGGGACCATGTTGCTTGCCATATGTTCTTCCCTTTGCTGCGCGCCAGCGGATGGTCCAGGTTTGTTAGTCTATCTAGTGCCATCCGCTCTTACACGTAGCTCGGGGTATAATTGGATACATCACACGTGGTCCAAGGAACAAGTTTGGCGGGTATCTATTACATTTATATAGACAAAAGCTACATCTATCCATCCAAGAGTCCTGTTGCCAGCTTCTCAAGATCTTCCAACGTCTCGGGCTCCTCGTCCACCTCAAACACCTTTCCGCTCTTCTTACTTTTGCTCTTCTTCTTCTTTTTCGTTTTCTCACCCTCGTCCTCGTCTTCGTCCTGGAACCACTTCTTGGCCTTCTTCTTCGGCGGCTCGTCTTCTTCACTGCCCTCTCCCGCAATCGGTAGCGACCGCAGGAACTCGAGCGCTTCGTTGCTGTCCCCGCCGTCGACCAACTGCGGCGCCTCGTCGCCACCCTCCCCTTCTTCTCCTCCCTCCTCATCGCCGCCGGCGCCCAAATGCTCTGCACGCTCCAGTGCCTTGCGCTTCTCCTTCTTCTCGCGCTTCTTCTGCTTGGCCAGTGCCTTGTCATCGGCGTCGGCCGCGCGCACGCGCTGCGCTTCGCTCTCGAGGAATTGTGCGCGCTGCGTGGCGGCGTCGCCGGCCTCCTTAAAGTCTTGCTCACGCTGCAGCTCGTAAATCTCGTGCGCGTTGCCCTCGTCGTCAAAGACGAGCTTGGAGGAATTGCCCATGAATTTCAGCATCTTCTTCTTGGATTGCAGAGCCTTTTCGCGGCGCTTCGAGTCAATCACGTAGGGCTCTTGGCCGCCGAGGCCGTGAATGACTTTGGGTTCGTTGTGATTCACCTTTCTGACCTCGGCGTCTAAGTCGTCGTCGTTGAGGCGGCGTTTGACGGATAAGAAATCGTCATCCGAGTCACCGTCGGCGGCCTTGTCACCATCAACCACCATCTTGCTATAGTGAGCAGACAAAACGTCCTGATTGGTTCGCTCAAACATTTTGTCGTATTTTGTGCGCACTTCATTCTTCTTCTTCGTCTTCTTGGGCCCATCCAGATCCATATCCGACTCCGAATCGCTTGACATTCCTTGTCTGGAGGCATTCTTGATTTTCTTGATATCATCGCCCTTTTGGAACTTGATTTGTGGTGTACCAGGAAGCCCTAAGCTCGCGGCATATGCGTCTAAATCCAGCTTTTTGAGATTGAAGACTTCTTTATCTCGTTGTAGGTGGATGGACCGTGTGTAACTGATGAATGACTTTTGCCCAAGATACTTGAGGTCAGGGTTTTGGAAGCACATATTTTGCAAGTCGTTCTTGATGCTGCGCTTCTTTTTCTCTTTAATGTTAATCTTTTGGATAGGAATCTTTTTTTGCTCCAGCTTCTTAATCATGCCGTCCTCCTCACTCGGCTCGAGAAACAGCACCGCACGGCCTTCGCTCTCGAACCGGGCGGTACGGCCCACTCTGTGAATATATGTGTCGGTATCTTCGGGGCAGTCAACCTGGATGACCCAGTCGACGGCTGGAAAATCGATACCACGGGCGACAACGTCCGTGGCAAAGAGGCAAGCCTGCTTGGCTGCTGTGAATCGGTTTGTAATCTCGAGTCGCTGGACCTGCTTCTGGCGGCCGTGGAGGTGCAGCAGCGGGATACCCGGCTGCAGGTGTCGGAGACTTTCGTAGACGAAGCGGACTTGCTTGCCGGAGCTCAGAAAGACAATAATCTTGCTCTTGAGCGACGACTTGATGAAGCCGTACAGCGTATCGAGCTTCTCGTGTAGGGGCGTAACAATGTAGTGCTGCTGCAGATTGGTCGGGGTGGCCGAAATGGCGGCCTCGTGCACAGAGACGTACTCGGGGTCCTTGAGGCTGAGACGGGCCAGGTCCGACACCTTTTTGCTCTGCGTGGCGCTGAACATGAGCGTTTGGCGCCCCCGCGGCAGGTGCTCGACCAGCGCGTCGACGGCCGCCTGGAACCCCATGTCCATAATACGGTCCGCCTCGTCTAGTACCAGCATCTGCAGGTTGTTGACGTCGAGCCCGGCCGTCTGGTCGAGGTGCTGCAGCATGCGTCCCGGGGTGCACACGAGAATGTTCATGCGCGGCAGGCGATCCGCCTCCTCCTTGAGGCTCTTGCCGCCAATAACGAGACCTGCTGAGAAGCTGTGGTAGCGGCCAATCTTGTGCAGCACGTCGAATATCTGTACCGCTAGCTCACGTGTCGGCGAGAGGACGAGCGCGCCGAGGCCGTCGTACTCGGTCCACCGCGCGCGATACAGCTTCTCGAGCAGCGGTACCAAGAACGCTAGCGTCTTGCCGCTGCCAGTCTTGGCGGCGCCCAGTATGTCCCTGCCCTTCAGGGCCAGCGGGATCGCGCGCGCCTGGACGTCGGTGAGGGTCTGGAAGTGCGAGGCGGACAAGCCTTTGGTGGTGGCTCGACAGAGGGGCAGATCGGAAAAGTTATTGATTTCGGTGTTCTTGGGATCCTGTCGTGAAACAAAGGATCAGTTAGCATATGCGACCTAGACCTGGGATTGCGAGACATAGAGCGTGGAGAGAAGAACGGGACGGACGTACCAGCTCACGAATGGCGTCCTCCAGCGTTGTCAGGTCGTCCTGATCTCGCTTCCGCTTCTGGTGGCGAATGTCAGTTTTGTTTTGCCTCGCCGGCCGCGGTTGTCGCTCAGATACGCGAGGATTGGCAGCCATGTTTGCGTCTCGCAAATTTTCGCTGCGGTGGTGAGAATTGAGGACTGAATGGGCCTGTTCAAAACCTTTTCTACAAACGACAAGAAAAAAAGTTGCTGGAGATCTGCCCCACAGCCGGTCGTGGTGGGGCCGGCGCGGAACTCTTCCACGGTGACTTCGATCTACATCTAATCATATTTAAAGCCCAGAATTTGTCTCTCTCAAAGTTCAATGCAACGCGTCAAGAAGAATCAATCGTGTAGAAATAATCAAGAGAAAGAGTCAATGTATTCAAAGCCCGTGTGTCCTCGCTCGTTGTACTCTGTACTGATCAAAACACGCTATGTTCCATCCATGTCCGAGAAACGCCACTCTTCTAAATATGTCAAGATAATGTACCAAGAATACCAAAAACACAATATACCGCCCCTTCCATGCCGTTCTTCTAAAATAACATTACATAACAGCGCTTCCTTCATGAAGCGCTGCCCGTTCTGGGATTCACCAGGGAACACCTCTGTAGTCCCGGCTCTCCCCGTACAGCCTCACCCGATAAAAGCAGGTGTGCCATTTGGCGCCGTAGTTGCTCACCGCGCGGACAATGACATGGTCCGTCGCGGCGCCCAAATCGAGCAACTCGTCGCTCAGTTTGTGAACCTGCACTCCGTCATGAGGCTGGACGTCCTCATAGACAAACTGTGCAATCTTCACGAACCGCGCCGGAAGCGCGGCGGGGCTGACATTCCAGCCGGCGTTATCCTCACCGAGCGGGTAAATGTCCGGAAAATGCTTCGCCGAAAATTCTTTCACGACGTCGCGGAGCTGTGGGTCGATCTCGGCGTAGACCTCAATTTCCTTGGGTCGCGCGTTGGGATCTGTCGTGGCCGCGGCAACAATGTGCTCAACCACAATGTGCTGCGGGATGATGCGATGCGCCATCTGCACAGACAGAATGGCGCCGTGCGGGTTGCCTCTGTGGTTCACAGAGCGCGCCGCGCACCAGCAGTCTCCCTCATCCGACCACGGCTCCAGGGCCACTCGTGGGATAGGTGTTTGCACGCCCTTGAGACCCTTTTGTACGACATACGTCGAATCCTTGGGTGGCTTAAAGGGCGGCGAGGTGTGCTGCGCATCTATTGTCGCGCCAGCACCGACACCAAAGTAATTAATCTGGTGTCGCAAAACGTTATCCCAATGCGAGTGAATCTGGCCGCGTGCCATAGCCTCCAGATTCATATCCGCCATTGCCTTGGTGACCAAGTCGTGGACCAGAGTGACGATTTCCGCCTTGCTCATGCTATCCGGAGCCCCCTTTCCAGCCAGTAATGCTGCCTGGCGAATCAAAACTTCGAGCCGCGGTTGGAGCTCAACCAGTTCGGCCCGGACCTCTGCGCGATGTGTAGCGAATTCGTTTTTGAGGTGGCGCAGAAATTCTTCGCGAGAGACGACTGAAGAGTGCTTGTTGCTCTCGTCAATGTGCTGTTTGACGATGCGCTGCAGCCTCTTGTCAAACTCTCTTTGCGATCCAGCATTCTGTATCTGGTCAAGCGCAGACCCAAGCATCTCTGAAATCTTGGCGTCATTGTTCTTGATCCAGGCATCCCAGAATCCTGCTGCACCTTCCTTAATACGCGCTTCCATGCTATCGACCGTCATGTTGATTTGCTTCGTAAAGGTCGGGTCTTTGGTAATACGAGACGCAATGGCTTGCCAATGCGCCTCGGACGCGACCTCGTACGAGCCATCTTTCTGTTCAAAGGTCAAAAAGTCACCATCACGGTGAATGAGGTCCCTCAGCGCGTGCCAGAATTCTTGCGCAACCACGGGGTTGCCATCCTCCAGCTGGACATGCACCAGTTTTGGCACGACTGCTTCGAGTTTCTTCAGCGATTTTTCATGCAGCTTGCCCGCTTGCTGGATGCGCTCAAACTCGCGCTGGTACTGTCTCAAGTACTCATCCAAGCGGGCCAAGCCGTCATTGTCCAGATGTGACAGATCTGGCAATGACGAAGACTGGCTCCATGTGGGCCAAGAAAACGCAGGTAGAAACCCGTGAGCCTTTCCAGCCATGTATCCCAAGCCTGGCCAGTGCGTTTCGGGCATTGAGAGAAGACGATCCATGCTAAAGTCGTCGTCTACCTTGCCAGAGAGGGTTGCATGCACCACACTGAACAGTGTGATGAGCCCGATAATCGCGGCAACGAAGTACATCACCATGCCCAGTGAAGAGAAAAGACCATCCAGGAGCGTTTGCGGGCAAAGCTTATTGACCAACTCCAAACCAGAGGCATATGCAGCGCTGAAAAGCCAGCATAGAGCCTCGAAGTAGGTGTACGGGTTCAAAAGCTGCCACCAATTGATGGTGTCCGTACGCAAATCGTCTTGATTGTGGCGAAAAGGCGACAGCATGGTCAAGGATCTGAGCCATGACCAATGCTGCCGGGAGTCGCCATTTTCAGATTCGCTCTCATTGGATTGTATTTCTTTTTGCATGGCGTCGTCCATCTCGCCATGATCCGATGCGTAGAATGAGCGAGTGGAAAATGGACTCGCTGAAACCGCAACATCTTTAGCCTGGGCGAATAGGCTTGGGCGAGCTGCTGTTGCTTCTTCGACGTCGCGTGTTACGTGGTCTGAGTTTCCACTTCGCTGGCGTAGAGGCGCGCGCTGACCAGACTCTGAGCGGCTCGAAAACCGCTTTTTCTCTTGCACAATGCTCTGTGCAGCCATCGTATCTTGGCCTGTCAGCAAGGCCTGTGTGCTGCTGAGCTTTGTGGTCGGGTTCTTTTCACGCAGGCGTCGGGCATTAGCAGAAGCCGTTTCACTAGGCTTCTGATTGCCCAGGGTGACGGTTTTGGGCTGTGGCTGCTTCGGTCGTCGAGGACTACTGCGAAGACCGGGTGTGCCCAGTGCGCTTGGCGAGCTGGGCTGCTCGTTCTCAGCATTCGAGGATCGCCGGGGTACCTCGGATGAGAGTGAAGGCAGCTCCGGATAACCAAGAGGTTGGTGTTCGGATGCTCGCCTCTGAAGCACTGCGCTGGAGTCTTGATGTTGCTCGACGATTGGCGCAGCGACTGGCGAAGATGCTATCGATGCTTCGCTATAGTAGTCGCTTTCAATGTCAAAGCCGCGAGCAACATCTCCGTCACTATCATCTCTGTGTTCTGACAGAGATACAGAACCAACTTCTTTTGACTCTGGAGCAATCACAATCAGCATCTCGTCGACGCTACAACACGGAAAAAAGGGCTGTACTTACTTTGAAGTGGCTTGAATGAGGGTGGAGGCATTGCTTGCCTATCCTCGTCATTTTCGACGCTGCCACGCTCTTGGCGTTCAGCTTCCTCGAGAAACAAGTCGGCACCTGACTGTCGACGGTGCTGCGCCGCTTGTTGCTGCTCCTGTCTCTCCAGAGCACCCTGTACTGCCCCGCTGAGGTCGACGACATCGCCGCGCAAGAGTGGTCTGGCGGGCGATGGTTCTGCGGCTGCTCCGTATGTGTACTGCCTACGCGCGCTTGGTGTGCCGTGCAGCGGCGGTAGGTTGGGCTTGCGAAACTCGGTCGCGTCGTCCTCGGGGGCTGGAGTCGCTCTGGCACGCTCTCGAGCAACAATACCGGGACGACGGCGAATGGGATATGGTGTGGGTGGCATTTTAAATGGCGAATGTGTTAATGCCGAGGATGTGTGAGGAAAGTTTTATAAAAAGTGAGGACGAAATGAGTCCTGGGGCTCTGACGGCTTAAGTGAGTGAGTGAGGGCCAAGTCAGCTCGCGATTGTCGAGGCGCCCAGACCAGAACGGCCGCAGCCGTGGTGGGTATGCACAGGCGCAGCACGGCGGATGTTGAAGCGTCCTCGTATTTGAAATCTATCGAAAGACGTTATCGCCTTTGTTATCGAGTTTGGCGCGTGTATGTGAGATGCTCGGCAACAAAGGGTGCCTCTGGTGAGCTGGGCGGACAAGGCGGATCCAGCTGGCCAGTGCGTCGTTGTCAAGGAAGGCGGAATCCTTCCACAGCGAATTGACAATGAGGCGATGCGGTCAAAGACGTAAAGATGTGCTTACGAAAAGCAGTTCAAGGTAAAAAACAAGAAGCTGTTGTCGAAATACGTTCGCCGAGCTGGGCAAGCGGTTTTATATGCAAGTGTTTTGGTCACCAATGAAGAAGCGCGACTTGGGCGGCGTGTTGAGACCGAGGATTAGGCGGAGCCGCTGGTGGGAAAGTGGCTGGTGGTGCACAAGTACCACCTGTGCACAAGAGCACAAGAGCACAAGGAACTGCATATACGGAATATCTGCAAGGCTATGGGAGAAGCTACTCGATATAATTGGTAGTATACTCTGTGCAACTCGATATCTGGATTTATTGTTTCAACTTGTTCCTCAGTTGCTGGTGCGCATGAGAGTACCCATTGTTTGGAGTAACCGGTGTGGCTGGGCTGTGGCACCATCGTGGCGCGAACTTGTTCCAAGATAGTTGCACAAGCTGCAATCCGGTCCTTTCCTGGGTAAAAATGTGCAAAGTATCACAGCGGCCAGCCAAGACGCTTCAACGGATTGGCTGTCGATTGTTTGTTGTGATTTGATTTGTTTCAGTTCTTGGGTGAAATTTCTTCTTCTTTTTGCTCATCTGAGGGCTCATTTTTCGTTGCACAGAAATCGTGGCCCGCTGTGTCGATTCCATTGTCGATGCTACTAATCCCCTCGAGGCGGTGTACATGCGAAAGTCTTTTGAAGACACTCAAACAGCAGAGATGCTAACTAAAAAGCATACCACAGTTAGCGGCAAGCGAGTCAAAGGGACCCACGTATAACGCTCACGAGTCACAACAGGCAAACGACCGCACTTGCACACCAATACCGCTGGCATTGCGGAGAGAATACCTCGTTGATCAGTTAGGCCACCCACTAAAACGGCGGCGCCACGGCTGGCTCTGATTTGTGCGGTAATAGAGAACCTTGAGAACAATCAGCCACCCGCAACGATGATCAGACCCCCGTGGGCACTCAAGCACTCAATCTCGTTAGTTAGCCCATTACGCCGTTTCTGCAGGTCGCATTTCATGCATCAGAGAAACCAGTAAAGAACCTGGAGGGCGGCCCGCGAGGCTGTTTGATGCCCGCTTTATCAGAGGGGCAAGCCGCTAATCATGGACCGATAGGGCATCCTTGAAGCCCCTGGAACCACCAAAAGATCCCCTGTAGCTGGCATGTGGGGGACAAAAAGCAGCCGCACTAGGTATTGGGATGGCTTTGACAGACGAAAGACGAATGAGCAATAGGACTTTAGATGAATGAACTTTGAAGTGTCGTATGACCTCTCAACATCGAAAATATTTATGCCATTTTTGAACTCTCAATCACAGATGTTTGAAAGTTTATCTGAGATGGTGGTGGTGGTGGTGGTAAAAGCAGGCCAAATTGACGCATCACCCCCAAACCACCCTGTATGTAGCCACATTATTTCGCTGCCCCTCCATTTCCCATCCCTGTGCCTGCAACAGCCTGATTGCAATTTGCATGCTGCCCCTCGCCTCCCCACCGTCCTTATCATCAAACTTGCCTCCCTCATTTTTGTTCCTTCCATTGCGCATCATCACACATTTGTCCAGCGTCCCGTTTGCACTCGAAAGAAACAATGCCTGTTGGAACAGTCCTCGTTACCGGGTAAGCTGTGGCTTCCTGCCCCTCGATCGGCCGGCACTTCTGGCTTGTCGCGTACAAACACCGCAACTCGGCGGGGCTGACCATGGTCACAGTGGTACCGGCTACATTGGCTCCTTCACCACCTTGACCCTCCTCGAGAACGGTTACGATGTCGTCATTGTCGACAACCTCTACAACTCCTTCGAGAATGTCATCGACCGCATTGAGAAGCTCTGCGGACGTCGCCCCGCCTTTCACAATGCTGACCTGACAGACGAAAAGGCTGTCGACGCCGTCTTCGACAAGCACCCCGAGATTGACTCTGTGATTCACTTTGCCGCCCTCAAGGTAGGCAGAAACAACGTCAAGACGACCAACATGTAATCAACTGCTGACGCCCCGACGCACAGGCTGTTGGCGAGTCTGGCGAGATCCCTCTCGAATACTACCGCGTCAATGTCGGCGGCAGCATCAGCCTCATGCGCTCCATGACCCGCCACAACGTCTCAAACATCGTCTTCTCCTCCTCCGCCACCGTCTACGGCGATGCCACCCGATTTCCCAACATGATACCTATCCCCGAGCACTGCCCAATTGGTCCCACAAACACCTACGGTCGTACCAAGTCCACAATCGAAGACGTCATTACCGACCACGTCAATGCTGAGCGCAACAGACTGAAGAAGGAAAGCAAGCCCTTCGAGCACTGGAACGGCGCTCTTCTGCGATACTTCAACCCCTGCGGTGCCCACCCTAGTGGTATCATGGGCGAGGATCCCCAGGGTGTCCCCTACAACCTGTTACCTTTACTTGGTCACGTTGCTACTGGCAAGCGCGACAAGCTGCTCGTGTTCGGTGATGGTACGTGACTACAACAGCAGCCGAGAAGAAAGATGATACTTATAATACTCCTAGATTATTCTTCCCGTGATGGCACTGCCATTCGCGACTACATTCACGTCATCGACCTTGCCAAGGGACATCTCGCTGCTCTCCAGTACCTTCGTGACAACAAGCCCGGTGTCAAGGCATGGAATCTTGGTTCCGGACGTGGCAGCACCGTCTTTGAAATGATCAAGGCTTTTAGCTCCGTTGTCGGCCGCGATCTTCCCTACGAAGTTGTTGCCCGCCGCCAGGGTGACGTCCTCGACCTTACGGCCAACCCTACTCTCGCCAACAAGGAACTAAAGTGGAAGACTGAAATACCCATGGAAAAGGCATGCGAGGATCTGTGGCGCTGGGTCAGCAACAACCCCGAAGGCTACCGTCAGGAGCCTCCGGCTGAGTTGATGAATGCCATTCAGACACCAAAGGCATAGTGGCAATGCTATTTACAGAATGGATAGGGAAGCAATTGGTCAAATAAGCGAGATGTATTCCAACGAGATAGATATAGGCCAATGACAGCTCTGAAAGAGCTATAAACAGGCACTAGCAAAGGCAGGACCAGCTAAACAAACTAATGTCAGAGACAAAAGTCGACACGCACGAGTTGTGCTCTAACCCATCTAACCCAAAGTCCACGCTGATTTGTATTCTACCAATTTTTACCTTTCTGTGACGCATGTCCATTAATTAATCTTGATAAGTAGCTTGCCGACCGTCTTTCGGCTCTCAATGTCAGCGTGCGCCTTGGCGACATCCTTGAGGTTGTAGGTGGCGTGGTGGAGCACCTTGAGCTTGCCAGAACGAACAAACTCAAAGACCTCACCGGCGTATTTCTCCAGAGCGTCACGTTCCGCCAGGTATCCAAAAAGGATAGGGCGAGAGAGCCGGATATTTTTGGGGCCGAGGGTTGGTCGAATATCAAAAGGCTCAACGTTGCCCGACTGGTGTATTTGTGTTAGTCGAGTCGGAATCAATAAACTAGAGGGGAGGCTGAAAGCTAAAAGCTAAAAAAAAAAAATAAAAAAAAATAAAAAAAATCTTGAAGCAAAAAACTTACAGCATTGCCAAGCATCACCAAGCTTCCGCCTACGGCAATCGCTTCGAGGTCCTGCTGAAAGGTGGCCTTGCCGACGCCGTCGTAGATGCTGTCGGCGCCGTGGCCGCCCGTAATCTCCTTGACCTTGGCGACCCAGTCGTCGTTTGAGTTGACGACGTGGTCAGCGCCGAGATCCTTGACGATGGCGAGCTTCTCTTCGGAGCTCGCCGACGCAATCACCTTGGCGCCCACGACCTTGAGCAGCTGCACAAGCAGCGACCCGACACCGCCGGCGGCCGCGTGCACAAACGCCCACTCGCCGGGCTGCGTGAGCGCCGCGCGGCGGATAAACGTCCACGCCGTGAGGCCCTGCAGGTAAACGGCGACGGCGTCTTGCGTGGAGACGCCTGCGGGGACAGCGACGGCGGCGGCGGCCTTGACGGTCGAGTACTCGGCGTAGGTGCCCGTGCCGCTCATGAAGACGACGGTGCTACCAATGGCGTGCTGCGGGGTGGCGGCGGCGGCGGCGGATCCGACGGCGACGACCTCGCCGGCGCCGTCTTGTCCGAGGATGCGGGGAAAAGACGGCGACGGGTACTGGCCGGAGCGGAAATAGGTGTCAATGTAGTTGACGCCGGCAATGGCGTTGCGGACGAGGATCTCGTCGGGCTGCGGCTGCGGCACGGGAACGTCCTTGAGCTCGAGAACCTCGGGGCCGCCGTTTTTGGCAATGGAAATGGCCTTCATGGTGGTAGGAATGGGAGCCATGTTGGAGGATTGTGTGTGGAAGAGCTGAGAGTTGAAGGAGGGTAGGAATGGAGAAAAAGGCGGCAAGGCAGAGATGTGAGGCCGGATAAGTTGCTGCTGTGCTTGGAGAGCTGGTGATGGTGGTGGTAGTGGTGGGGTAATGAGCAGCGAAGCTCCAGATTTGGAGTGCGGGGGATGATGTCGACACTTGGGCGCGTGGCGAATGCAGAACTGGCGCAGCATGTATCCAGACAGTATGGGTGATGAATTAAAGTCTAGAGAATCAATTGGCAGAGAAAAGTATTAAGAAACGCAAGTTGCAGTGAGAGTTTGATATTGCGCAATCGTTGTTCGGAATGGGAACCGCAAGCAGCCGCCTCCATATGCTGGGTCTTGATCGTATTTATAAGCAAAGCTTTGGTGACATTGGGCCACCTCAAAGGGCGTAGTAGACACACCATGTAATTGATAAACCTTGAGATGAGTATTCAGTTGGAAAATTTATCTAAGAGGTAAAAAGGGCATATGATATGGTAGTTTTTGAACTATTGCGCCTCAGATTTTGAACCAGCAGGTGTACATTTGCTCGCACCCACGTTCTCAGCGGTACGTTGTGTCTTGGCCGAGGTGCCTCAGTACCTACGCGGGGTGCTCTTTAACATGGCCTCTAACATAATTTTGAATTTTCTAGGCACTTTATAAGACATTTTATAATCTTCAAAATATTTTCAAGACTTCTGGCATTATTTATATCTGACAAGGCTGACTTTGTTATGACATACCCCAGGATATGACATCTACGATAAACTGTCCTCAGGTACATCAGAAAACACCCCCGTCCCGCGCAGGTGGAAACCAATGCAGTCACGACTGCTTCAATCGACTTTGTAATCTGACAATAGCACGCGGGAAAATGGAGTTGAATCGAGAGTAATTTTTGGCCCAGGAAAGTACTTGAACAGCAGCCTTTGACATTCCCGTCTAGGCTAGATGCGGCATAAATTGAGAGCTTGTGCTCAGGTTTGTTTAGTTTACAGTTTGCGGCTCGGGCCACAAGGCCTAACTACCTAAAGAGGCGCA